AGCTTTTAGCCAATCAATATTTCCCAGAAAGTAGAAATGCGTAAAAAGAAAAAGAAACGAGAAATGTTTTTACCAAGACGTATAAACACAAAATATGAGTTTCAGCATAAAATAAAACTTAAAACTAAATGAGATTTCCACCAACTCGTTTTGTCCCCTTAAGAAAAGAAAAGAACTTGAGAAAAAGAATATCAACCTTTATGGCTTCAATGTTTTTCTGCTTGATATCAGCAGGAGAGTGGAGAGAAGTAAATTTTGCTAGTGACGTCACAAAGGCATCCCTATGCGTCTTTAAGGACATTACAGAAGTGACGTGGATAGCATGGTGGAAACCCTCCAGACATAATGTTGTAATCACTGCATCATCACTCTGGTCAAGTGGAACACTGAAAGCAGCCAACATAGGAGCCCAACACACCTCAACCATAAATCTGAGTATAACTACGTCCGAGGCTGCATAATAAACTGACCTACAGTGGAAAACAAGAATCAAAATCCCGAGATACACTTTCGGGTAAGTCCAAGTGTAAACATCATAGCTAAATCGAAAATCTACGTAACAATAAGAGCAATGTTGACATGACCAACTACCAACTCCCACATAGTGACTATCAAAAGATAAGATGAATGGTGCCCAATAGAGAACAGAATGGAAGAAGAATCAACTTGCATGAAACAGACCACTGAGCATGCAAATTAAAAAGCACGATAAAGTAAGCTTCTTACTCAGATTTGCGAGCTTTTTCTTTAAACCTCTCTTGCATATGCCTGATAAGATCATCACTGGTCTCCATGTACAAATCTTCACCACGCCTAGGAACAACAATATTTAAGATTGTATCCAGCCCAAGTAATCTACTTGAGTTTGTCGGCTGCTTCTGTTGTGGACCCAAACCATCGTCCTTCATCTTTATCTCATTTCTAGATATCCTTTCATATAATGCACGTAGATATTCCTCAGGCAAGTCTTTCCCATCATCTATACCACGATTATTTCTAATAAAACCATCAGCTGTCATCTGCAATGTTGTAATTGAAACTTAAGAAATGAGTTACCTTGTTTGAGCATTTTTACCACAAGCTTCAAACTAGATTGGACTAGGATCTTCGAAATAGTGATATCAGTAAGGTTCTAAACGAAACAGCTAAAAACATGTACCTTGCTCTTCACCATAGGGTTATGTGCATCAGTGTTGAGTAAAATAACAGAGTAAGCGAGGACATATGCCGTATCAGCGCTAGAAAAAGCCTTTGGATTACATTTACAGTACCGCTCCGCAAACTTTTCCATGATGCGATCAATTTTTTGTGCTTCTCCTGGCAGCCTAAAGCCCCGGAGGAAGGCTCGAATAGCCTCATCAAATTCCATGCCTTGAAACTCGAAAGAATCCACATATGCATGCATCACTTTAAGGGATAGGTCTTCTCTTTCCCCCAGATAATCCCCTACCAAAGTCTTGTTCAACCCAGATGCATCTTTCAGAAAAGCAGCTATTTCCTCTGGAGAGTCCCCCACCTTCTTTGCCTTGATTAGAAATTCAATGCCTTTCTTAGGCTTCTGGTTGAATATAGAAATACCTTCCTGCCATCAATATAACCAAATCAGTCTTTAGCTGAAAGACTGTGACGAAAGAAAATGAACACCGAAAAAAATTATAGGTAACTTTTTACCTGAAGTTCAAGCTTGTAAGCTCGGCGCTGCTCTATTGCTAAGGCATCAGAAGTCCCACTGGACAATTCAGACTGAGACTCTGATCTTTCAAAGCCTCCATGGCCCCCCTCCCCCTTACCGTTTTCCGCAGGATGGCTCCCTTCTTCAAGATTTCTATCATCAATTTCTAGCATTTTTGCTGAATACGGATCTGGAAGACGCAACTGCTTATTCACCCAATCTCCCATGGACCTTAAAACAGCAACTAAGCACTTCATGGCTTCAAGTTTCATGGCTGCTTCCTGAGGTGGCAACAAGGTAGTAACTGTACCCGGAGGCACTCCTTGAGCAGTTTTAAGGAGACCATTGACCATCCTAAAGACAAGGTACAGATCACAACACGGAAATGAATGGCACCTTAGTTATTGACCTCATCTCTTATACCACAAACAAAATACAGATTCAGGGTCATTACAAATGAGGTTTTCTAACCTAATAACATAGAATAAGGTAACAGCAACACATCAATGCATACCTCTCAAAAATATTAGATGAGTTGACATCGCAATCATAGTTGATGAAGATATCTACCAAAATCTGTGAATCAACGCAGAGCTTGTCCAGGAACCGAAGCACTATCATCTTCTGTTGAAAATCAGGTTGAGAAACATTCTCTAACACTCTTAGAACAATCATAGGGAAGAAGACCCCAATCTCCGCCTTCAGCCCAGCACGAAATCTCGAAACCAAACTAAGTAAAATCGAGCAGGAAAGCTGGAAAATGATCATAAGATTTGAAGCACTATTTTTCAGCAAGGAGAGACACAAATACTGTTTGATGGCGCCTAAGAACCTGTTTCATCATGAATTGATGCCAACATATTAGGGAAAAAAACACCGATGACTGAATAACACTACCCCCCCCCCCCAACCCCAAAAAGAAACCAACTAACATGGAGATAAATTAGCAGTCTCCAATTTTAAAAGGCTTAGGGAAAAATAATAATCTGAAACTAGAGAAACTATAACAACTACCTAATAATAATGGAAGAAGATAAACAAAAACAAACCTGTCGCTGGTTCTAAAGACAGCACCGGCATTCTCCAGCAGAATCTTCAATAACTCGAGAGCCACAATCTTCCCTCTCATCAACTCTGGATCTTCCTTGGGAGGCGTCTTCATGGACAGCTTGCAAAGTGCCCTGAATACCAAGAAGGCGTCTCTTCTCAGCTTATTCCCAATCTGAACCTCCGAATCATCGTCTTTCTCCACTTCTCCATCGGCCAGCTCTCCTTTTCTTCCCTCGAGGGCCGACTTATACATACTGATCTCCCAGTACTTGGCATCCAACATATCCTTGTCTGTAGAATCCAACAAATCTGTTGGATTCGCAGTCCCGGGTAATGAAGTCTCGAAGGCCCCGTCGTGGCCTCCGAATGTGCCCTTGGCGTTAGCTGAATTGAACACTCCGTCAATATCCTGCATGATTTTGGTAATGAAACCTTGAACGGACTGCGTGGTTGAGGGGTCTGATTCAGATTTGTCCGTCGGCTCCATAAGCTCGGCCACGACGATGGGCTGAATGGGGACTGTGGATGAATCAGCCTCCATCCTTCTGAAGACTATAACAGACATCTGCACCAGCGAGGCTTTAGCCGTCGCCTGATTAACCGCGTTTCTGCTGCCTAAGTAGATACCATAACAAGTCCTAACGATCTGTAGCAAAGAATCTCCATGGATCCTGAGGGAAATCGAAGTGACAGCAGTTAAGAGCGTCTTGAGCACGAGAAGCTCGAGTCCTTCATCATCCAACTCGTGGCATTTGCAGATGGTTTCAATGAGCTTGGAAAGGAGTAGCGCCTCGGGACCGCCGGTGGGATCCGCCTCGCCGCGAAGATAGCCGTGTGCAATAAGCTTCTGGATGCAATCAACGGCAGGATCGACAATCTTGAGAGCGCCGGTGCCGGAGGCGTTAATCAAAGGGCTGAGGATGATCTCGGACTCGGCGAGAGAGTATTCAGCGGCTCCTCCGTCGTGAAGCGGACCAGGAATGGAGGATCCAGATTCAGAGTCAGCGAGAGGAGAAGAATTATCGGGCGATCTGAGGCGTTCGATGACGGATTTGCACTCGTGAGCGAGCTTGGAGTGTTTTCGCCATGAGGCGTTCTTAATGACCTTGTCCAAAGCAGGGATCACAACTCGACCTAAGCGGGAATCGACTTCCGTAGAAGCCATTCCAGATTCGTGGGGGAGCTCTTCTCACCAATTCAGATCTATGATTAAGTGTATACGTAGCCAGAGAGAGAGAGAGAGAGAGAGAGAGAGAGATAACAACTTATCGTCCTCTGCGATCCAACCAAAGCAATCTCACCAGGGCTACCGAGTCGTCTCGTCGACTCAGTGAGTTACATGTAGTACGAAGAGGAAACCAGAAAGGGGAGAAGGAGAATGAAGAAATCAAAGTGAGCTCCAGTGAAGTAATAAAATATCCGATGAATGAGAGAACCGGGCAGATTCGGATCGCCGTCCTCTCCTAGTTTTTCTATTGTAACCTGAAAATTACCTAAATATCCTTGGCGTGTTCCCTCTCTACTGCCTGTGAGATCGAGGGCATATCAGGTACTTTCGCAGATGAGGAAATCTGCATCTGTTGACCGTCCCGGTGGACTCCCGGTCATGCTTCCCGGCCACTTCCTATTTATCCTTTGCCTCTTTATTATGCCATCAACTTAGAACATCTAGTGCTATCCTATGTGATATACCAAAAAAAACACAAAAAAAAAAAACTTGACTTGTGTAAGTGTATCGAAAGTAGTAAAACCATCATTTTCCAAAAGATATCCGTTAAAACAGAATCTTAGTAAATCAAAAATAATGTAAGACTAGTGATTTTTGTTACCATAGAGCTATGTACAACGAAGGAAAAAAATATGAAATTCATTAACTCTCAAAATAGGTGTTTGATAGTCTCCTAATTATAATAAAACTATGAAACAAAACAAATTTAATAGTATTAATTGTTAGATTTGGTCGTAACTGTATAGGAGATTTATTTTACCAACAAAAAAAAAACTAAAATTAAAAAAAAAGTATAGGAAGGAGATTGACACATTACAAGGACATGAACAATAAACTTACCATTTCTTAAATAAATAAATAAAAAAAACCTTGTCCCTTTGTCAGTGCTAATATAATATTATATTGGATCTAAAACGGGCCATAAGTCCAACTGGTGCACATAATAACCCTCCATAAATGAGCCCAATAAAGACCCACAGTGAAGCAGCCATTTGTGGTGTCGATCCGCCAGAAGTAGAGAGAGCAGAGCAACAAAACAAAACAAAAAGCTACGATTCTCTTCTAGTATTCTCCACAGGTCTAATCTATCCACCAAGTCTGTCCATGAACTTTAGCTTCTTCGTTCATCTCTCAGTCGCCAGTTTTCTTTGAACCGACCCTCTCTTACTAACATTTCCAGAAAAGCCCCATTCTGTATTTCTATGATCCTTAGGCAGAAGCCTTTCAGTTCTGAGGTACATGAATTGTACAGTTGTTCGCAATTCTAAGATTCGGTTCATGTGAAAGTAATACCGTCGTTTTTCTAGTTCTTCGACGTCTATGATGGGAATTTATAGCTGCAGCGCAGTGTTGAGCTTCGGCTTGAAATGTCCATTTGTTATTGGAAGCCATAAGCTGTACCGTCGCATGTTTAGAGGAAACCCATTGTTTGTAGAATCTCCTCAAAATAGGCGTTTTGGTTGCAAATGTGGTGCTGGTATGATGATTGGCGAGGTTGTAGACATGGAAGGAGCAGATAAAGATACAGAACAAAGCCCTAGGTTTATTTGGGTTGATGTTGGTCTGAATCTGACAGAAGAACAAGACGAGGCAATCACAAGGATTCCTATTAAGATGTCAAAACGTTGTCAAGCGCTTATGAGGCAGATTATTTGCTTCTCCAGAGAAAAGGGTAGTGTTTGCGATTTGTTAGCTGCTTGGGTTAGGAGGATGAAACCTATTAGAGCTGACTGGCTTTCTCTTCTTAAAGAGTTGAAGAATCTTGAGTCTCCATTTTATATCAAGGTTCTTCCTTCTTTCCTTATTCTATGGTCGATTGTGCTTGTGCCCTGTTGGTTTTGATCTAGCACGGATCTGATTTCAATCCAAAACACGTTTGGAAATTCAACATTGATCATGGTAGATTTTACCTATTGTCACTTTCTTGGTTAAGTTTGTAAATTTTTTTTTTTTTTTTTTTTGTGCATCTCCATAGGTGGCTGAATTTTCGCTGCTCGAGGATTCCTTTGAAGCGAACGCCCGTGATTATACCAAGATCATCCATTACTATGGGAAGCTAAACCAAGTGGAAGACGCTGAAAAAACTCTTCTTGCTATGAAAAATCGAGGGTTTCTCGTTGATCAAGTGACCCTAACTGCAATGGTTCAGTTGTACAGCAAGGCAGGGTATCACCAATTGGCTGAAGAAACTTTCAACGACATCAAATTGCTTGGGGAAGCACTAGACTATCGATCTTATGGTTCAATGATTATGGCCTACATTAGAGCTGGCAAGCCCGAGAAAGGAGAGGCTTTACTAAGAGAAATGGACTGCCTAGAAATCTGTGCGGGAAGAGAGGTTTACAAGGCATTGTTGAGAGCCTACTCTATGGGTGGAGACGCGGAAGGAGCCAAGCGGGTTTTCGATGCAGTTCAAATCGCAGGGATTACTCCTGATGTAAAGCTATGTGGACTGCTCATAAACGCATACAGTGTCTCAGGCCAGAGCCAGAATGCGCGTTTGGCGTTTGAGAATATGAGAAAAGCGGGGATCAAAGCTACTGATAAGTGTGTGGCTCTTGTGTTGGCTGCATATGAAAAGGAAGAAAAGCTAAATGAAGCATTAGGGTTCTTAGTTGAGCTTGAGAAAGACTCTATAATGGTGGGGAAAGAAGCTTCTGCTGTGCTGGCTCGGTGGTTTAAGGAGCTTGGTGTTGTTGAAGAAGTTGAATTAGTTCTCAGGGAGTTTTCAGGTAGCGTGTCTCAAACCCTCTGACCGGCTTAGAACTAGAAAATACACGCTCTGCTGTTTCTATGAAGGGAGCCTGCACTGCGTACTGTTTTGACCGTCCACCAAATTACAGCAGCATCATTTTGTCGGTTTTTTGTACCTAATATATATGTTGGGACTTTTGATGTATACAGATTGTCAAAAAACATTACTGAGGGCTAGATCCAGCTGGGTTCTTAAAATATGCATGTGTATTTCTTACAAATTGCCTCACAGACACAAGGTTGGTCGTAATTAACATGTATGAGAGAGAACAAAAATACATGTGTTGCCCTTGCTCTTGCTGTGTTCCAAACTGACTACATCGTGGATGGCATCGTTGGTATGCTCTGTTCATCCCTGAAGAAGTTTTCTGGATCCACGGCTGTTTTGACTTTGACCAACCGATCAAAATTCTCTCCGAAGTATTTCCTGCCGTAAACCTCGGCTTCTCTGTAACTGTTTGGGCCATGAGTGTTGATCCCAATATCAAGATCCCTGTAGTTGAGGTAGGTGTGTCTTGGGTTCTTGGTGACGAATGGAGCCATGTAGCTGTAGAAGCTTCTCGTCTTTGCCATGAAACTGCTATCGGCCTCTGTGCCCGCATCTTTCCAGTTTATGGAATGCTGGACCTTGAAAAGCCTGTTCCTGTGAGGGAAGGGCGTCTTGGTCGTGGCCACTTGGCTCATTCTCCCTCCGTATGGATTGAAGACGAGCCCCAGCTTCCCAGCCTCCATCAACTTCTTAAACAGGAACTCTAACCCTTGTTTGCTGATCTCCGTCTCCACGTAATCCGATTTCCTTTTCAAGAAAGACGCCGAATCCGGGTCCCGATCCAGCAGGATCTCCGGTTTTATCGCCGTCGCGTTATCGCTGTTGGCCCACCACATCACCGACTGTATCCACGTCATCTCCGTGCAGTTCTCCGTCTTGAGACCAAGCTCCGGGAATTCTTTGCTCACCAGAGACAACAGATCGCTCTGTTTCCCCAAGAACAGAGCCACCACCGACGCTCGAACCGTCTGGGTTCCGTTACGCGTCACGGGCTGCATCATTAGCCTCATGAACAGATCCGGGCTGGTCTTGGGAGCTACAAACTGCCATTTGTGGACCATGTCAAGTGCATTTTCTTCTAGCGTTTTCTCCACCCTGAAAACAGTCACCCTCGGAGGAACCGGCACCAGTTTTATCTTGAACGATAAGATCACGCCGAAGCTCGAACCGCCTCCGCCTCCGATCGCCCAAAACAAATCCTCTCCCATCGATTTCCGATCGAGGATCCGTCCCTTCACGTCTACGATTTTGGCGTCCGTTACGTAGTCAACGGAAAGTCCGTATTTTCTGATCATGTTGCCGTATCCTCCGCCGCTGATGTGACCTCCGACGCCGACGGTGGGACAAACTCCGGCGGGAAAGCCGTGAGTGCCGTGAGTTTTGCTTTTCTGCCAAATATTGTAATATACCTCGCCGAGAGTAGCGCCGGCTCCCACCCAGGCGGACCCGCCATCGTCGGACATATCAACGGTGATGTTACGGAGGTTGGACATGTCGAGAACGAAGAAAGGGCGGTTAGATATGTACGAAACACCGTCGTAGTCATGGCCGCCGCTGCGAGTCTTGAGCTGGAAGTTGAGAGATTTGGTGCAGAGGACGGTGGCTTGGACGTGCGACTCGGAACGCGCCGCGATCACGATCAACGGTTTCGGAGACGTGGAAGTGTTGAATCGCGCGTTTCGGATGTATGCACGTAGCGTTGGGGCGAAGCTGGCACTGCTTTGCGGCAAAACGACGTCGCATAGCTTGTCTGGAGTTGTACCTGTTTGGTTACTAAAACATTGGAGAAAGCTTTGGTAAATAGGCGGATTCGACGGTGTGGCCGCGAGAGAACTTGAGACAAACAAAAATAAGACAAGAATTAAACAAGAGAGGTTCTTCATTATTTTTTTTAATAAGAAACTCTCTTGTTCGTTATTTTCTTTGGTAACTGATTTTTTTTTTCTTTTGTATAAATAGTACACGGATTCCTGAAATCTAGTAATCTAGTTCCTATCCTTAGACATTATTATGACCTGTTAATGGTCAAAGCGTGATGTGCGGGCTTCTGAAATTTCTTGGTTTGTGATTCAGGTGGTCTCCTCAACATGAATATAGAGTCCTGATTGTCAGTGTTGGTTGATGACAAAGAAAGTTTTGCTATATATGAGAACAGCATAAATAAAGATGATCTTACTGAAAAGAAATTAAAATTTTTATTATATTAGTTTTTAATTTAACGACGCAGGTCTCGGTTCTGCAGTAGCTTTAGCCTTGACTATGGGTCTGTGGATGAAATCCAAGGACATGTGATTTCACCCGTATACATGATGTTCTTTAGTAGAGTGGTCACTGATGATCCTATATATTTCTCCTCAAGTGCTTTCTAATATCCGACAGCAAGAGCCATTGCACGCAAGATACTTGGACTGATGAAGCCGGAAATAAAGTGGTTTCATAGAGATCACTATTTCTCTGAACCAACAAATCTTTTGGCAAGAACACAGGCTCGTTTAAATACATAAGAGTTCAAAACTCGAGACTGAATCAGGTCGGAATCCATATCATAAGTTCACGGTGAGCAAATGCATATCAGCAAAGTTCAGAAACATCCAATTCAGCAGGTTGTAACTAGTTGTTTCTTACAGACACACAAAACTTGAGAGTTGACCTATATTTACCAAATCCTACGGACCTAATCAACATGCCTGAACAAAAAAAAAAAACAAAAAAACACATTGAGCTCCTTTCCTCTCCATAGCTAGTTGTTCAATGTTCATCCTGGTCGTGAAACTCTTTGAGGACAATAAGAATCTGAGCTTCCATTCTCCTGACACGAGCAAGCAAGCGGTTGCAGGATCTCAGGTAACCTTTTACCCTGTCCTTGTGGCATTTATCAATATAAACCTCCATATCCCTCAGAATATCCATGAGCTCATCAACCACCTGCGAATACTCCATGACCCGACCCGGGTCTCTCTCCACCACCTCCTCCAACTCCCTCCTCGCCCTTTCCAGCCACCCGGCCGACAAACGGATCCGGGCTTTCAACGATTCGTAGTCATCCGAGTCGTACACGTCTATGAGTTTCAAGACCGTGCCTGCCTTGGTTTTGTAAAAGTGAAGGGATTTTACATTACCCGGCTTGTGCTGCAAAGGGAGCTCTTTGACTGCACCTTCTTCCTCCAATTCGAGCTGCTGCAAATCTATGGGAGGAGCGGTGATGATCGGAGGGTTTTGGTGGAGACGCAGGAAGAGCCAGGCGGAGGCAGCGGCTGCGACGGTGGGGATGATGAAGTGGCCGCCCAATTGGGCATTTTTATGATTAGACTTCTGAGGGAATGGGTCTGTGCCTGAAATCCATGGAGATGTGATGGCGAACAGAGATACAGGGTTCTGAATGTTTGAAGGTCTGTAATGGTGAAACGGGATGTTGTGGTGCATCCGGTGACAATACGCCTTTGCAAGGCATCCCATTTTCTGAGGATGACGAACAACCCTAAACCCCCAATTTCATCGTTTTTCTCTTAAAAGGATTTTGCACGCAATGTCGTGAATTTTGTTTTCTTTTTCTCTTCCAAGTTCAAAGGCGACTGCGATTTTCCTTTTTGATTTTTAAGGGAAGAAGAAGAAGAAGTAGAGAACACAGTTTTCTCGTTTATGGGCTTATTATGCCCATTGATAGTGAGTGATGATAAAGCCCATGACTATCCAGTGGGTACAAATATATGAGACATTAATATTTGTCGGTTAGTGTTTTCAGCTAAAACGAGAGCAGAAAACAGCTTAACTCAAGGAGCAAAGAAGAGCGAGAGATCAGTATAAGATCCATAATCCAAACGAACTTGGATGAAAACATATATACTACTACTAATCAACAATTGAAAACACAATTCTGTAAAAGAAGAAAATCATCAAAGCTCTCTCCCTTATATAAACAAACATACAGTATTATACTCGATCGGTAAATATTTATAAATGTTGGTTTCCTCTAGGCTTACTTTAATTTAAGAGGTAAGAGAGAGAGAGAGAGTAACATAAATACGAACAGCTAATAATAGGGTGCGGGGTTGCTCATTCCCTATCATCTAATTGTAAGCTGAGCCATACAAAACAATTCCTCCTTTCTCTCTTTCCCTCTCTTCCTCTATCAAATGAAATCACTCGCCTCTCTTCTTCTTCTTCTCCTTCATCATCATCATCTAATACTGCCTCGCATCCTTATCTCCTCTATCTCTACCAATGTCTTTTTCCGATTCTGAGTCTTCCTCCTCTCATGCCCGCGACGGCGGAGACTATAAGTTTTTCCGTCAGATCAGCCGCGATCGTAACCTCTCTCTCTCTCTCTATTTTGATCTTCTTTTCTTGTTTTTCTTCTTTTGGTGAGTGAGGCTAATGAAGAGTTTTTTCTTATCGTTTCAGGATTGCTACATGAGATGCTTGGATCTACGAAAACGGGGGATTCAAAAGCTTGGAAGGTCTTATTTATAAATGCATATATATATATATTCTTCAGGCTTCTTCTTATAATGTATCCTACTCTTAAAATAAGAATATATCTGTTTAGATACTTATCATGGATAGAGTTACCGTAAAAGTCATGTCTCAGTCTTGCAAAATGGCAGATATCACAGATCAAGGCATCTCCTGTAAGAAAACAAACCCTTTTCTTTTCTTGTCTTTTTATATATGATTCAAATTCCCAATGGTTCTGTTTCTTTGGGGCCTCTCTCTCTCTCTCTCTCTCAGTGGTAGAAGAACTTTTTAAGAGAAGGGAACCAATGCCTGGCATGGACGCTATCTACTTTATCCAACCAACCAAAGAGAAGTATACCCTTCCCTCCTTTCTTTATGATCTTTTATTTTCTTTCTGAAAATACAAAGGACTCAATCATCATGCATGTGTCCTCCTTTGTTGTTTGTATTATGTGGCAGCATTGTTATGTTTCTATCAGACATGTCTGGGAGGGAACCCTTGTACAGGAAGTAAGATCGTTCGTTTTTCATCGATCAAAAGTGATTTTTTATTTTTTCTTTCTTCTTCCATTCAATCATTCTGTTTTTCTTTTTCCAGGGCATATATATTTTTCAGCTCAACTATCCCCAAAGAATTAGTGAATCACATCAAAAGTGATTCAAGTGTATTGCCACGCATTGGAGCATTAAGAGAGGTTTTTATGTAAATGCTTTCGGTGCTCTTTATATAGCGGTCTTTGGTTCAAATTTTTTTATGGTGATCATAAATCTTTCTACCCTACCTTTTCCTGCAGATGAACATGGAGTACTTCCCCATAGATAATCAGGTTGGTGTACTATATACATATATATTATTCTTGGAGCACATAAACAACAACTACTTGTTTCAAAAAAGGTGTTCATGATCTTACCTTTTCACTCAGGGATTTCTCACTGATCATGAGCAAGCTTTGGAAATGCTCTATGCTGAAGATGCTGAGAATTCACGCCACTTTAATATTTGTTTGAATATGATGGCAACTAGAATTGCTACCGTCTTTGCTTCATTGAAGGTAAGTAACTAAATACTGTATCGTATCTTCTTCTTCTTCTGCAACTCAAGCTCTGCCCATATTTCTCTCTCTCTCTCTCTCGTCTCTCTTCTTTATTATATTAGATTATATGTCTTCTTAGGAGCTGCCCTTTGTTCGGTATCGAGCCGCAAAGTCCACGGCACCACGGGACTTGGTTCCCTCAAAGCTAGCTGCTGCGGTTTGGGACACTATCTCAAAATATAAAGCCATTCCTAACTTCCCCCAGACCGAAACATGTGAGCTGCTCATAGTGGATAGATCGGTGGATCAGGTTTATTTTATGGCTCATATAATACAAAATACCCCTTAAAAATAAGCTTAATAAGGTTTCAACTTATATTGTGAAATGTAACCGTAGATCGCTCCTATCATCCATGAATGGACCTATGATGCTATGTGCCATGATTTGCTTGATATGGAAGGCAATAAACATGTTATTGAGGTAACTCTATCTTTCATTCTACTCCTTGTCGTCTCATTACCTTATATTATTTTTCTTCCTAAATTGTCCTACTACTGTATATATCCCTACTAGGTTCCCAGTAAAACTGGGGGGCCTCCGGAGAAAAAGGAGATAGTGCTTGAAGATCATGATCCAGTGTGGCTCGAGCTTCGACACACGCATATAGCAGATGTATGTAACACAATTATATGTGAACATCTATCTTTTTTTGCCTGAACTGCTCACCATCTTGATACCATGCTTCTTCTTTTCTTTTCTTTTTTTTGGCTTTATAATTAGGCTAGCGAGCGTTTGCATGAGAAAATGACCAACTTTGCCTCAAAGAACAAAGCCGCACAAATGAGATCAAAGTCAGTGCTAAGAATTTTTTCTTGTGTTCCGTGATCTGGCTGCATGATTCCACACCGACTTGGCTTGCTTAATATGTATAGTAGTTAACTTTAGCCTAATGTGACGCAGAGATGGTAGCGAGTTGTCTACACGTGATCTGCAGAAAATAGTTCAGGCATTGCCACAATATGGAGAGCAAGTGGACAAACTATCCACTCATGTAGAGGTTTGTTTTACCATTAAATTACTGTATCTCAAAACAGAGCCTTTTCAGTACGTACGTATGTAGTAGATGTGGTTGTAAGCGGTTTTATTTTTGTTTGTTTTATAAAATCAAATTCAGCTAGCTGGAAAAATTAACAGAATAATCAGAGACACGGGACTTAGGGATCTAGGGCAGCTGGAGCAAGATCTTGTTTTTGGAGACGCAGGTGCCAAGGACGTTATCAATTTTCTGAGGACAAATCAGGTGTGAGAGATGCATAATAATCTGAAACAAGCTAGATTATGAGGGCTGCAATGATTTGACATGGAAAACAAATATCTGCAGGACACAAACCCGGAAAACAAATTACGACTATTGATGATATATGCAACAGTGTACCCAGAGAAGTTCGAAGGTGACAAGGGCGTAAAGCTAATGCAGGTAGCTTTTGGTGCCCGGCCCTTGTAAATTCTCATGCATATATGGGAGACTTGCTAATAAAACCATATATATATATATATATATATATATATAAATATTTTACTATGCCAGCTTGCTAGATTATCACCCGTGGATATGAAGGTTATAAGCAACATGCAATTGATTGCTGGATCTCCTGAAAACAAGACCAAATCCGGTAGTTTCTCCCTCAAATTTGACGCCGGAAAGGTATTTCAAATTAGGAAACAGTTTTTTATATACTTTAGTAGTGACAGAATGAGAATCTTGATGAACACTCCTCTTGGCATAGACAAAACAAGCAAACAGGAAAGATCGGTCTGGTGAAGAAGAAACATGGCAACTATTCCGGTTTTATCCAATGATCGAGGTAGATCGATGAACACAGAACACCCCCATGATCTCTTATATTACATCAGTTACATATATTCTCACCTCTTTGTCGTTGTTGCAGGAGCTACTTGAGAAACTCGTGAAAGGCGATCTATCTAAAAGCGATTATCTGTGTATGAACCAGTCAAGTCACAAGGAGGAGATCAGTGAACCACGAGCAGGATCAGTGCGGAAGACTTGTGCTCCTACAGCGGTTCCAGAGCGGAAAGCCACCCCTCATTCTATGAGATCGAGAAGAACTGCAACTTGGGCTCGTCCTTCTTCTTCTGAAGATGCCTATTCCAGCGACTCAGTGTTGAAAAGTGCTTCTACCGACTTGAAGAAGCTGGGGAAACGCATCTTCGTATTCATTATTGGTGGCGCAACTAGATCCGAGGTAATACAAAACCAAGCTGAGCTAGCTGAGAGACTGATCAATGTTATGTTATTTTATCAAATCTTTAGCATATGTATAACCTTTTTTTGCTGTTTATTTTTGACAGCTCCGAGTTTGCCACAAGTTGACAAGCACCTTGAGGAGAGAAGTGGTACTAGGCTCCACGAGTTTCGACGATCCCCCACAGTACATCACGGTAACACACACACAAAAAAAAACCGTATCCCCTTTAACTGTTGATGATAAAGATAAAACTCCATGGAAACTCAAAGACTCATTTATAGAGAATCTAAAAGAATATTCTTCCAACTCTGTTTAATGTTTTTGCAGAAGCTGAAACTGCTGTCGGAGAAAGACATAACAGGGGCTCCTGATCAACCCTTCAAACCACAATACTGGTGAACTTGTTGACAACAACAAAAGAAGTGAGTTTTGTTGCAACTGAGAGAACAGCAAAAAAAAAGAAAAAAGTTAGTTTTGTTGCAATTGAGAGAAGAGCGGATATTAGTCAACCAGCATACATTGACTTGTTATTGTTCTTGCTTCTCCTTGACCCCAACCCTATAATTGCCTTTTGCTTCTTTTCTCTACTTTTATCAATCTTTACTGTCAATCATTTGGTGGATCATATTCTCTGTGTAGTTTGTGTCATAAGTAGCTATATATATGTAGTTAGTATCTTTGTCGACATAATGAAAAAAGTCTTACCTTTTCTCGTAAATCTGTGTTTCAATACAACACAACACAGAGACCCTTTTATACTCTTGTCAGCGGATCCGAGATTTGGATATTTACCATCAACTACATACAGGTGAGCTGATTTATTACACCACAAAATGCATGCGAAGGGCTGCTTACCGATTCAATTTAAGATCTTAGGCATCGGTGGTGGGACCAGGATAAGCAGGCAGGGTCATGATCCGCTTGTCCAAAACCGGACCTCCCACAGTGAAATGGTAGAGACTCTGAAAGCTCGTGTCTTTAATCCCGAGGAGCTCGTGCACTGGATCATCGAAATAACACCCGATCCCGGTTGCAGAGATCCCCATTGCATGTGCTTCCAGATACAAAACTTGCCCAACAACACCAGTCTCCCAGAACAGTCGAGGGTACATCCATGAACCCTTCTCCCGCAGCACTGGTTCAAACCGAGCCACCATGCCTAGGCTGAAGCATCCATCCCCTGCAATGTCCTGCAGCAACTACCATGATTCAGATAGATAGATAGATAGATAGATAGATGATATGTGGCAAAGTTTTGTCCAAATCCGCACCTGATGACATGATAGTTCTTTTGCGAGCTTCTGGCAATCACCCTCGGCGAGCTTGTAGAGAGGAAGATAATCCGGGCATCCATCTGGTCTCCTCCACTCAAAAGCAGGCCTCATAGCAGTCTTGAGATCACTGAGATGATCCTCGTTTCTGACTAGGAAATACAAACCCTTGGGCAAACCCGAAACTCTGTGCACAAACAGCGCGAGATGGACCTCAGCAGTATCCCAAGCAAGAGCACGAAAGGGCAGTGCAAGGTGCTCTCGACAGTGGATCAACATCTGGTAAAACGCAGACTTGTCTATAAAAGTAACACCGTCCATATCAACAGCACTTCTTCTCATCCTCACAACTTGCCTCGCCGTTAACTTGTTATATGAACTCTGGGCAAACACAGCACTGCTTCTCGAGGAGGAAGCAGCATCAATTGAAGACGACGAGTTGGAGGTCAATGGAGGCTTCTTCACAGCCTCGGCTGTCCTGTAGATGATATCCCAACACAGATGCTCTTTACTCAGAACATTGGGCTTTCCTTTCCAATCCAGACTGGGGAACTCTGCTCTAATAGCAGAGCTAACACCGTCGTAGTCAATGTCGATGGCTCTAGTTCTAGTGGCGGCGTTGGGGAAAACAAGCAGCAAGCAGTCAGGGTGCTCGTATTCAACCTCTGGGGACTTACCTTTACCCTCTTTATCCTCGGGTGTGTGAAATTCGGGGAGACCCATAAGCCTCTGGAGATGGTCAGCTCCGAAGCCGTCGAGAAGCTTCAAGTCCCAGCCGAGATCAGCGGCAGCGATGGAGAGAGCGGCAATGGCGTGACCAACGTCGTGGTTACAGTACCTGAAAGCTCGTTCTCCGTACTTCCAGGCTTCACGCCAGAAAATAGAAGAAAGGCCGATGAGAAAGGAATCGTCGGGGAAAAAGGAACAAGGGATGTGAGCCCTAACCTCCAAAGAGTGCTCTTTGGGAGCATAGTGGGCGACGAAAGCGGAGTCGGAGAGTGAATCGATGGGCGGAGAAATGAGGTAAGCCTCGGTGGGGTGCAAGTTTCCGCTGCTGGGGTTGACGCGGAGTGGCCACGTGGAGAATCCGGTAGTTTTCCAGGCGGAGAGAGCGAGGGAATGGTAGAAAAGGTGAGAGATGGTGGAGAGAGAGATGGGCTTAGGGTGGGGAAGCGAATCGAAGAGAGAAGGATAGAGAGGAGAGTCTCCGTCCTGAGACTGGTGTTGGAGAGGAAGAAGAGGCGCAGAGAGGTATCGGCGAAAGGGATTGGGCTGATTGGCCCAGTCGAGACCTCGAGGGCCTCTGGCATAACCGGTCAAGGAGTGCTTCGTCTGGTTATGGTACTTGAGAACCAATCTCAGCTTTTCTTCTTCCTCTTGCGAAGAAGAGAAGCCCATGGCGGAGACAACTGCCGTTCTGTGAGGGATTGCGAAAAGAGAAGTCGAGGTGAACCACCTGGATGATATCGGATTCATAATTCCTTCCTACCGCCTCTGTCTTCTTCTTCTACAATCGAGATATCTGTCTCCACCACTCGAGATTCTTTCAAATGATGTTTTCTCGGCAAGAAAGCAAAGAAAAATCGTCTCAAATGTCAAAACCACGGTCGCTGTTGTACCGGGGCTTCGAACCGGTTTAGGGATCAAAAATCAAAATTACCTCTTGGTTCTAAAAAAAAATGAGACTAATAGTATATAAATTTTGGGGCATTTCATTTGAGCAACAAACCACTCATCACACACTTCCATGCTCTTTACCATTTTCCTACCCACACTAGTACCTACTAAAAGTAAGCAAGGATGAAGCTGCAATGATGTTGTCACCTGATTTGGCTGATTTTTACTTAGTTTCGGAGCCAAGTCATATATATACACTAAGTACGCTGATCTAGACGTTTCATAGAATGTTCTTTTATTCCATAACCAAAAAAGTAATATATATGGATTATTTGACCAATCTCATCAAGCGTTCAAAACTCAAGAGACCAAGTCTTCGTCCTCCGATGGAGCCGGGAGATTGAGATCTATCAAGTTAATAATTCCCCTTTTTACCAGACTATTATTCTCTGATCCGGTGGCGTGAGATCTTTTGTGACCTCCAAGAGCTTGGCCAGATGAGCAGACCTTCAAACATATTGGACATTCATGGCCACTACTCCTCTTCTTCTTCTTCTTCTTCTTCTCATCTGATACAAGAAGAATCACAGAGGAAGAAGAAGAAGAATAAGAAGAGCCTTCAAGAGCTCTTTTCTTCTTATGGCTTGCTCTGTGTCCACCTAACGCCTGATACGACTTAAACACTTTCTCGCAAGTCTCGCACTCGAACCACTTCCTCTTCTTCTCCCATCTGATCCTATCGTCACTTTCCTCTTCCTTCTCTTTCCCCCACTTGTCTCTCGACAGCAACACCAGACTAAAGGCCAAGTCTTCTTCAGCTGTCCTCGCAGCGTCCGACACCGAGCTCTTCGGTTCCTGCTCGGTACACGACTCACTGAGGAGTTGTTGACTCGTTCTAGGCCCGACCTTCATCGTCTTAATCTCTTCTGCTGTTTCACTATTCCCTTCTTCTTCGGGTTCTTGGTGACGTAATGAGACGTAGATGGATCTCCGGCGGGTAAGCCTGGATCGTTTACGGGTCGGCTTCTTGGACGATTCGGTTTCACTCTCTCTGTCCTGAAGAGCAAATCCTGGATCCGCCATCAAAGACGAAGCTGACTCGGGGTGGGGATCCACTTGACTCGGGAGAGGATGATGAAGCATGTGAGACCTCATGTGGCCTCCCAAAGCCCTTCCATTCACGAACCTCTTCCAACATAACTTACAGTACTTCTCTTCCATTTCCTCCCAAAAAAAAAAAACACAGAGCAAAAAGAAGGAGAGAGAGAGAGAAATAAAGGCAGTGAAGAAGTCGGAGTAGGTTACAAGCACTCTTCCACCAACACCTAAGCTAATATATGAACTCTCAACAACAAGAAAAGGGATTCTTTTTTTGATTAATTAGAAAAGAAGATGGTATCGACGAGAGCAGTTAACTTTCTTTTAATATATCAAAACGGCTAAAGAAAGACCTGCAAGAAAAAGAATTGTATTGATGAAGTGAAGAACGGTTGATCAAACATCTAACATGCGACTCTCTCGCCCCCTTTATCTCTCTATTAATTCCTCCCGCTGACTTTTAATTTTCCTATTGTACTTCTAAAGTTATCCTTTTTGTAACAAAATTCTTATGATTTTTTAATAGGGCTCTTTAGGTTTCAATTTTGCATATGTATTGCTTAATACATATCTAGATTACTATATAACTGAAAAATTTATACGTTCGTAGAAATTTAATACGTTAGTAAACAAATATTATGTGTGGAAACTGCATTAAAAACTTTTTTTTCTAATAAAAAACGGTGGGGTTTGCTTGTAGCAACGCTTACCAAAAAACTGTTGTGTTTCTTATAACGACGAACAACACTCACATTGACCCCTTTCAAATTGAGTAATTACCAAATTTGAAAATTTTAATGACAAATAAATATGCCTGTGCCAAATACACCAACTCTCTTCAAATCACACATTGACACGTACAACGAAACTGCTGGCTTGCTAAAGTTAGTAATGTCTTTTGACTCATTTTCACACGCCTTCAAGTTGACTATCTTGTAAACCTTTTCCTTTTTCGACTCTCTATTTTAACTATTTTTGGCGTGAATAGGGAAAAAAAAAGAATTAACCGCTCTATCAATTCACATGCTTAAAGCATGTCCATCGAGGGGTTGGAGAAAGAATTCGGCTCGAGTTCATAGGCAGTTTTGATTAAAAAAAAAATAATAATGTTTATATGGAAATGATCGGTTCATCCGAACAATCCTGAAGACTCCAGATTTCTCAGATTTTATCTAGGTGGCAAGATGTCATTGGACTAATTTTTTTTTTTAATTTTTGAATTAAAAAAAAATTAATTCAGGATGAAATGGACCTGCTCTTAACAATGCATGTATACAAAACTCAAGTTATTTGACTGTGTCAAACGTGTACACCACATTTTGTAGCTACTATTATTATTATTTTATTAGGTATTCATATATAATCATTTTCATTAAGCTCAACTAAAATTAAGTTTCCTTTTGTTATAAGAAAGGTTATATCCATCCATCTAAAGCAGAAAGTGGTGCATCTCTGATGTGAAGTAAATACAGCAATGAACAACATCATACATGTCTTCAAGTTAATTAATTAATAATCTTCTCATATATGTACTTTACTTGAGATTTTTTTTCAAAGAGAGATTGAATATCAGTTGACAATAATCTAATTTCCACCGCGCGCTAATTATCCTAGTTTTCAGCTGATAGTTGAGGTTCTTGCTTGATCAACTTCCCAAAGTCAACAGTTCTAAACTTGTAATGGCAACCACTTTTCCAATATTATATCGGTACCCATATAGAATCGTATTGAGAGAAATGACCATTTTTCCTTGCGACAGTGCTTAATTAAGACCCACCAATAATTATCAATTTCTTTGACTTTAGTTCATGCGTTTTCGGTCTAGTAAGAGCGTTTGGTCATTAATATTGCAATATTTGTGGTTTATCACAAGAGGTATGTATTTGATTCATTTATTTGTGATATTTTCTTCTTTCCGATTTTTCATTTTATTTATTAACTAATATTTGTTCAGGTCTTCTTGGGATGTTGTAATCCTATCGACACAAATTCGTTCAGTATTTTTTTTTTTTTTTCGTTCTTGATGTCTAAGCAAGTAAAACATGTCACTCTTTTAAGACTACAAAGAAAAGAAAAGTCATTCGTAAGTTATCAACGCCGATTATATTATTAAGTGGCGTTACTTCTTTCAAAAAAAAGTAGACACAATATATAGGTGGTTCTCCCTCTTATATCAACTAGTTGTATAAATTACTTATTTTTTAATTAAAGAAATACATATATATATATATATATATATTTTTATGATACCAATAACTATAAGTTTGAAAATTATGTAACAAATTTATCGGTATATGTATGTAATTATTTACCCATAAATTGGGCTAGGTAGATGACTACGTTATATATAACTACTCTCTAAAACGCTAGCACAAGGGAATGGTTTAAAGCGTATAATAATATAAAATCCATACAAGTATATAAATTAAGGCACTTAATTGTATGTAAAGAATATAAACGAATTAGGAATATAATTAGCAACTTAAACAATTAGGCAGTCGTCAAGACCAGTCACCACTTGCGAGTTTTAACCATGACGATGAAGTAGCGTTGTGACTGGTGCCGCCACGAGCATCTCTCCCAATCATCCCTACGCTCATGACCGTTGGATCGACGGAATAATCTTGGCAAGCTAAGTTGAGATCTAGAGATGGACGTTGATCTAGCGGCTGATGAGATCTTCCGGCAGAATCGTTTAGAGGCGTCATACGAAGATAATTGGAAGGTGTTAACCAGTGGCATCTCTTGTGGCCTCCCAAGGCTTGTCCCGATGAGAATACGCGATGACAGATGGTGCATTCGTGAGCGTTGGATCTTTTTCTTGCGACATGAGCCGTTGATTTGTCTTCTTCCTCCTCCTCATCGTCGTCCTCCTCCTCCTCATCGTCGTCTTCTTTGTATTCCTCTTCTTCTTCCTCTTCTTTATCTTGCGAGGCAAAACAACCCTTCACTTTCTTGTGGCTTGCCCTGTGTCCACCCAATGCCTGATGCGACGCAAACACCTTCTTGCAAGCTTTGCATTGGAAAACCTGTGCGGTTTTTTGCTTTTTGACGGTTTTACCCTTGCCATGCCTATGCTTGTTATGACCATCGTAAGCATCCCCTGAATTGGACAACAACACAAGACAGTTGGCAAGCTCTTCGTCTTCGCTTGGAGACAAGTTAAGATGATGATTCGATCTCTCCCTCTTCCATGGACGACGTGACATGTTGTCCTCATCGTGTTGACCGAACATGACGAAATCAATGCATGGTAAGTTCATGGCTCGATCGATGTGGTGTGTGTATGTGTGTAAGAAGTGTTGAATTAAAAAAGGGGAGAGCCCTTGTTTTTAGTGGAAGTAATGGGTTTGGTGTCTTCTTGTTTGTGTGGTTCCAAGTAGATGAGTCCTTGCGCTAATGACACGTGGTGCTGCTTTTGACTTTTTCCAACCTTCCTAGTCACGTGCTCTTATTATAGAGAGATGTGGTTTAACAATGCTCATTTCATGCTATATATAATATATTAACCAACTGAATTTATGTTAAAGGCTTACATGAAATAAGTTTATAAATAATATTATTTTGTATATTTTCTACTTTTGTCTTGTGACAAATTGATTGAAATCAGAGGGATGTGAGGCTGCGGATGAGAAGGCCTTCGAAGGTGATTCCAGGTCCGAAAGCTAAGCCAAGTCCCCACTCTTGTGCGGACTCGCCTTTCTTCTTTAGCTCATCTCTCACATACTCCATCACATACAGTATTGTGTTGCTGCTCACGTTCCCGTAGTCCCTCAACGCCCTTCTGCTGCTCTCCAGCTTCTCTCCCTCCAGCTTCAGTTTTGTCTCCAGGCGGTTCAGAATCGCAGGTCCTCCTGGATGAACTGCCCAGAACATGTCGTTAAACTCCATGGATTCATCGCCGGCCTTTCCCATCAGCTTCTTGCAGAACTCTTCTATGTTCTCTTCTATCTTCTGCGGGAGGTCTCGTCCTAGCTTGAAGTTTATGCCTTCCTCCGACAACCTCCCGTCAATCACGTTCTGTGTCCCCGGCAAGAACTGCTGAACAGCATAGTGCAGCTCCATGAAAGGAGCCTCGCTCTCTCTCGGGTCTGCTCCGATGATCACTGCAGCTGCACCATCTCCAAACAGAGCAGCCCCAACCAAGTCGTAAGGACGAGCTTTGTTTGGTGGCCGGAACCCGAGAATGGTGGTTTCAGAGGTTGTCAGCAGAACTCGGCTTCCCGGGTTGTTCTCCGCAATGTCTTTCGCCACGCGGAGGCCTGTCACGCCCCCGTAGCATCCCAGAAAATACAGCATCACTCTGTTCACGTCATTCCTCAGCCCTAGCTTTGCGGAGAGGTAAAGGTCACCACCGGGTAATCGGATCTCGCTTGAGGAAACATAGACAATGTGAGTGATGTCTCCCGCTGGCCTTCCCCATTCCTTGATGCAACCCAAACTGGCTTCCAATGCCATTTCCACAACCGCCTCGTTTGCAATTTCAAGTCTTTGCTTGATTGTTGGTGACCCCTCTGTTGTTAGCTCAGGGTATTTATCCAGTATCTCTCGCGACAACACCGTGTAACGCGTCTTCACGGTTGTGGTTTTGCCTAAACAACAGCACATAACATTAGCGTCGAGATTTAGCACTGAGCATAGCTGTGTGATTATAAAAATATAGAGAGTGAGGCTTACACAAGTGTTCCAGCTTCTCTTTGATAAAGGCGTCATCACATTTGGTGTCGCGTAGAAATCCCTCCACGAGATTCTCCTGAGGAACCACTTGGCTTGGGAAGGCTTTCCCAAGAGCAAGAACCGTTGCCTTCCCGGGATTTGCCACACGCCGTGTGAAAATACTGCTCTGCTTCTCAACACCTTTCATCCCAGGATTCGACATCTCTTTTTGCAGGTGCAAATGGAAGAAAACTCACTTGATTGTTGAGAACAAAGGCGGTGGATGCAGAATATCAACAAAAGCAAAGGATTATAAAGGAAGAGCTGAGGGTTTTCTTGGAGAGAGTTCGGTGTTGACAAGTGAGCAACATGGAAAGAGAGTAGTGACTATTTTATTGGGGTTTGGTAATTCTTTGGCTTGTGCTGGTTAGAAATGCAAAAAACCATGAAAGAGGCAATAAAACCTTTTTTTTTCCCTCCGGGTGCTCAAGTAACAGGTATCATGAAGGTGAAAGTCAGGAACAGTGCTGAAACATCCATAGAGACCTACATCAGAGACAACGTAAAGAAACTTGTTGAACTGCAGAGGGACAAGAACTTTACCATTTACAGGGGATAAATATTATTCCACAAAATGGAAAACGGAAACACAGAGAAAGGACACCGCTTACCAAGGAACTCATATACCAATTACAGGGAGTTTTCTGTTGATTGGAAACTCAAATTCCAAACACCTGGGACTTGTATGGAAGATAAAGGGCCTGCCAAACTCTTTATACATACTGCTCCATGGTACAGGAAGATTTATGATGAAATCACTTGTTCTAATCCATAGCAATCGTCTGCCTTTCTCAGTGTAGCCATCCTTTTTGACACAAACTGAAGTTCTTCCAACCTTCCAGCGGCCTCTAAGGCATTTCTCAAAACCACATGGCAGCTAAGCTGTTGGTGGTTCCCTAGTTCTACCAATTCATTGTACAAACTAAACGCTTCAGAGTGTCTCTTATGCTTACAGAGTCCTTCTATGACGCTGTTGCAAGTGCCAATATCTACCACTTGACTCTTTTCCAGACAAAACAGCACAAGTCTGTACGCATCAAGTAGCTTCCCATTTTCGCAGAGGAAATCAAGTAATTCCTCCATTTTAACCAAATACCCATTATCATAAAGCAACCTAACAATCAGAAATGCCTTGTCCTTCTGTCCACTGCTAAAAAGCAATCTGACAGCATGCGTTGAAAGATCAATGTTCTGTCTTATTCGTTTTTCCAACATTAGCCTCATGAAGCCGAAAGACTCGTTAGCAAATTTTCCCTTTACAAGTTCTGCAAGTACAGAATGGAAAGTGGTTGCAGCTGGAAGATAAGAGCTCCTTAGCATCCTCTGTAGGGTATCGTAAGCAAGAACAGCTTCACCTACTTTCAATAGCCCATCGATCAATATCTCGTAGGTTTCAAGATCAGGCACAAATTCCCGCCTGAGCATTAGAACCAAGAGCTCGTAAGCAGCCTTGAATTTGCCTTCTCTGCAGTGACCCGCGATCAAAGTCCTGTAAGAGGGTGGATCTTGCGCTCCTCTTTTCATGAGCTGCCTAAAAACTTTCTCAGCTTGTTTCGTTTTCCCATTGGCACACAAGTATTGGAACATTGGGTTATAAGCTGCAGCAAGAGGCTTGCATCCATCCTTGCCTAACAATACTTCCTTCTCAAATAACTCATTGAACAGAGTGGCGGCTCTATCAAATTCGTTTCTGAGACACAAAGTACGAATCAAAACACTATATGAAGCTGAATCAGGATGCAACTTCATATTCACCATTTGATGGAACACCTTCATCGCTGCATCCAGATGTCCAGCATCACAGTGGGCCTTGATCAAAATATTAAAAGTGCAGGCATCTGGTGCAAAAGTAGTAGATGTATAATCCCGTCCATTCAAAATTTCTTTGATCTCATCATACCTCTGAGCCTCCGAGAGGCCCTTGATCAGAGTATTGAAAGTCACAACATTTGGTTTCAGCCCTCTAGTTAGCATATCATGAAACACAACCAAGGCTTCATCAATTTCCTGCTTCATACAATACCCGCGCACCAGAGTGGTGTAACTAACAGTGTTGGGATGCACATCCGCTGCTTTCTTCAACATTCCATTCAAGACATTATGCGCAATCTTCACCTTCCCGGCTCTGCATAACCCGTCGATGATGGTGTTGTACGTAACAACATCAGGACTGCATTTATAGGGCTCCATATCCTTGAAAATCCTAAAGGCTTCATCGACCATGGAATTCTTACAAAGCCCGCTTATCAAGATGTTGAAAGTGTAAGAATCTGGGGTAAGCCCGTAGGTACGACGCATTTCGTCGAACACATCAAGGGCCATACCAGTCTTACCACGCTTAAGCAAGATCGACAAGAGACTGTTGAACGTAAGAACAGAAGGGGAGATGCACATCTTCTTCATGGCCTCGAAGAGCTTGACTGATTCCTGGAACAGCCCAGCGTTTCCGTAGCTCCTAATCAAGCTGTTGAAGTAGCGATCCTCGAGCTGGACGCAACCGTTAGACCTTTTCTCGATGGAGAACAAGAAATTGCGAGCCACGTTGAGATTCCGAGCACGACCAAGGAGCTCGAGCATGAGGAAAAAAGAGTGCTCCTTGTGAGAAAAGCCCTTGTTGGAAACCCAGTCAAAGAACCGAAGACCATCGGCAGGGATCTTGATGAGGCGTAGGGTTTGGAGAACGGTGGTTCTGGAGATGGATTCGGATGGATGGAGGAGGGATGAGAGTGAAGACTCGACTTCGTCTGACCACGGTTTAGAGTTCACAGCACGCGCCATGGACCTGGCGAGCTTCGATTTGGTCGAGACATGGTTGCAATCTTTGTCTCGGATAGCTGGTAGATGATACCTGTAAGAATCGAAGAGATTTTAGCTTCGCAAAAGAGCGGTGAACAACACAAGGCAAGGAATCCATACCGCACAGAGCGTTGAGACTTGGAGACAAAGAGAGCATGGAGTCCTGCACCAGAAACCATTGGTGGGGGTAAGAAGAAAGTTGCAGAGACCGGCCGCCCGCCAAATACTGTATCTCTATTCGTGGAGGGACGAAGAACAACTTTTAAGAAAACATCTGAAGCCCAATCAAAGTTACTATATGGGCCATATATTATCCGGGCTAACTTATCATAAGGCCCAATTGGAGTGATGGACCCACATAATGCATGTATTTTTATTTTTTTTTAATAATGCGTGTATTTCCCAGCTGGCTGCTTGCTTTGTTATTATTTTTAGGAGGTTACATAAGTACCATACAGTATTTGGTCGACGTCGAGCCATCGTATTGATATATATGTAAATTTTGTGTTAAGACCGCCTAACCTCTCTAATATTAACATTTTGTTTATTACATCCAAAGATTCAATGCTAACCCGTCGTATCCCAAAACAAGACTTTTTTTAACCTGACTGCACCACCAACCCAACACATTTACATTTCCTTTCAGTCTTTCTTTCATAGTTGGTATTTGGTACATTTGAATCAATCAAACCTATCTACCTATTAATTAAGTGTCAAAATCGAAACAATTGCTAAACACTTTTTCAAATTAATTCATATGGTATTAAGTGTATATATTTGTGGGCCACTGACAGTATTACATATCTAAAAGCATACACACACACGCATGTATTAATTCTTTAACTAATCTCACGGTAAATTGAGGCCAAATTATATGATAGTGGGGAAGAGAACAAAGGGCTGAGTGAGTGTAAAAGTGCAATAAGTGGTTTCTCAATTAAGAGATGTTGACAAGGCAACACGTTTGGTGTAGCATTATCCCTTCTCCTATTCTTCGTCTTTTTCTCTATTCTTATGCACCATTTTTCTTATCTTCGTTTATTTCTTTTATTTGGTAAAATCTAGTTTTACTCTTTACTATAGGACACGGTTTTCATAATATTCGGTTGAAACTGATTATGGATTTTGCATTACTTTTACATACTCATGCATGCACCACAAAATTAAAGATAAAAGTATAATGAGTTTTTTTTTTTTGGTTGTATATCCACCAGTGTAATGCATCTAATAAATGTTTAAGATACAACATTTTTGTGTGTTTGTTTCAAAATACATGTAGGTATGTTGGGTATTAAGTTCAATTTTAGATTTTGTGAACAATTAATCTCCAAACTAAATTCAGTCCTTTCTAAACAAGCGAATATAAATATACATGTTGTCTCCTTAAGAGAATTAGCAGTCTCCTAACCATGTACAGAAGTACAGGACCGGCACTTCAGTATTCTACTACAACACTTGTAAAGAAAAAAACAATGGTGACCAAATATGAAAAAAAACGAAAATGAAAATAGAAAGTATAATAAAAAAACAGAAGAGAAGGGATGATAATAGACAGTCCGTACGTTTGGGTCAACGTCGATGGCAGCCTTTGGGCACCTAAAGGGGCCCACTCCTCTCCTCTCTTTTCCCAAAGAAATTATTTTTGGACTCATCCTATATCTCACTACTCTCTCTCCCCCCGCATCACCACGTGTCTCATGACTCAATCTGAACCGTCGATTTGGCGGGGGGCGCGTGGAGAGAGTAGGCGAATAAAATTTGGGTACGTAGCAGATACGATCTGTCTTCCCTAAAACGATCCACCTTCATTTTTCTGCTTATTTACGGGACTGCCATCCTGTCTTTCTAAACCCCAACAGCATTTCACAGTACCTTCTTGGCGTCTTCCTCCACTCACTCACTCTAATGCCTTCCTCTTCTTTCTTTTTTTTTTTTTACTTTAATGTATGATATTTATACTCTCTGCTGAAAGATATTTCCATTCGCTCGTGAAATATATAATATACTAGGAGTATCATTTTTATTTTATTTTTGGCTAGAGAATACTCCTTTTTAGATTAATCTCTATATTGAAACGGCTATATACGCACGTATATACGGATTAATTATTTTTTTTTTTAAAGGATTTCTGATGGAAATGTTGGAAACAGAGTGGCCCAGGAAGCAGACGCTGGGGCCCAACATAATTAATATATAGAACAAACGCGTTTACCACCCACCCTTCATCCTTAACCACACGATCACAACCAGCACTCTTACTTTCTTTCTTTCCTCTTTTTCACTTTCCTCTTTTACTTTTCTAAACTTCCTCTCAAGAAAAAAAAAAAGAAAAATTATTGATATATGTTGATGAATTTGTGACATTCGCAGGCAATAATTAATTTTATCATATGTAGGAGCCTGCCATGTATACGACTTACTAAATTCAGAAAAGAGTTTGCTTACAAGTATTTGTCAAAGCATGCAAGATGATCAATTATTAATTAGAGGCTCCAGCTCCATATATATATTACCCATATATACGTACGCTAGAGAGATATATATATATATAGGAGGATATTTGGAATGAGAGATCGATTAGGGTACAAGAATTAGAAAAGGAGAAAAAGGGCATATGATTGATTGATATGTTTGGTACGTTAAGATTAATCAAAGGGCACAGACACTCACACTGGACATGGGAGGTTCACGACCCATGTGACGAGTTCCTTTCTTCTCCCTCCCCAACCCTTCACTTTTTAAGTAGGACAAGACATTAATACTTTTTTTTTTATCTCATTACTTTGTTTTTAAATATTGAAGATCATTAATCCGATCCACCTCATTTAAATATACAAATAAAAAAACACTGTTGAAAATAAATATAATTTAGAGAAAAGGAGAGAGAACCTCCATCCCCCAAATAGAAAGTTAGGGTTTTTGGAATTAATCTCTGCACAGAGACACACACACACTCTCTCTCTCTTTCTCATCATATGATCAAAATGATAAAGAGAGAGAGAGAGATTTGGCAGAGCGGAAAGACTCTAATTCTAATAGAGGTATAGTACGTCGCTTGCTTTCAGTCTATTAAAACCACTCCATAACCTATTCCGCACCGACATGTCTCCTCTACACTTCCTTTATTAGCCTCTCGTCTATCTCTTCTTCTCTTTCACTTTCTTACTTTGTAGCACGAATTATTATTATATATTTTTTTATAAAAAAAAAGAAGAAGAAGAAGAAGAAGAAGCAGAAGCAGAGAGAAAGAGAGATCTTCCTCGGGATCTCCTCAATTCTATAATTGGAACATGTTGGACTACGAATGGGACAACCCCTCGGCGATTATGCTATCGGGAGAAGAACATCGACACCACCATCAGGAGGCTGACCCGACCCGAGCCATGTCCATTTTCGACCCGACCCATCATCACTCTAATTCCCCATACAGCAACATATCTCCACCGCTCCTCTCTTCTTCCTTCTCTAACCAACATCATTTGACCACAGTCTATGGTCACCACCACCACCACCATATCACCACCACCAACCAGTTTCATCATCACAGCTTGTACGACCCACGCACCACCACCACTCATAATAATCCTTACGCCTCTTCAGATTCCATCTACCACTCTTCTGCAGCCGCCTCAGCCTTGTTCTCCTTCGACCACCAGATCACCGGCTCAGGATCCGCCGGCTCTTCTTCTTACAACTTCCTCATCCCCAAGACCGAAGTCGACGTCGTCTCTCGGCCCCTCGATTTCACGTCTTCCAACAGGATCGGCCTGAACCTCGGAGCCGCACTTACTTCTCCGCCGCCGACGACGACTTCGTGAGCCGGCTGTACCGTCGGTCTCGACCCGGTGAGCTGGGAAACTCGCTGAGCACTCCACGGTGCCAAGCGGAGGGATGCAACGCGGATTTGAGCCACGCCAAGCACTATCCCCGCCGCCACAAAGTGTGGGAGTTCCACTCCAAAGCTTCCACCGTGGTCGCCGCCGGTTTGAGCCAGCGCTTTTCCCAGCAGTGCAGCAGGTAAATTATTTTTTGTTGTTTCCTAAAGCCAAGATCCCCCCTTTTATATTTGTCCCCCCCCCCCAGGGATGATGAATCACGAATCATTATTAGCTACCTTAGTTTGCTAGGCCTCTTTCTTGTCCGTACGCCTTTACCTTTGTAAAATCCATTGGACCATACAAATGGTGTGTGTGTGTGGGGGGGGGGGGGGGGCATACTTCGTCCGTACACATGCTTAATGATGTAGCCTAGTTGTGGTTAATTAGACATGCATTATATTATTATTATCTAGTACTATCTTTTTTTATTAACTAGCTTTTATGAAATGACTTCTGCTTAGTTAATTAATTAAATCAGTCTCTCTCTCTCTCGAGGATCGTCACAATCATTGAAGAGAGAGTACGTATATATCCTTTCCCGTGGGTGATCCCGATGGCTTTGATCTCTCCTCCTCCTTTTCAACCCAAATCTTTTTTACCCTTTTTTTTTCTTTGTTAGTTTAATTTAATTTATTTTATTTTCCGCCAAACTACGCATTAATTTAATTATTTACTTCTCCCTACTCTCTTATTCTTATATTACTTATCTCTGTGCATTCAGATTTTGGTACTTTTTTTTTGTTTATTTATTAAATATAATTACGTTAATATAATAATTACAGGTTCCATTTGCTGTCGGAATTCGACAACGGGAAACGCAGCTGCCGTAAGCGACTGGCTGACCATAACCGGCGCCGCCGTAAATGCAACCAGTCAGCCTCCATCGCACACGACAGCGCCAAATCCACTCCGGCCGATATTACCACCACTCCTAGTACGTCGTGATTAATTATTAATTCTACTTTTTTATTTTCTCTCTCTCTCTCTCTCGTTAGCTAGTAAAACATGCATATATAAATAGTTTGCTGTTGCTCATGATCACCAGAGTCATCGAACGATTCGGGTATTAATAGAAAGTCGTCTTCGTCGCCATCAAACGCGCTTCTCTCGCCGCCTACAATTTCGTTGGAGTGTTTCCGGCAAAGGCAGTTCCAAACAACAGCGTCTTCTTCCACGTCTGCGTCTTCCTCCTCAAATTCAATGTTTTTCTCCAGCTAGCTCCTAATTAAGCTAATTAATTAAGGACTAATTTTTAATTAAGACGGTTGTCGTCGCGCGTTATCTTACGATTCATGTTATTCTCGGTGATCGATCATGTAATGTTTTCTACGTTCTTCTTTCCTTCTAATTAAGTTGTCTTTTTAATTATTTAATATGGTGGTTGCTTCTTTGATCAATTAATTAATTAATGGAGATTCTTAATTAATTATCAGTCAAGAGTATTAACAAGTATATATACGGACTCCGATCCATATGTATCGCGCGATTAGTGGATAATGAATTAATAGGAGAATAATTGAAAGAGCAAAGACGACCGGGGAGCGTACTGGTGCAATGGTGGTTCGTTCATCGTTTATTCATTTAGGGGAACTGAATTATTGACTGACTCTCTCTCTCTCTCTCTGCCATTTTGTCTGATGGTGCTGCTGGAATTTTCCTTGAAAACTACACCAAACCAAAATTTTAGAAAGTGACCCATCGACCTTGGCCACGTGGTTCCTTTTTTCTTTTTCAAGATTTTCAACAGAAAAACCCACAATCCATCTCTATTTTTTTACTCTTTTTTTTTTTTTGCCCGAGATAAAATTGGTTGAGTTGAGTTGGGCGGTCTCGTTGTCCCCCGTTTTGAAGCTAATTATTATTATTCATACTATTTTGTTAATATTTTAATTACCCACCCACGGGGATTTGCGTCCCACGATCCCCGTCAGGATTTAACTTTTTACTCTCTTTTTTTTTTGTTTTTTCATTGGTTGTAGTATAAATGCTAGCTACCCGCCGCACAACGAAAATTGATGATAGGACGTTGAACTCGTTCCAAGCTAAATTTATTGTGGATACTGTGTGCCCATTATCGATATACTTGCGTACTTTTTCTAGTTATCTACAAGTAAGTACACACTTTTGTTATACATATATAACCTTTAAATTTGTATGTGTAGAAAATTAGTCAACTCACAGGGTCAGTGTCGTGAGTATAATATAAATATGAAGGGGCATAAAATTATGCACTAGTAAACTCGATTCGTGTATTACATTCCTAGGCGAGGCGATGCTGCGACACCGTTAGAAGGACATGTCCATGGTTGATATGGTTCCCCTGATTCCAGCGTTTACTTTTCACAAGCACACATGTCACATTCGTTTCTTGATACATTTACTGGCCCGACAATTTGATTCTGTCGCAGGTCGGGGATGGGGATATAAGGCCCATTTAACGGCCCAATCATTCCTACCACAGTGACAAATATCCATCCTTTTATATACTTTGCATAACGAAAAAATATTTTTTTAAAAATAATTCTGTTTATTCCGTACGCAGTAACGCATCGCCTATATAAAGAGATTAATTTGCAGGGCAAGAAATGGTTTTTATATCTGTACGTCTCTGTTACTTAAAGTCGTATGTTGTATACAACCTACGTTTTGCAACTCTCTACGTGACAAGGAGTGGACAGTCCAGAATCATGTAACTTATCTTCACCACATGTCTCTCTCATTTACTTAGGTTCTTTGAATTTAACCAGCTTATATATTTGTGTATTTAGAAAATAAAAGAAAGACAAGAAAAAGAAAGGACAGTAAAAATATCTGTGCGCTGAAAAGTCAATGATTACAAAAGTTGCGGAGGAGGCTGAATCATGTATAGTTTTTCTTTTTCATCCAAGAACTTTGATAAAAGGCATCCAGAATCATTAAGTCATTAAGTCTGAGCTTACATGGCTTTGAAGAAACACAACGGCCTCAATCATTAAGTCACCACGTGTAGTCGTGTACACTATATATATATATATACCTCTTTTAATTTTCATGTGAAAATCTTAATCATAACTCTGGTGTCTGGTCTCTGGCTCATCTATTTGCTTTATGCTTTTCTATCTGATCCAATCGTGACCCAGTTTACACCATCGTATTACTCATATTCAACTAATTTTCATTTTGTCCCATTAAATTTTGGTCAATCTATGCAGTTTTTTCGTATAATAATTTTATAGATACAAATACTAGTTTCTAACAAAAAAAAGAAGAGAAATTAAATATTAGTTTTATTTAGAAAATGGTGTGAGATATATATATATATATAAATATGTATATGTTAATTTTGTCTATTTGAGGATTTAGGAACGAATGTTTAATATAGGAGTGGTGGTAGGGTTGTACTCGATTCAGGGCATAACTTAAGCTCTCTCTATGTATTCAGTTCTGTTTGAAACAATTCTCATGTTGTTAGACATGTTGGCATTTGAATTTTCATCCGAATGTCTAATATGGGGGTATATACCCAAAGAACTTGCATATATATAGAATTAGTAAGATTTGACCTGGATCACTTATGTAAATAAATATAAGATTAATCATACAAAGTAGATCAAACTATACTTCCAACAATCCGAGTGTAAGAACAAACCAAAAAAAAGTTATAAACAAATCTGATTCAATTAACATTAAGCGAGTTCCAGGATGTCTTTTTAAAACGACTATCAAATAAATTAGACTGTAGGGTACATGAGCTTTTACAAAATGAGTATTGGTCTTGTGCGAGATTTATGGGCCATCATCATAGAACGACGATAAGGTACAGACTACAATATCACATATATAAGAAAGGAGAGAAGCAAGGAGAGGAGCAAGGAGAGGATCAAGGAGAGGAGATGTATATATAAAATTAGTGGACCGACCTTAGAGCATCTGTAATGGAGGTTTTAAGGGGATTTTTAGATGAGGTTCATGGAATTTTGGCATTTAAAATAAATCAATAAAGCTCATTTTCTATTGAATCGGTTCTAATTCAAGGCTTTTTAGAGAAGGTTCAAGGGGAAGTTTATGCATGACATGGCAGCATATTATTGGTTGGGGTGAGGGAAACTTTTTGTCTGACACATTCTCAGATCATCCACAACGCGGTATAGACGGGGTTCATCCGTGGGACCCAAAGCAATTTTTTTAGTTTTTTTTTAATTGTTGAACCCCAATATTCGAACGATACTGTATCTTCAGGATCAGTGTGACGAACCCGTATCATTAAGGTTCATCGGCCAGATGTCGTGTTCGTATTGGCCCGTGGTTGAGAAATTTTTTTTGGGTTGGAAATCGATTTTGGTCGACAATTTTTCATTTTTCTCTTCTTCCATCGAGAAACTTTTTCTCTCTCGACAATCGCGACTTCGAATCCAATCTTCCCCTCCGATCGAATCTCCGGTGAATCGTCGCTTCCCCTTCGGTCGATCAGTATGGTAAGTCGTTTATATCCTTTAGAAGTCTTTTAAAATTGGGGGAAAATTGGGGGAAAATTTAGGGTTTTCAAAATTGGTGGAAAATTAGGGTTCTTCAGGAAGTTTTTTTTGGGGGCTTTTGGGTTTAGGGTTTAGGGTTGTTTGCGATTCATTGTTCTTATATTCAATCGGTTTCCGGATTTCGCGTATTAGGGTTTTAAAATTTGATGTTTTGAATTTAGGGTTTTCGAAAATGTTTATAAATTTTGGGGCTTTCATTTGGGATTGCAATTGGCTTCTAATTCGCTTGGGGCTTTTATAAATTTTGGTTCGCTTGTGTGAGTTAATCGAATTGTGTAAGTTAATCGCTTGTGTGAGTTAATCGAATTGTTGATCGCTTGTGTGAATCGCTTGTGTGAGTTGAAATGGTTCATTGTGTGTTTTCAAGTATTGAATGTTTAGGTCATATCGAATGTTTAGGTTGAAATGGTTCATTGTGTGTTTAGGAGTATCGAATGTTTAGGGACATCGTATTGTAATCGTGTTCTGGTTATATCGAATGATTAGGTTTAAGTAGTTACATGAGTTTAGGTTTGTTTTCAAGTTTTGTTTTTCTCATTTGGTTCGGATATTTATGTAACTCAAATGATCAAATCGTTTATTGTGGACAGAGTATGCCAAGTTATGAGGATGGCCCGTACTGGGCGAGAACCATAATCAAGCAGAAAAAGAGATTGCGAGGGTTAAGAGCCCGCTCTACAAGGCAGGCCCGTAGATGGAAAGCTGTTTTATTGGGAGGGTGAGCTGTTCGGACCAGCAGGATCGCCCTACGAAAACAGAGTCTTCAAAATCAGCATGGACTTCCCTCCGGAATACCCGTTCAAGCCACCAAAGGTATGACGCCTTAAACGGTTCAGGGTTTTGTAGTAATCTCTTGCTGAATATTTATTTTCTGCAGGTCTCCTTCAGAACCAAAATCTTTCATCCCAATGTAGGAGATCGTGGTCATATCTTCCTAAGGATGCTGACAACGGACTACTTCTCGCCTAGTCACACCATCCATAAGATGTTCATTAATCTTCATGAGATGCTGACAAACCCCGTAGGTGAGGGGGACTACTTTGATGAAGCCAAAGCGAAGCTATACAAAGAAGACAATGCGGGTTTCGATGAAAAAGCACGAGAATGTACTCTAGAGCACGCTACGACTTATAAAAAAATACCCTCTACCTTTGGCATAAATTTGGACATCTAGAAGATTACTAGTTTTATTTTCACTTCTGTTTTCTCGATTTAAGAAACTCTACCTTTGGTTTTCTCAATTTTCACTCTTTTCATTTTATTTTATTTAAATGTTTAAAATAGTTAAAAAAATTATTATTTTATTCTGTTGAACCCCAAAATGGGTATCAAGGTTGGACACCAATTTTTCACCCCAGATTCACCCAAGGTTCTTTCATATTCTCTCTCCTCCAAAAAGTATTAAAAAACGCTGATGAATCCCATGAGGGTTAAGAGTTGTGAATGGTCTCACACTTAAAGAAAAATTTCTCTCTTTCTTTCTAGAAAATTTTGTCCCGACTCTTCAAACTCTCTCTCCTTCTTTCGCATCTTCTTCTTTCAATTTCAGTATTCTGTATTTTTTTATTTTCATGTAAATGAAGAAAATTGTTTTCATACAGAGTTATATGTTTACAATTATATATAAAAATAATTATTATGAAAAATAAATTTTAAAAAAATATTATTTTATTATTATGAACCCGATTAAAGTTTACTATTGCATATGTGATATTATGAGAGGTTCTAATTTTTGTGGTGAGAAAAATTTTATTATTATTATATAAAATTAGAACTTAATATGGAATTCACCATTACAGATGCTCTTATGAAATGTTAGGTGTCCTTTACGGCTCCTACAAATTAAGTAATTGTAGTATCCATTATTCCGTTTCTTCCCTACCACTCGTATTTATATGTATGTATGTTCCATTTGTCGACACATTTAATTCACATACCAAAGTGTCAATCACGTACCGGCTGGACGGTTGGTTATATTTTATATATGCGCGCACACACACACACGTGCGCACTTGTGTATGTATGTATGCACACAACAGTTGTTGACGATCAGGATTTGCAGATACGTACTAATTTTTTTATTAGGATTTATTACCATTAATTATGACTTTTATTAGTCGCATTGATTAATGGTGTTTAATGAAACTTACAGAAAACACTACCTGTATGGCTGTATATACGTACGTTGATGATCAAGACTTTTACGAAAGGTTTTAGGGGAAAACGAGACTTTTACGGAATTTACAGTTATTAATTACTCCTAATAACTTTACTGATTTAAAGAAAAAAAACATAAGCTCACGCCAAACACACATTTCATTTTACATATATATAAGAAAAGAAAAGGTAAAAAGATAAATAAAAAACGTTCAATTTTCGTTGTTGTTCTCTCGATGATGGCTAATTATACACATATATACATATATATATATATATGTAGTAGTCATTATTTAATCACAGAGTCCCCAAGGAGCAGTATATTATAAGTTTCCTAATTAATACCGTATTCGTTAAGTTAACACATGACATCTTTGAGAAGCTTGTACCTTCGTGTGGCCGTCCTAGGCGACGGCACTCCGCCTCCTGCAGCACCGGCGACGGTCTTGGCCCCTTGATCGTGACGGTTATTGTTATGCTTGATCCCGCCACCGGACGAATACTCCGATCGGTTTGTGAACTCGTTCTCGTGATTTACGGAGGAAGAAGTCTTCTTTGAAGAAGAGGAAGAACCGCCGTGTTTATCCACGCAGCTCATCTTCCTGTCGTCGCTCCGGCACCAGTCGCAAATCTCTGTCGGCTCCGTAAACTCGCTGTAGTAGTTACTACAGTAACTATATATATATATATATTTAAATTAAGAAGAAAATCCGTTATACGTATGATGATTATTCTTCTGCTATATCTATATATATATATATATATCAGAGAAACTATATATACTTACGAGTGCTGGAAGCGGTTACGGCAGTGCCCGCAGCGGAAGAGCTTGTCGGGAAAACCGACGTCGCCGCACATGGAACACACTCTCTCCATGAATCTTCACAATCTTAGTGGTTTTTCTACCCAAGAGATGTAGAGATTTCAAGTTTTTTTTAGTTTACGGAATTTAATGAAGGCGCTGATGTTTATTCCCCACAAGCCAAGTCTCTATTTATCTCTATATTTATATATGCATATATATATATTATTATACGCACATTAGACTATGCGTGTGTGTAAATGTACAGGTAGACCAGAGATTTGCTTGCACTCGTTGTCAGTAGAGAGAGAGAGAACCAAAATGGCAGTATTGTCATTCTTTCGTTTGTGTGTAGTGTTTGATTTTTATTTTTTTTTGGTAATTCACCAAAAACTCGTCCTCTCTTGTCATTTTCTAGTTTCTGTTTTTTAACTTCTGAGTATGTATCCATCTCCACGCCTTCCGTAAGCGCGTTGAAAAAATACATGCAATTAATTCTGGTCTTTTTTTCTTTTCAGTAAAATCGTACGTGATCTTTTGAAAATGGTAACAGTTGTTTCTGTAAACTAAAAAACTCTACCATGCATAAGTATTACTTTACAAGTATGTTGACTTCAGAACAGTTTGTCATTTTACAAACAATCTCATTACTTAATGAAATTCAAATGCTTATATAAGAAAAAAGTATGTAGGCATGCATGACGAAACGCTCGCTGATGTGGGAGTGCGGGTAAATATGAATATGAACAAACAGTTAGCGACAACTAGTAACACAAACTAACTAACAACAACAAGTCAACAACAACAAAGAGAGGAGAATTATTCCAACTTAGTACTGGTTTTTCCCCCTTTTCCCGTAAAGCGGATAAGAACGCTTGTGTCTATTTACTTCTACGATTTGTAATTTTATTACTAGCCTTTATTGGATGTAATATTAAGTAACCCCCGAAACAAGCATGCATGTAGGTGGCGGTTAGTTCCTTTCTGGTTATTAATTGGTCTTTTACCCCTAAATTTATTCTATCAAGTATTTCCAAAATTCGAAAATGCTATTAACCTATATGTAGCTTTATCAATGATTCTATCGATCGCAATACTTCAGCTTTCTAAAAAGAATTAGCATTATCGACAAGTTATTTATATAACTAACTTAAGGTATATGCTTATAGTTTGACATACATATAAAAGATATACGTCACATCTATATACTGCCTTTAACTAAAAAAATAAGTAAATAACATCTATATACTGCCTATAGTGTATGCCATCATCTACTCTACAAGACTACAACCCATGTACGTCTTTCGTAATATCCATATATATATATGTATTAATATATATATTAACGGCGATGGAAAGATTTTTACCTCATTTGCAACCAGGGTCACGTACCCTATAAGCTAAAACCACAGACAGCTTGTCATGGTAATGTGTTTAACGTACGCGACAAACTATTAACGTACAAGTAGTGATTTTAGAATTCTCTATTTACCTTTTTTTTTCTTTGTCGACCTTGGCTTTGCTAGGTATAGTTTTTTTTTCTTCTAATTGAACATGAGATTATATTGATGGATTGAGATGAATTTAATGAGGAGGGTAGTGTTTAATGCGATTTGGTACACATTTATTGTTTGCTTTTACGATATTTATTGCGATTTGGGTTTTTTTTTTCTTCTTCTTTTCTTTCTTTAACTGGTTACAATAGGGGGATTAAACAATAATAAAGGCAGCTTACATGCGCTTCGACGACTTGCACAGTGCACTGCAAAGAGAGACGAAGTCTATATATTTAACTTGTGCGTTGAATACACGCACCAATCACGTGACTGAAGAATCGGATGGGATACAAGATTAACGGCAATGAAGTTCATGGGGTTTTCCAAGCGAATCTAAACGGTCAGAATGTTGTCCACGTGGCAGCTTTTAGACGATAGTTTTGGAGTTTGGTTGGCCATGTTAAACACATGCTCGGTGGTACGCTCCGCTCCCCGGCTCAGACTGGTTAAAAACCGAGACCGGCCCAATTGACCCTGGTTTACGATGGTCTTAGTTAAAATGGGCCTGACCTGACAGCGCGGCCCATAAAAAAGAAGCTCAGCAACAAGAGGCGGTGAGAGCTGAACGAGAAGCCCTAGAACATCTCCTCGCTTATGTACTATAAATAGTAAAATTGTTACTGTAGAAGGGATCTTTTCGGATCCGGAGAATAGAGATCTGAATATTTTATCGAGTTCGTCGAGAGACCTCCAAACTGAACGAACTGTAATTGAGAACTTAATAAAATTTAATCAACTTAATCTTCTCCGAACTCGAATTACCGAACCGACCCTTGAATAGTTGAGAACCACAATCAACAATGCTTCTCTGAGTTCTCTCTCATCCTAATTATGTGCGTTTCTTATTCATCAATTAACATCCATTCTTTCTAGATTAACTTACTTTTACCATCATTAATTTGTAAAAAAAAGGCCCCAAAACAATGGCCCAAGTGATATTTGCTTAGGATTAAGTCTTAGTATTTATTATTCAAATATACTAGTGACAACTAATGTGATTTGGAAGTTGTTGAACAAACAAATTAGTGTAATTTTGATGGAGGGGGACGAGTGAAAACAAAGGACTTAGGATAAGCATGTGAATAAAATATCTTGAAATTGGGCTCAAGTGATCTTGCGTAGCCCTATTTTGGAGGAAATTCGTTTTTTTCATCATTTTGCTTTTTCTTGTTCATCATTTTGCTTTTACAACAAAGTTTTTTGTCCTCTGTGTGATTCATAAGTTGAATGGAGAGTATTATTCAACAGAATATTTAGACCAATCGTCTTTCGAAACATAGTTGCAAATACTTGTTCTTAAAAAAAAAGATAACCATAAAAACCATTCAAATAAATTAGAATGAATAAACATGATATATATATATATATATATATAGAAGGGAGAAAATTATTTCATCTCTGTATAGTCAACTTGTATAATTAAAATTTATGTTATAATCTTAACATTTAGCCCCTGAAAAATTTATGGTATAAGAAATTGAATTATTTATGTGAAATGTTCGAGTCTCATGAGAAACCATTTTAGTATATTTTTTTCTTTTTTTTTTATTGTTTAACGATGTGAAATGTCCACTACTTTTCTATTCCCCCTTTCTTAGGTCCACGAAAGTCAGCTTCATATCAGAATGTGGTGTGGGTTTGTAAGCTTTGATAATACCAATGTTCAAAAAATCGCTAGGCGATGGCTAGGCGGGTGATAGGAGACTAGGCGGAGCCTAGGCGTTAGCAAAAGTTTTGTTAATTTTTATAAATTTTCTATCTATATATCATATTTTTTAAAAAGTTTTAACTGTTTTCTTAAAATTTTTTTTTTTTTAAATTTATGTTTGAATAAAAAAGTAAGAAAAATTAGTAAATAAAATTATAGAATAAAGTTCAACAAAGAAATCAAACTAAAAATCATCAAATTCTTCAAACTAAAATAAGTTTCAATCTAAAAACTTTAAAAATGTAAAGCAAAGAGAAATCTATCTAACTTATTCTTCAAACACATCCATATCCACCACCTACTCATTTTCAGACTCAAATTCAAAATCAATAGCTATATCATTTTCATCGTCGGAATCGATGTCTCCTCTAAGCTCATTGTTAAAATTGAAAGTTGAAACTTGAAACAGAACACAAACAAAGTAAACAAAGATGAAAAAACAAATTAAGAGAATACAATATAGTTATATAATATATACAGATAGATAAAGAGAAGATTAAACAAACTTGTAGAGTTCAGCAATAGAGAATAATGATCGCCTCTTCTAGTTTATGAAGATGAAGTAGTGGGGAGGAACGAGGATGATTATATTAAGTTATTAACCCTAATCCACGTTTCAAATCTTTTTGTTTTCTCTTTTCTGTAAATCGATGTTGGTTTACTATCCAAAACCGTAAAAATTGACTGAAAAAAGGATAAAAATAATTAGTCTGATTTGGCCGATTTTACTGATTTAGTTTGATTTTCCCAATTTTCTCCGACTGTTCCGATTTTTTACTAAACCGGATTTGTTTCACTGATTTTATGAAAATCGCCGTCTAGTTGCTTAGACGGCCGCCTAGTCGCCGACTAAGCCGATTTTTTGAATACTGGATAATACTGTATTCTCATGTAAAAAAAAAAGTGGGCCGTTAAGCCTTAGTAAAGTGGGGTAATGAGAGGCCCATTGCGAACTTAGTGAAATGAATGGGCTTAGCAATGGCGGTCTTTGACATATATGTGGCGATTTGGGGCAAAAACCAAACTCACCACAACCCAAACGCAAAATCGCAAAATTGGAACGATCAAAATCTCTCAAAATCTATCTTCCCAGCGGATCTTCTTCGAGAGCGTTGTTAATCCCTAGCTGCTTACTCTTGTCGATCTTCTGCTCCCCGAAACCCTAGACCCATCTCGTCCCACTCTTACCTTAGCAAGCATTTCGGATCTCGCATCGCCATGCTGATGATTCCTTCCAAGGTCGCCGGCCATACCCGGTTCTTGCTCGAGAGCTTTAATGATTCCGCCGATGTCGACTCAATCGCCCAAGAGATTTATCAGGTAGCATCTCTGATTTTCTTAATAAGTAAAATCCACCACGCGGCTGTTTTGGTTTTTTTGTTTTATGTCAAAACGTATGTCTCCATATATCAGTCACATCGGGTTTCGTTTTTATTTGTAGTTGATGTGTTTTGCCATCTGTGTTTGGGTCTAATTATGTTTCTGTTCTGAGATCATCGTTAGGAATTGCGACATATTCATAGCCCATTCTGATATACCTGAAAGAATTTAGCATTTTGATAAAATATAAAATGGGCTCTCTACTAGTTTCCTTTCCATTGCTTGCTCACTTTTTTTTTTTTGGTTTTACAAAATGGCAGTTGGTTGACAATGGAGTTGAGACTAGTATTCCAGTTCTCAAGACATGCCTAGATTGTTTCACCGTCCGGAGAAGCCAGCCTAATACGTTGCAGCTTGAGAAAGTAGTATCCTTGGTGTTTAAACGTGTGATGAAAAAGGCAAATCTCGGAACCGTGATTTCTCACGCATTGAATGATGTTGAGGTCACTGAAGAATTTGTGGTTGATTTGACTAATGCATTGGACTTTTCACTCTCTGAGAAAATTATCTTTGGCCTTGCCCTGGCCGATTTTGAAAGATCTGATGCAAAGACAAGTGGTAAGGCTGGTTCTTTCCGTGTCTTACTTCTCACAACTCTTAGGTTTATGTTTTTGTGATGATGGCTTTTCCTCTCTAGGGCGAAACTTATTATTGACCGAGATTGAGGAACTGTGTGCCAATACTGGCCAAATTGAGTCCACTGAGCAAATTCAGAATGTTCTTTTGTTTCTCCAAAACTCTGAGGACCTCTCCAGGCACTTGGATTCCTTTATACAGATTATGTCTTCTGCTCAACCTAGAGATGACTTCTCTTTTGCTCTAACGCCTATCCTTTCTCGAGAAGTTCACGAAGCTGATGTTTTCAGGTGACACTTATGAGTTGCTTGAATCTCTTTTCCCTTTTCGATCCATATGTATTACTTAATTGTGAATCTCCAACGGGCTTTCTGTTTTGCTTTAGGAGCATGGATTCTCGCTGTGATCCTGCTGAAAACGAGATCGATGCTATCTTAGCTGAAATTGATAAGGAAATTTCTGTTGGAGATCTCATTGGAGAATTAGGTTGTGGGTTCACTGCTGATGCCCGCCAATGCAAAGAGATTTTGTCTAGTTTTGCACCATTAACAGAGGCTACTATCTCAAGAATTCTTGGTAATGTTGTTCGTACTTGTGCTGATCTTGAAGATCATCACACCACCTTTTCAACATTTAGTTCGGCCCTTGGATGCTGCATTCCTACTGAAGTTCCCACACCAAGGTCATGGAATGTTGACATTCTAATTGAAACCATCAAGCAGCTTGTGAGTTATCTACAATTCTTATACTTTGCCAACTAACATCATTGATCAGCTTCAAACTTCATTTCGGTCTTTGTATTAATTTTGTTGCTGTTGTGACTAGTTCGCGTAATTATCTTTCTTTATTTAATGTATTTGGTGAAGCATCTAGCTTATTTGTTAGGTATTATGTGGTTCATGCTCTTATTTTCTTCTAAGCAGGCTCCTGGCACAAGCTGGAGGAAAGTAATCGAGAATCTCGACCATGATGGATTTGACATCCCTAATATGGAGTCTTTCTCGTTTTTCATGCGGCTATATAAAACTGCCTGCAAGGTGTGTTCTCATACTGTCTAAATTGACTGTCCAAAATATGTTTACTTCATTATGTTGTTTTCACTTCCACTGTTGTTTGAGGTTGTTAAACTGATCCTAGCAGGAGCCGTTTCCTCTTGATGCTGTATGCACTTCTGTTTGGAAAAATAAGAAAGGCCAATTATCTTTTCTTAAGCATGCAATAGGTGCCCCACCAGATGTATTCACCTTTACGCATTCTCCAAGGAAGCTGGTGAGATACCACAAGTTTGTGTTAAGAGCTTAGAGCTGTTTTTTCTTGATACTGTCACTATTTTGACCGTCTGTTTTCTAGGTATATATCGATAGTAACATGCACAGCCATGAGCAGCAATTAGGACTTTCCAATCAAGCATGGCTATCTCTCGATCTCCTAGATGTGCTATGCCAACTGGCCGAGAGGGGTCATACTGTTTTAGTTAGCTCGTTACTCCAGTATCCACTCACACATTGTCCTAGAACCTTGCTTCTTGGAATGACACACATCAAAGTAATTCTCCATGACTGGTCTTTGGTGATGTATGCTCGTAATCTTGACTTGTTTGTTCGGCTAAGTGTGTTAATCCTGTTGTTGCAGACTGCCTATAATCTCATCCAGCGAGAGGTGGTTTCTGTTATTCTTCCAGTGATAATAACGAATTCCCAGGATAGTGGTTTTATCCTTAATCTCTGGCATCAGAATGCTGAACTCGTTCTGTGGGGAATTTTAAATGCCCAAAATCTTAAAGCAGACAGCTTACTCAGAATAATTGAAATCTGCCACGAGGTTAAGGTGATTATGTTAAATTTTGTGACGGTGGCTCAGTTTATCTTCCTAATATGTTTTGTTTCTTACTACAGCTTCTCTGTGTTTATGAACTAATTGGATTTTTTTATTTATATATTTCAGATTCTCTCTGTGGTTTTAGAATCAGTTCCAATCTCATTCAGCGTCAGATTGGCAGTCCTTGCCTCACTGAGAGGCTTTTTGGATATTGAGAACTGGTTGCCCAACTGTCTATATGTATATAAGGACCTCTTTGCTGAGGTAATGTATATTTATGACAATCAAAGTCCTATTACTGTAATTTCCTTAGAGATAGGAAGACGGTATCTAACATTTAAAATTATGTTTTCAATATTTCAGGAGTGTCTCAAATTTGTCAAGAATGTGCATTTAAGCGAATCAGAGGATTTTACGTCCAAACAATTTCATCCTTCTGATCCTTTATCAGATCTTCATTTGGATGCAACGACTTCACTTTTGAAAGTTAGTTAGTTTGGTTTCGTATTTGACTCGTCTATTGCTTCATATTTATTGATAGTAATTTCTTTGAACATGCATCGCAGGTGTTGAAAGCTCATGATAATGTGATTACTTCATCTCAACTGGTCGAAGAGATAGAAAAGGTCAATGCAGCAATTTTGGATTGTAATACGAAACTGCAGAATGGCGAGGCTAAAGATTCATCAGCTTCCAATGCATATGGAGATGATGTTGAGGCAGAAGCAAACGCTTATTTCCATCAAATGTTTTCTGGTCAGCTGAGTGTTGATGCAATGGTTCAAATGCTTTCGCGATACAAAGACTCTTTGGTTCAAAGGTTTGGTTATGACGAATTATACCTATTTGAGAAATTCATTTATCTTATCATGTTTGCGACTTCCGAGGCTCATAAAGAAAATCACGAGGTTGTTTTTTTTTTTGTGGACAGGGAAAAATCAATTTTTGAATGCATGATTGCTAATCTGTTTGAGGAATATCGGTTTTTCCCCAAATATCCCGAGAGACAGCTGAAAATAGCCTCCATCCTCTTTGGTGAGTGGGTCTTCTAAAGAACGTTTTTACTATGGTGTTGTGGGAGGATACGTTGATATCATTTAACCGTTGATGCAATTATGTCTAGCCCTCAAAATTTATGTGCGTACTATAACCGGGGCAACCTCTTGGCAAGTTTGTCATGCAAGATGATGTTGAGATGATGTTGTTTCAGAAGGATTTCTTGAATTTGAAAATTGCCAGTGACATGTTGTTTTAGCATCTATTTCAGTTTTGTAGTGTTGTCGTTGCATTCTCTTGAATCTGTTGCGACTTGTACAAATTTCAGGTTCTGTTATTAAGCACCAGCTTATAAGTTCCCTCACACTGGGGATGGCCCTGCGTCTAGTCTTGGATTCTTTGCGTAAACCTGCAGATTCAAAAGTATCAATTCTCTTGTGATATATTTCTGTCTCCTGGCTTTTTTACTGTGAGATGTCATCTTCTTTCTCTCCTGATTCATACAGATGTTTCTGTTTGGAAGCAAAGCTTTGGAACAGTTCGTGAACCGTTTGGTTGAATTGCCTCAGTACTGCAACCATATTTTGCAAATATCTCATCTGCGTAGCACTCACCCTGAGTTAGTCACTGTTATTGAACAAGCACTTTCAAGGATATCGTCTGGTAATTTAGAATCAGATGCCTCTGTTTCACACCCTGGTCCCTCACAGCCTTTCCCTGGAAATGGCGAGGTATAATGTTGATATAAAAGAATTATTTTTACTGACTGCGGTACTCGTCTTACAGTCTATTTTGACAACTCCTTTCAGTACTCGGCTTGCCGTTTTTATCTAATTTATATCCTCTTATAAGTTGTTGATTCTAAGATTGTTTCAATCGTGAAAAGGGGAAGAAAAGTGGGAAAGAAAAGTGCTTGATCCTTTCTGTTTCTAGTCTCATGCCTTTTTTTTTAGCTCTTTAGTCATTCTGTAGATACTGTAAGCTTCTCGTTTTCTAGGTTGGCATATATCTTTTTGACCATTAGTTGACTTTCCTAAAATTTAAGGCGAGAAATTAATTAACACATTGTTTCTGTTTTTTTTTTCACGTTGGCAGTTGAGCGGTTCTGGAATTGGCCAATCTGTACTACATCTTCCTTCTACTGTTCAGCCTCAACAGAAAAATGAAGTGCATATCGATGACGGCAGCAAAATGCCTAATGTGCCATCTAACGAGTCAAAGCCACTTCTGCCCTCGTCATCTACGGCTTCCGCTGATGTTTCTGTCATTCCTAAGGTGATGAATTTTTCTTGTATTCTCTTTTATGGTGGTGGGAGGTGTTTCCATTTCATCTCACTTGTTATTCTTACAGAATCCGAGCATTTCAACTTCTTCATCAACGTCAGCTGGTATTGTTCGTCCAGCACGTGGAGCCACTTCGACGAGTAATCTCTAGACGACTTAATTTTATAACTATTTTTTGAATATGATAGGTAATTTTGTTCTTTTCTTACGAAGAGAAGAAATGTTACTAATATTCGATTATCACAGGGTTTGGCTCTGCTTTGAACATAGAAACCCTGGTTGCAGCAGCTGAGAGAAGGGAAAACGCAATTGAGGTACTTTGCTGTGTTGTGCATTTATATTTGGAATTATTTGCTTCTGGTTACATCGAATAATGAATTGTCAATATACCAACTGTCTACTGTTTAGTATGAATGACAAGAACACGTCTTCTTTTATTCCAGGCTCCACCTTCAGATGTTCAGGACAAAATTTCTTTCATTATCAATAATATATCTACAGCGAACATTGAATCTAAAGGGAAAGAGTTTGCTGAGATTTTGCCTCAAGAGTACTATCCTTGGTTCGCACAGTATATGGTTATGAAAAGGTACAGATAGTTGTTTTCTATGTGAATATTATGTGAGGTTTCCCGTCTTCTGTTCTTATCGTTTTTCCTGCATTTTTTAAATACCTAATAGAGCGAGCATCGAGCCCAATTTTCATGATTTGTACTTGAAGTTCCTGAACAAAGTTGATTCCAAGCTGTTGTTTAAGGAGATACTTCAAAATACATACGAAAATTGCAAGGTAAATATTTCTTCACACAAACGATTTGCTGCGATGGGTGTTCTTTTTGTTTAGCAAATTTTTTATTTCCATAATTCCTTTGCTTTTGCAGGTCCTTTTGGGTTCAGAGCTCATAAAGTCAAGCTCGGAAGAGCGATCTCTGCTTAAAAATTTAGGCAGCTGGCTGGGTAAGTTGACCATAGGAAGGAATTATGTTTTAAGGGCGCGAGAAATAGATCCAAAATCATTGATTGTGGAGGTACTTACTGCTATTTCTTTAAAATTTGATTTCGTTTTTTTTTTTTTTGACATCTAAATTGATTTTATTGTTCTTTAGTAACGGTGTAAATTTGTAGATAGTGAACTTTGTTTGTCTTTTCCATTTTCAGGCATATGAAAAAGGGTTGATGATAGCAGTCATTCCATTCACTTCAAAGGTTGGTGATCGTTGATTAGTTTTCTTAGATGTTCCAGGGTTGATGTCCTGAGTTCTAATTTGTGGCAACTGCAGGTTCTGGAGCCATGCCAAAACAGTATTGCGTATCAGCCTCCCAATCCTTGGACGATGGCTATTCTCGGGTTGCTTGCTGAGATCTATTCAATGCCAAACCTAAAAATGAATCTGAAGTTTGACATTGAGGTATCCAGTTTTAATATGGATTTTAGAAAGATGATTGTTCCTCTTGAGCATCAACATTTGTTTTGCATCTTTTCTCTTTGCGTATTTAATGTTTTGTTCTCATCTTGTCTTTATCTTCAGGTGTTATTCAAGAACCTTGGTGTTGATCTGAAAGAAGTAGCGCCGACTTCCCTTCTAAAGGATCGAAAGAGAGAAATAGATGGGAATCCTGATTTTAGTAACAAAGATCTTGGAGTAACACATATATCTCAACCACAGATGATTCCAGAGCCTAAAACAATTTCGCCCCTTAAGCAAATAGACCTACCTCTTGATGTCGCAAATTCACCTAACACAGACGCTCCCTCAAAGTTATTACCACAGGTTATATTTTTGTGTAATTTTTGTAATTGACCTATAGTGCCAGTTTCTTGTCATCAACAATATCAAGCCCCTTGCTTTTTCTTTTCAGTATGTATCCCCTCAACGTGTTTATACTAATACTTTGATGGAAGACGAAAAAGTGGCAACTCTAGGCTTGTCTGATCAACTCTCATCACCTCAAGGACTGTTTCAGTCAACTCCATCCCCATCGTTTTCTATTAGCCAGGTACGATTTTCATTTATTATAAATGTCGATCAAAGTTACTATATATATGCTTCTTTCATACCCTTTCTACTGTTAATATGATGGCCAGCAGCTTTCAGCAGCACTTCCCAACATTGGAAATCTTGTTGTTATCAATCAGAAATTAAGTGCATTTGGTATGCACTTTCCGTTTCAGAGGTTTGTAACTGATGTCTCCTACTTGTGAAATCATATTTTTTATAGCGCATGGAAGGTATTTTCTTTGACACTAAACTCTTATCCATTGTCAGAGTGGTACCACTTGCCATGGACAGAGCTATTAAGGAGATTGTGTCTGGTATTGTTCAGCGAAGTGTTTGTATTGCATGCCAAACAACAAAAGAGCTTGTGCTGAAGGTTGGCCGATCTAAACTTGTCTGCCTTTTTTTTTGCGTGAACCTTGCTTGTTATTTTAGGTTTTTTGTTTGGTCTCAAATTCTTTCTTTATCTCCAATTCGTTTTCCATCACTTTTCACTCCACAGCTAAAATTATTTAATTTCCATTTTTAAGAAGCGTCAGTCTCTAGCTCAGATTTGCAGTATTCATTTGTATTTTGTTTTTTTGGTTTGATTTTATTAATCGTAGAATCATTTTTCTTCTTTGACTACAGGATTATGCCATGGAACCAGATGAGACACGTATATATAATGCAGCTCATTTGATGGTTGCGAGTTTAGCTGGGAGTTTGGCACATGTGACATGCAAGGTTCTTCCCTGCTTATGAGGCTTGGATTCTTCAGATTTTTGTTTACACCACGTTTAGATTCATGCTATTATATTTCTGCCCTGCTACACTAAAGTCTAAACTAACCATCTTTATTTTTGCTTTATGGGTTCTTTGTGCATTCTCTGGTATTTGTAGGAACCCCTGCGTACTTCTATATCAGGTCATCTACGGAATTCGCTCCAGAATCTGAGCATTGCAAATGAAGCTCTTGAACAAATTGTGCAACTTGTCACCAATGACAACCTTGATTTGGGATGTGCGGCCATTGAACAGGCGGCTACGGAGAAGGTTTGTGTTAGGATATCAACTCCCACTTTTTCATTTCTGTTCCAGCAATTAGTTTTACTGATTTCCGGAATTGGGTTGGAATGGATTGCAATCCGCTTTACTAGAGATGATTCCTTCTTGTTACCATATTTTTATTTATTGAGCCTTACTATATAGTTTGCGTCCATACAGGCAATACAAACTATTGATGCGGACATTGCCCAGCAATTGTTACTACGGAGAAAGCCTAGAGATGGTGCTGGATCCTCTCATTTTGATCCAAACATGCTATCGCAAAATTCTGTCAGTTTTATACCAGAGTCCCTCCGCCCAAAACCGGGACAACTGTCCCTGTCTCAGCAGCGAGTTTATGAGGTACTTTTAGGAACATGTAGTCGCCTGTGGTATGCTTTGTATTTGCATGTCTAAGCGATACATGGACAATTTCAGGATTTTGTTCAACTTCCTTGGCAAAAGCAGTCGGCCCAAACTTCACACAGTGTGTCTGCTGCTTCAAGCTCATCTGGCGATGTTGGGCTTGTCAGTGGTTATGGTCCAGTATCAGCCAAAATTGCGTCTGAGTTTTTGTCTAGTGCTGGAAACGTTCGGATGGATATGGTATCCCGGCCATCAGATATTCCTGTGGAGGGTTTTGAATCTTCTACAGTTTCACTTTTGAGGTGCATTGCTGTTGCAGATCGATAAAACTATTTGCATTTTTTCCCTCGTAAACCACACCTGATATGCTGACATTTTGTCTTGCCTATGTGTAAAGCTCACAAGTTGATCCAGCTGGTGACACAGCCGGCCTTCAATTCTCTAAATCCCTTTCGACTTCTGAATTGAGCCTGGTTGAATCCTCTGACGCTGCTATGAAAGTGAGATTACTGTGTGCTTTTAATTTTTGACTCGCTTAGGTCTATATTGAAGTACTAAGCTGTGCTTCTTATTTACACACAAGGAAACTGGAACATCATTGCAGACATTGACTCCAGCTGCCACCGTGGATCGTCTTGGTGGAAATAATATCACACAGCCTTCTCTGTCCACGAGAGATGCACTGGACAAGTATGAAATTGTTACTCAGAAGGTTAGTAGAGTGGCTTTTTTTTTTTTCATTGCTACATGCATTTTGGCTGCTCTATATCATATGTGGTTGACTTCTTGAAACTGTTTCAGATGGAGGACTTGGTGGTTAATAATGCAGGGGATGATGAAATTCAGGTACTAAATACCTAAGCCTAAGTGGTTATAGTACAGAATCGTTATCAATTTATTTTGGCGGAGAATTAACGGAATTAAGAGTTAATTTCTAAAACGTTTCTTAATTTCCGGAAATTTGTTTTTGTGTTTTTTTCCAGTTGACGCCTATCTGCTTCATCCGATATCAATTTAATAACTGCTGCACATCTCATTGATTTTTCAGGCTGTAGTTTCTGAAGTTCCTGAAATCATACTTAGATGTATAAGCAGAGAGGAAGCAGCTTTGGCTGTCGCTCAAAAGGCTTTCAAGGCTCTTTATGAGAATGCATCAAGTAACCTTCACGTCAGTGCTAACCTTGCAATTCTTGTGGCTATTCGTGATGTTTGCAAGCGTGTCGTTAAGGAAGTCACTAGTTGGGTATGTTTACAACCTTTTCAACATCTAAGTATTCATATATTTGCTGTATTTACATTTTTTATGTGCTTTAGTTCAGTTGCTTCTGATATTTCTTCAAAAATATGCGACTATTTCCTGACATATCATATAAGTATTTGGTTGAGCCTATTTCCTGTAGTCGGAGCTATTGATAATTTGACGAGAACTATCCTCAAATGGTTACGGATACGAGATTTTTTTTTTTTTTTTTTTTTTTTTTTTTGGGTAATTCTAGTTATGATTATGCAACTTTCTTGGAACTTCTTGCTATAGGTGATTTATTCAGAGGAGGAGCGGAAGCTCAACAAAGATATAACAATCGGTCTTATCCAACGAGAGTTGCTTAATCTAGCGGAGTACAACGTCCACATGGCAAAGCATCTTGATGGAGGGAGAAACAGTATGCTGAACAAAATATATGTGCTTGTATTTTCTTATGGTAAGTGAACTTGGCTAACTAGTTGTTTGCTGTGCAGAGAGCGCCACTGACTTTGCAATTTCTCTACTCCAATCCTTGGTCACTGAGGAGTCGAGTGTCATTTCAGAGCTCCACAGTCTTGTTGATGCGCTGGCAAAGGTTGCAATTTTAACATTCTTCGGCGTTTGGTGTCATTCTTGTTCTATTATTAATAATATCTCTTATAGTAGGTGTAAAAAATCTTCAACTAGGAATTAGGTTAAAAAAATAAAACTAGGGATTAGGGATTACGCCAACTGACAGATATCGTGGTTAGGTTCAAATATTGTTTTATGCTGATACGTTTCTCATGTTTGAAGATATTTGGCATTATTATTTGGTGATGCTACGATTTGTTTAAATTTTCCTTGTTTTGGTTGTAGCTTGCCTCAAAATCTGGATCTCCTGAGTCATTGCAACAGCTAATTGACGTCATACGAAATCCTGTTACTAACCCAGCTGGTCTCTCTGATAGTGCAACCGGAAATGAGAATAATGATAGGCAATCAAAGGATGAAAAGGTTTCTGATGATTTCATTACCGAACTTTGCTTGTAACGAGACTGTAAATTCATTTGACAGTTTAGCTCTGTTGTCAGGTTGTGTGCAATACCACCGCTAACTCAGACGAGAATACCGGCTCGGAATATGTGGAATCAGATCCTGCGGGTTTCCGGAATCGGGTAAATTTCTGCATGTTACTTCAATAAGGATGAAGAAGTTTTCTTTTTTTTTTTGTTGGTTATTTGGGAATTGCATAAATCTTAATTTTCACTTGCAAATGAGTATATCAAAAGCCGAATTGTTTGCATGAGCACAATCAAGTTGCAAGCTAGAATTAAAGTTTTCAAAAGAACCGTTTCTTTTATGCTATTATCATTCATTATACCTGTTTTTCTTCATAACCTTTTTGTTTTGTATATGGAATTCAATTTTCCACTATGCGTTATCTTTTTTATTTTTTATTCTCCATAAAATATACACGTGTTTGCATATTTTGTTATCTTCAGTTCTATGTTGGTACATATGTCTCTTAACTATTTTTTATGGGTATGTTGTGTTTGCCTGTATGGTCTGGCAGGTGTCCACGCTTTTTAAAAACTGGTATCAAATCTGCGAAGTTTCCGGTGCCAATGAAACCGCTTGTTCACAATACGTCTTGCATTTGCATCAGACTGGACTACTTAAGGGAGATGATACAACAGAGAGTTTTTTTCGAATTCTTCTGGTGATTTAACCATTAAGTTTTCTTAGCATTAGCACTTTCAAATTCTCTAAAGGCCTCATTATTAACTTGGGCGTTCCGTTGTTTAGGAACTCTCGGTTGCTCATTGTATATCTTCTGAAGAATTTAGTTCTGGAGCTGTGCAATCTCCTCAGCAAGCTCAGGGTCCATCATTTCTTATCATCGATATTTATGCAAAGCTTGTTTTTTCAATATTGAAGGTAACTGCTCATAATATTTGTTTTTAATGGCTTGAAACTTAGATAATCAAGCCCATAACACATTGCGGACTAACAGCAAGTTATTTTTTTTGTTTTGTTTCTGTTTCTCGTTCTTTTGACAACCTGTTCAGTACTTCCCTGAACAAGAGTCTACCAGCAAGTTATTTCTTCTTTCGGAGGTTAGGAAACACATACTTATATTGGAAATAAATCCAACATTCACTATTGCTGGTGAAAAGGTGAGTGGGTTTAATATTTGATTACTGGTTGCAGATCATGGCTGTCACTGTGAGATCTATTCAAAAGGACGCAGAAGATAAAAAGACAGCACTGAATCCAAGACCATATTTTAGATTGTTCATCAACTGGCTACTAGACTTATGTTCCCTGGATCCTGGGACTGATGGCGCAAACTTTCAGGTGCGTTTTCTTTTCCTTGAAGTAGTTGCTATTTATTGCTATCACTAACATCAATCGTTTGTTTGCAGGTTCTGACATCTTTTGCCAATGCATTCCACGCGTTGCAGCCTCTTAAGATTCCCGCTTTCAGGTTAGGACAGAACCTGTTTTTCGTTATTCTCTTGCTAAAAGTAGAATCTTTCAGTAACTATGATTCATGTGGTCTTTTCGTTGATTGATCAATTGTGGTTTACGTTTTTCTGCTCATTTCTTGTAAAACATCTAGCTTTGCATGGCTAGAGCTGGTCAGCCACAGAAGCTTCATGCCCAAACTACTTACAGTTAATGGCCAGAAGGGTTGGCCATATGTTCAACGCCTGCTGGTGGACTTGCTCCAGTTTCTTGAGCCATTTTTGAGAAATGCTGAACTCGGAGGACCGGTTTGTGCTTTTTCGTCTCCAGTAATTTTTGCAGTGAACACTACTGATATAGTTGATGGTACTTAAAGTAGCCTCTCTCTTGTTTGTTGATCAAATACGAAGGTTCATTTCCTATACAAAGGGACATTGCGAGTGTTGCTGGTGCTGCTTCATGACTTCCCGGAGTTCCTCTGTGATTATCATTTTACTTTCTGTGATGTGATTCCTTCAAGTTGCATACAAATGCGAAATATTATTCTCAGTTCTTTTCCGCGGAACATGAGGCTTCCAGATCCTTCAACACCAAACCTAAAGGTTCGGGACGATAGTGGAGAGCGCAGCATGTTCATATCCTAGAGAATAAAAATATCCCTTGTAGGCTGATTTATCTTGTTCCCACTGCAGATTGATTTGTTGCCTGAGATCGTAGAAGCTCCTTGTATACTTTCTGAGGTTGATGCTGCGTTAAAAGCAAAGCAAATGAAGAATGATGTGGACGAATATCTGACGGTAATATAAAACACCTGATTCTTCATTTTACTTAGTTCTCCTTTGGGGTTCTTGAGATTATATCAGGAAATACTCGTATAATTTTTATGCAGTCGAGGCAACAGAGTTCAACTTTCCTAAGTGAGTTGAAGCAGAAGCTGCTTCTCTCGTCCAGCGAGGCTAGTTCAGCTGGAACCCGCTACAGTGTACCATTAATCAACTCGCTTGTGCTATATACTGGAATGCAGGTAGGGGTCTAATGACTATACATGCAATTCAAAGCCTTGTTCACTAAGTGGATATATATACTAAAGCTTAATCTACCGATAACAGGCTATCCAGCAGCTACAAGCGGGTGAGACACAGGCTCAGAATGTGGTGGCCTTGCAGATGTTCAAGTATTTAAGTATGGAGCTTGATACGGAAGGGCGGTACCTGTTCCTTAATGCAATCGCCAATCAGCTTCGATATCCCAACAACCACACTCATTACTTCTCCTTCATCATGCTGTATCTCTTCTTCGAGTCTGACCAGGTGAGGGTAATTTTGCCTCTGTATGCTAAATAAATAAGAGACTTGCCTAGCAAGAGCTAATTTTTTTCTTGGCATTTAATGAAACAAACAGGAGATCATACAGGAGCAAATAACAAGAGTGTTGTTGGAGCGGTTAATTGTGAACCGGCCGCATCCATGGGGACTCTTAATCACATTCATTGAGCTCATCAAGAATCCAAGATATGGCTTCTGGAAACAAGCCTTTATCAGGTGTGCGCCTGAGATTGAGAAACTCTTTGAATCGGTTGCCCGATCCTGTGGTAATCTCAAGCCCGTTGACGAGGGAATGGTCTCTGGTTGGGTCTCCGACAACTCTCATTAGTTCAAATTTGTATTTGTATCTGTGTTGTGTAACATTACAGTAGAGATTTCCAGGATTAATTTAGCTCTCTATTCATCTTAAGATTCATCATATATAAACTTGTTCTTTAATTACAAAACAAGCTCCTTTCACTACATTCTCACTGAAAGGCTGTTAAAAGCGGCCTCTTCATTCATGGCCCATTAACACTGTAAGTGACCCATTACCAGACCGTTATCAGCCCATTAATGGCTCGTTATGGGCCCATCATTGATCTATTACTTGCCCCACACGGCCCATTAGTGGCTCATCCCATTGTATGCCTATTTCGGCTCATAGTGGCTCGTTGGTGGCACATTCGTGACCCATTACCGACGTATTCGTGGGTCATTAAGCGGCCTATTAATGACTTGTGACTGACCTATTATTTGCTCACTTGTATGTCTATTACTGGACCGTCATCAGCCCATTAATGGCTCGTTATTGGCCCATCAATGACCTATATGACTTGCCCTCTAAAGGCCCATTAGTGGCTCATCCCATTGTAAGCCTATTTCGGCTCATAATGGCTTGTTGGTGCCCATTAGTGACCCGTTACCGACGTATTCGTGGGTCATTAATGACCCGTTAGTGGCCCTTAAGCGGCCTATTAACGGCCCGTGAGGGACCTATTAGTTTCTCACTTGTATTCCATTACTGAACCGTTATCAGCCCATTGATGGCTCCTTAGTGGCCCATCAGTGACCTATTACTTACCCTTTAACGGCCCATTAGAGGCTCATCCCATTGTAAGCCTATTTCGGTTCAGAATGGCTTGTTGGTGACCCATTACTGACCCATTACCGACGTATTCGTGGGTCATTAATGACCCGTTATTGGCCTTTAAGCGGCCTATTAATGGCCCGGAGAGTGACCTATTAGTTGCTCACTTTTATGTCCATTATTGGACAGTCATCAGCCCATTAATGGCTCGTTAGTGGCCCATCAGTGACCTATTACTTGCCCTTTAGCGACCCATTAGTGACTCAGCCCATTGTAAGCCTATTTTGGCTCATAATGGTTCGTCGGCGGCCCATTAGTGACAAATTTCCGACGTATTTGTGGTGGTTTAATGACCCCCAAGCGGCCTATTAATGGCCCGTGAGTGACCTATTAGTTGCTCACTTGTATGTCCATTACCGACCCATTAGTGGTCCGTTAGTTGCCCGTAAAAATATGTTAAAATTAAAATTATCAGTTTCCGTGCTGATTCATTTCGTTAACCTCTCTGTTTTCATAGGCGTAACGTAGGTATAACTCTGAAAGTAACATTCGAAACACTGCTTGCAGATACATAAAATGCATCGATACATACATACATATATACATATCCGTCTGCACAAAGCGTCGTATCTAGTTTTGGTGGTGGCGGAGGAGGCGTTCCAGTTGGTGGAGGTGAGCCTTCAAGGCAGCGTGGTCCTGTCGCATTCTCTGCAACCGATCCTCAACCATTATCATCTCCTCTCTTAGGAAATGCATTCTCTTCTCCAGCCATCCCACACTCTCCACAATTGCACTCTTGTCGTAGCTGTAATATTCACTCCCCACCTGCACTTGCTCCGGTCCTCTCTTCAGAAGCACCACTATAGTAACCTGTTTCCACGGTATCCCCTTATCAGCATCTTCTACTTCTCACTCTCACACCAAAAAAAAAAAAAGAAACACTTCATTTAACTTTGAAATACCTGCATCAGTAGAATCACTGCAAACGCTATTACTAAAGCCTGCCTAGTCCCGCTTTGCCTCTTCACAAATGATATCACATTCACCAATGCTTCCCTTAAGATATTTACTACCCCACCCCCTCCTCCCACCATCTCCACCCTCTGCTCTTCACATTCAGATACACTTTCTTCGATTGCTGATAGCACCGCACCTTCCTCACTCAACTTCATCCCTGTGTCAGAATACATTGTCAGCCAGCTATCTACATGAGAAAAAGGCTCCTCTTAAATTTTCACTCTACAGCACAAACCTTCTTGGTTCTCCAGTTTCTTCTGCTTCAACAGTTCATGTGCCTCCACGGATAATCATTTAAAAAAAAAAACAAAAAACTAGTTTAGAAGCCTGCATAAACTGAAAGAAAAAATGGCTGCACAAGTACCATTCTTATCCATGTTGCATACGCTTCTCTAATCTCCTCCAATGTAGACTGCACTATTTTTCCTGCAAAAACTCATCAACTGTGTAATCAACAACCATGAAGACCTAGTGTTGAGAAGCATACAAAACAAAGGTGAAAGAGTTCAAGGACAAAACAAACGCAAAATGAGGCTAAAGAAACCTTTCCACACTGTTCTTTTAGAGAAGGCCACATTGATATAAACATCCAATATTGAACCTTCTATCGAGTCTCGGCAATCTCTTTTCACATCCCAAACCCCCTGGAATCAGGCAAAGGTAAAATATTCACCTTCAACAAAAAATCACTCAGCAAACTACTGACAGCATGCATTAGATGTAATTTTCTTCCTACCTCTACAGTAAAGTAATCTGCATAAGGCACATCGGTGATCTCTTGTGATGTTTCAATAACCAGATGACTAGCAAAATAATGACAATATCAGACAACAGAGAATAAGCATGCATTTGCACAGTCATTTAAAGTGGGATTGGCTTCAAAACAAAGCTGCATATTTTATAAATACCTATCTCTGTACATCCGAAATTTCTGTGACTCCTGGCAGCCACCAAACTTTGCACCTTTGAAAGAAATCCAACAGCAATATTTAGTATAAAATGTAACTGAATTTATGTAAAAGGAAACAAAAATATTACCAAAATAAATTTTTATCGGATGCTGAAATGAGACATTGCGAGTGTGTCCAAGCTTTTCATGAGGTTGCCAAGAGGTACACCTAAATTCTGCACATACAAAAGTCTCTTCTGATTGAAAGAAAAAAAGAAGAGAAAAAACACAAACAGAGAGAAAACGTTTGAAACAACAAAATGATGCCACCAATTGTAGCTCTACCTTTATCTCCACAGTTTTTATGGAAAGATTCAACAAAGCTGACAGCACCATCTGAGAAAAACAATCTGAAGAACTCTTCTACTGGAATCTGCAAACATAAAGTAAACTTTAATTAGGTACATACGAAACTTCTGCATTCAGTTAATGCATTTCATAAATTAGAATGGTAATAGTTCTTTAAATTCTCTATCCCATTAGTCAAACAAAGTGACATTACCGAAAACTTTGCCTCCGCTACCTTTGTAAAATCAGATGATACTGCATGAAAGGAATACAAAAATTTGAGTGGGGAATTCGAATGATAAAAAGAAAAGAGATTACAGTAACGAAGAAGATAGACGAGAGATCATGTGTGCAGAAACGAATTAACCCGTTCAGTAGTTATAGGGTTCCATACTGAGTGCAAGCTTGTCGGGCGCAAAATGAGAACTAGTGTAACTTGTGACGTATCACTGTACCATCAAGAGGCAAGAAAATATAGCTAAGCTACCCCATTCTAACAGGCCTTATAAAGTACAACCATTATGAGACGGTTTCCCCATTGAAAATAATAATTTCAAACAAAGTCAGTTTAAGTTTCGAAACAATAAAGCAAGCTAAGAGATTGACACATAGAAACAGCAAGAAGTTAATTGATTGTCCACTTTAAGTGAACCAACATTTCTTTCTTAAGTTAGGATAAAACCAAGCGTTTGCATTCTTAATACTATCTACCAACAGTTTGACATGTCCCTAGCACCAAATTCCCCATTGAGTTTACTAAAAACACTAGCATTCACATCCTTAAGCAGTTGACTTGAAAATGAAAATCTGAGACGTTACCAAAACCAACCAAAAGGAAAAAAAAAAACTACAATAAAAGAGAGTAAGGACTGAAACTACATTTTGGTGCATTTAAGTCTTCAGGCTTCCAGTTCAAAGTATTGGTTGAAGAGGAAGCCAGAATATCTACAACTGGCTCTGCGTGCCGCTGAACAGTAACAGATGAAGGTGAAAGGCCACTCTGACTAATAACAGGAAGACTGGAACTGCCTGAAAGACGAGGTGATTCATCCCTGTAAAGTGAAAGATAGTGAGCCGTGACGCAGTTAGTTATAGCAACCAGATAGACCATATGGAAGCTCTCAAAGTACCTTGATGGGGAATCTATTTCATTCGCCAAATCCATGGTACTGAGTGCCCTTTTAACAGCTCCATCATTTACATGGTTGTTGGGCTCCGATAAAGAATCCTGGAGAGTTAAGCTAAGGAGGATCAGCATGAAGAAACAAGAAACGAGCCTTAAGCGGAAATGAAAAGTGTATTCGACAATTGCTGTTCGGTCACCTGAATCCCGCCTTGTGCTTTGACAGCACTACCATATTCCAACCATCCGTCATGGATAAGCTTGAAAGCTTCATCGCGGGAAAGAAATGAAGCAAAAAAGTACTGGAGAAAGAATGGAATTATAAACTCAGGAAAGAGGCAACAACCAAAAATGAGTTGAAATGATGATATGATGAGCGAAAGAGAACTTGTGTGGGTACCTTCTTGCCTCCAGCTAAAATCTCAATGGCATTGGGGAAAATACCAGCAGTCTTTGCTCGTTTAACACAAGATATTTCCGCAAAAGGAATAATTTTCTGCAACACAAGTTGAGATAAAAGAATATTGAAAAGGAAAAGAGAGCACATAAAAACACTCAGCAGTATGGAGTAAAAGGAGAAAACAGTACCTTGGTCTCATAGCCAAAGATGTTGGAGTAAAAGCAGATATAATGAATGAAGAGGTACATGTGACCCTGCAATAAGAAAGAGAAGCCAAAATAAGACAAAGATAGATGATCGTATTGAGAAACAACAACAGCGAAAAGAGATAAAGTACCTGGAGAAGAATACTCTCCTGACAAGCACAGTTGAAATCTTGAACAAGGACCTACCACGTACAAACAGAGAGGCGATGGGATACGCAAAGAGGGATCTGGAGAAGAAGCATTGGAGGGGGAAGCAAACATATACTTACTTCGTCGGCTGGAAGCCGAAATAATTGGCGATACTCTTCACTCCTCGATATGACTTCGGACTATAAGTAACAAAAGAGCAAAATCCAGATCAATCAATTGAGATTCCATGTTCCAAGAAATAAGGAAACAAGTCAAAATGAATTACGGCAGCACCTGATTTTCACCACCACGACTAGGGCTTGGAGAAGAAGTGGAAGGGTCATGGCGATCAGGTGAGTCGCTAGAGCGCGATCCGTCGGGTGACGATGGTGAGAGATCGGAAACGACCTCCGTAGAAGCGAATCCAGACGCAGACGAGTCCACCGTCATGACGGTCTCCGGGACGGAAGCAGTAGAAAGCATCGCCATGAGAGAGAGAGAGAGTAAAAAGGATGCTGATGGTAATTCAAAAAAAAAAAAGAGGATGCTGATGAGAAAGGGAAAGTGTTTGTTTACAAGGCTGAGTTTTCGAGTTTGGCGGTGCGGCGTACGACGTCGACGTCAACGTCAACGGCCATTAAGTCAAAAAGCATCGGCCAATTTGGGCTCACATGACTGATTGGCCTTACATTTGGTGGGCCACCTTTGGCCCATATCGCACTGGCAGGTCTACCTTTGGATGGGAAGGATATTAAAAAAGTTCAGGCCGTTAATTAATTTAATGCTCACAGTCACAGGGTTAAAGCAAAAGAGAAGCAAGCAAGCAATGGTAAATTTACAGCTGCCACAAACAAACAAACAAACAAACAAAACATCGAGACTTGGGGACATGATATCAGTTGATAGAGTAGGAACGAGAACAGACGGTCTGCAGAGAGTCGGTGAAGAGAGATGAGAAGCTGGTGAGGGCTTGGAAGACATTTGGCAGGCCGGTTTGAAGATTGTTGAGAGTCATAGCCCGAGTCACCTCCACAGCCTTTTCGTGCCTCATCACCTCATCCTCCACCTGCCTCTGACAAGCCGCCAGCTCCGATTTCTTCTCAGAGAGCGGGTCCCGTGCGTCCAAGGCCTCGGGTCCAGGGCCTATCCCAACCGTCGAATACGCCTGGTAATACTTCCTCTCTATGCTCCTCAGTGACGACGCCTTCTTCTCCAGCTCCTTTCCTGCACTCTCCGTGCGTTTCTTCATCTTCACCTCTTCCCCTTGCTTTATTGATATGACATGGACCACGTTTACAAAGCTCTTTATGGCTTCTGACGCCACCGTGTCAGGCACTCGCTCCAGGCTCAGCTTCCACTCTTCACACAAGGCAAATGACTCCGACCGCTGCTTCTTTGGGTCTTCGTTGCTCAAGGGAACGAGGCTTAGCTTGAACCAGGCGTGGAGGGAGCTTATGAACTCCCTTTGGAATTTGATGATGCGACAGAAGCTCGAGTGCCACAAGGAGACAGCTGACTCTAGGTCCCGCGTCACTTGCCTGTGTACTTCTGACGTTGACTCACCTTTCTCTGTTTGGTTTATCAGACCACGCACTTGTTGGACGATGTTGTTCTGGATTTCGTGGTACTCGTGCATCGACTTCCACATGTACATTAATCTGCATTTGCAAATGGTGGTTAGACACGCAAACAAATCCTCCCTACTTCTACTTGAGTTTTGCCTTGGAAAACGCACAACAGCTGCCAGATTATTTTTACTTTTGATAATATGTTCACAGACTAAACCAGCCATCAAGGAACGATGAAACACAAACCCAGCATCCTTCAAAGATATATATAAAAAAGAAAGAAGAAGGGGAAGATGATGGCTGACCCGTGGCAGAGTTCAACAAGCTGAGGCACAAGGTCAGTGTCCCGGAGGCGGAGAATGGCATTAGACGTGGTTAAAACAGCCTCCGAAGTAACAATGATCAGTGATTGCAATCTGGTGATGGAAGTTTTAGTCTTGTCTAGCTTGGAGTCATCTCCTCCCTTATACTCCTGGCTCTGCAACGCAGACAGCTTCTTCTCGTGCTCAATCTTGACTCCTTCCCTTGCCTAATTTTGCATTCCCAAGTTTATTAGGAAACAGGGGAAAACCGAAGATGGAAAAGAGAACAAGGAAATAGCAAACATACCTTGACATCCTCATATAGCTTCTTCTCCCAGGCCAGGAGTCGGTCTAGAGTGGAGCAGAGGCTCTTGAGGCCGCCTTGTTCATTCAGGGTTGATGCATCTAGCTTGTATTTCACTGCCAATGGTGGTTTAGAGGTCCAGCTTGCGCTCAAGTTGCTGAAAACACTGCTTGAATGGTACACCGTCTCTGCAGAGAGAGACGCACATAGATATGTGAATGAAGCGATTCTCAAAGCACTAGCTAGACAAAGTTGACTAGCGATTCTCAAAGCACTAGCTAGACAAAGTTGACTAGCGATTCTCAAAGCACTAGCTAGACAAAGTTGACTAGCGATTCTCAAAGCACTTGCTAGACAAAGTTGACTAGCGATTCTCAAAGCACTAGCTAGACAAAGTTGACTTACTCCTCAGCTTGCTGAAGCTGCGGTCGAGCTCAGCACGGCCGATCTCAAGCATAGCGGAGACCTGGTCACCAGCGGAGGCAGCCTTGTCGAAGTAGAGTTGAACGGCGTCGAGGATTTCCTTCAAATCCTTGTGCCTTACCACCATTTTCGTCTTGTAGCCGTAGGAAGAAGTCATAAGATGGTCGACCTCGTCCTTGCCGTGGTGGTCTGGTTGCTGTTTCACAGGCTGCGCAGGAGCAGGCGACTCAAGACCGGACCTGGAAGCGTGAGCTTCGCCCTCCCCATCACCGTCGGACGAAGTGGTGGCAGTAAAGCGGTCATGGTCGTCGCCCCATTCGCTGCAGAGAACTTCCTCGGGCTCAGTTTCAGCGTCGGAGTGGCTACGAGGAGGGTGCTTCTCCCGAGCTTTGCGTTCGAAGAACTCAGAGTCGGGGGGAGAGGGAGGGTAGAAATTCTCCCAGTTCCAGACGGAGGAAGCTTGGGAAGGAGAGCGGGAGTAAGCGGAGTTCTGGTGAGCAGTTGGATAGAAAGACCTAGAAAATGTGAGATTAGACCTCTCGCTGACAGGGGAGGAAGACGGAGAGGACTCGGAGAGAATGTGGGGAAGCCGGAGCCTACGGTGGGGATGAGACGGGTTGTGGCGGCGGCGTGTACGGCTTGTCGTGGCGGCGGCGGCGGCGGCGGCGGCGGGGGGCTCGAGAGGAGGGGGTTTGGGGGAAGGGACACTTGGAGCATCGTGGTTGGAGGGGCGGAGAAAAACAGCGGGGGTGTTTTCAGAGACGGCGAGGGGTTCGCCGGTGCCAAATGAGGAGAGGGCGGAGCCGGTGAGACGAAGGGACCGGCAATAGTCGGAGTGAGCGGCGGCGAGATGGTGACGAGCGTAGACGGCCTCCTTCATGAGACGGCGGCGCTCCTTGCAGCGGCGGACGGCGTCCTCACTGTCCAGCTTGGAGGCTGTGCATCCCATTTCTCACCAGAGTACACACACGAGCCACTCTCTCTCTCTCTCCTCTCTGTCTTTTCTGTTTTTCAATTTTATATTTTCAAAAACTTTTTGTCTTTTCAACCAATTAGAAAAAGAATGATATTTTCCACACCGAAAGAAGAAAGACTGAAAAAAAGTAACCAAAAATACAGTTTGCAAGAGTGGTGCTTGACCGAGTCACCGAGGTTTCTTTTTTTGAAAGGCCGACTCGGGAGAAGATAAAGACAATTTATCTACGGGAATAATGGGAAACTTTCAAACTGGGAAGCTTTGCATTTTTGCATTGTCGTTCTTGGTATAGAGAAATACAACCAAAAAAAAAAAAAAAAAGAAGAAGAAATTGGGCCTGGAGGACACGACGAGGGGCCTACATATCTCGAAGCGAGGGACGCAAATGAAAAATCACAGTAGCAATTTTCTTATTTCAAAGGGCTTTATTTTCTGCTCAACAGCTTAGCAAAGACAAAGAAAAACACGGGTGACCAATCAAGAACCCTAATTTGTTTGTGCAATCATCTTCCAGTCGTCTGCAAAGTCAATACACACCCTGTTACATTACATAACTACAAGTAAAATCAGATTCTTCTTCCCACCAGGGTTTTTCTCCCAACACTATATATATAGCTAGTAGAAACACTAACGTACCATTTGCGATTGCCAGGGATGATCCAAGGCAAACCAGAAACCCCTTCTCCTTTCTTAAGGTGATGAAATGCTGATGCTTTCACCGCCTCCTCCTCTAGTGAAACCGAAATCCCCATATATCCCCTGCGCGAAGCAGAACGCTCTTTTACCAACACTTTCCCCCAACCTCATCATACAAGTTTTGTTCGTCTTAAGGAACTAAAAAGCAAATTTTACTTGACCATGTCTTATGTACATACCATTGCGTCATTGACAGCATATGTGACACAGTAATGTTCCTGTTGAAAACAAAACCATAATCAGATGTTTACCTCAATTATCTACACACTAGATCCATCTGTCGCATCATCTAAAAACATGTATAGTGGAGACTCTTGGAATTTAAGACCAATCATCTTTTGCTCTTTTTTTAACTTTCCCATACATACATAGGTGGCAAATCAAGTTTAATAAGGTGGAGACAGACTTGCCTGCATCATGTGCCACTCTTCAAATTCGTCAAACAACTCCAATCGCTCGATCCTACAACACACAACTATCCAATTCAAATATAGTTTCCAAGAGAAGTAGGCTTTTTGACGAAAGGTCATGTACAATGTTGTCTATTTATATATAGAAAGAGGTTCATCTAAGAAAAAGAATGGAAAGCTCAGAAGTCAAGGGCGACAACATTTCTTATGTATTTCTTGACAAAGATTAACTTTTCCGAAAGAGTTCAGGCCAGAGACTAGATATGAATAACATAATGCATTTACACAACTCTAACGATAACTACAGCACTTACCTGCGTTTTTCTTGAGTATCAACAAAACTACCATACACTTTTAGCATGTCCCAAGCAACAGCTCTCTGATACACCAGAACAGAGATGAGAGTAAGATACGAGAAGCCATATATTATACATTATACTTGAAAGTTAGCCTGCGTTCATCCAAAAAATGTACATTATTCTAGCTACAACCAGACATCAAGACCAAAACGGAAGACTGAAGACTGCATCATGGTACTATGAACCAGAGACGCTTTCAAATTCAATACTGTCATCTTGATAGTTGATACCCTATTGCCACATCATAACCGATGGAATTATACAGGAATTGACAACGACCTGGCATAGATTTTTAGCATGTTTTTGCTAGATGACTTTACACTCAAATCCTTGCATATTTTCATTTAAATAAGTTGCACTTCCAACTGTTTCGCAACTCAGTGCATGATTGCAAAAATGAATACATCAATCAGATTTGCATTTCATTAAATTTTAACTGCAAAACGCACCTGCCACCCATTGTCAAGAAACAATCTCTCCTTCGCAAGTAGAGTCGGCGACGCATCAATGCTTAAGAGTGCACAACCCCGACTCTGAAGCACAGAAACACCATTACGGCTATAAGAAATCAGAACGAGCTTCAATGAAGGTAAATTGATCAATAACAGATGTACAGAAGTCATAATATCGTGATATTTAAATATATTACTAGATTCGACATACTTTTGCGAAAATTTCAACAAGTTAAGCTTTACTCATGAAGATGTAATTGCGATAAGAGTACACATTATTACCTCTAAATTTCTAATCATTTGATGTCCAAATGCATCATCTGGATGGATCTGCAAACAGAGAGCCAAGACAAATCAGAAGCAGGAATCATATCTGCAACATTATGCAGACAAAGAAAATCACATTTAAAAACTCTATAGATATAAAATGCCAGAAAACCTGCTCATATAAGAAAAATATTGCAGTTGAAAACGTTTCTGACGCCCACTTGACGATGGCACGGCTTGAATCTGGGTCCAGATATATCAAAACACATTCTGCAATAATAAATGTCGGCAGACTGATAATGATATTAGCGATCAAGCAGGTGGAGTTGAGGTGAAGAAAATATGTTATAACAGTGTGTAACATAAAAAAATCTGTTCATGCGTACCTTGGATCCATATCTGCAAATGATATGACATCTCTCAATTTCGGTATATCACGCAGGTCAACTGGAAGTAACTTGTAATGATCACTGAGCACTTGCCCTTCCTCTGCAGAATTAAGAAGCATAACAAATATAGAATAAGCTACTAAAACTACAAGCCAACGGTAAAAAGCAAAAGGGAGTTGCATTAATGGCATGTAGAAGCTGACAGAATGAGAGGTAAAGAACAATATCAGCAATAGCTGGACTGCCCTAGTTGAAATTCATCATAAAGAAAGAAATCACTCTACATTTCGCATAACAAAAAGGCCTCTCACCAACTAAAATAGATGCATTTGCTCCTAGCTTGTCCCTTAGCTGGCTGGAGCTTTCTATAACAGCAGCCTTTTTACTTGTCACCTAACGTAACAAGTGAATCCATTAGGCATTAAGACTCAGTATACCTGAAGAACATTTTGTTCAGCATTCTTCAAGTAAAATCCAATTAGTTAAGAAAAAACATAAAATTCATGAATGGTACCTCCTTAAAGTCCAGTTCCACATACAAATTGGGCCCGGTGCCCTCATCCTACAAAAATGGAAAAATGAGAAGAGAAGCACCTTCAACTCCCACAAATACGCCCGACTACATATAATGAGGACAAAAAGAGAATACAGTAAACTTCCCAGACCTACAAAAACGAAAAAAGACGCACCAGCAACTGAAAATACGTAGTATCAAAGCCAGCTCCGAGTGACAATATCTGTTTCTTCGCTTGAGCTGTTTCATTAGAACTTGTCCCACAATCCAGAAACTGAGACATAAGCTTTCGGAAGGCAGCCCAGCGGGAAAAGTAACCTAGGGATCCAAAACAATAGCGTTAAGCTGATCCAAACAGGACACACAGCTAAAAACATTACCCACATCGGTAAGAGTTACCTCTATTAATTATCGGAGATCTTCGAACAGGTCTTTTCACAAAGAGATGAACATAATCGTCTTTCATATATCCCTTTTTGACACAAGACCTTCAACATTCAGAGCAAATCAGCATAACCACACACCTTATCTTATCTATGCTCTAAAATCCACAAAAAAAACAAACTAATAAAACACAGATCAATCCGGTACTGAAACAGGGAGTAAGAAATAACAATCTCAAAGAAGAACCCTAATTTACGGGAGATTTGGGGAAACAAAACAGAAGAAACCAAGTGGAAGAGACAAATACAGAAAGAGGTAGCGTACAATTTACTGGCCGATGCATCGTCGTTTGTAGCCTGCACAGCCGCTCTACTGCTGCGAGATTCTGCCGGTGAAGTCGCCATATCTTCCGATCAGTTTCTTTCCAACGGGACAGAAGCAGAGCCTCTACGTGTTTGTCGCCGCTGGCAATTAGCAAACAGTAGTACGACGGGTTTATGATCTTTATTATTTTGGGCCTTGGCCCAATAGATACGTTTTGATTGAATAGGTAATTAACCTATTTAGTGCTATGTTTTGAAAAAAAAAAAACATATCTTAATGTTTACTCTTGAGGTATTTTTTTATTAAAGGAGATTAAGTTTTAATGTTTTATCTAGAGGGAAAATCAAGAAAACAAAAAAAGAAGCTTATATTTTGTCTTTTGATTAAAAAAGGAAATTAGAGACGTCATATTATTTTCCGTCATATAAAAAGAGCTGACGAGAAGAAAAACTAGCAAGTCTCTTCCCGTTTCTATATCGGACTTTCACTTTGCGGTGTGGAAAACCCTAACACCGGATCTTGCTTTTCGTCGAAATCGATTCATCGTAAGCTTTTGGACTCTGGTCTGCTTTTTTTTTTCTTCTCCACCGATGCTTCCTACACCCTTTGATTGCTGACTTCAGTTTCTGTATTCGTAGTGCGTGAGTGATGGATATCGAGCAGAAGCAGGCGGAGATAATTAATCATCTCGTTCACCGAGCTTCTTCATGCAAAGGCGAGGCCCTGGGTCCTATCATAATCGAAGCTACATCGCATCCTTCTCTATTCGCCTTCTCCGAGATTTTGGCTTTACCCAATGTTGCCCAGGTCACTGTCTCCAGTGTTTCTTTCTTACGCTTTAATTGCTAATCATATGTTGGATCCATTATGCTTTGATTTTGGGACCTAACTCGACGATCTAGGGCTTCTCTTGTTTGCTTTAGGAACCTTCCCAAGATTGATAGTTTTCTGTTCGTATACATAGGAGTGTGTCTTTGTTTTTCTTTTCTTTTTCTTTTTTTGGCTTAGTGGTGGTGCTTTCTTGTTTGCTGAACGTTTGTTTTACAGAAATTAGTTGTAAATGTTTTCGTTTGAGTTACTCTATTCATGGAGTTAGTAATATTACTTAGTAGGTTTCTCCTAATGTTGCATTTTATTGGTCTCTTAAGCTCTTAACAATGCATTGCAGCTTGAAGGAACCACAAATTCTGTCTACCTGGATGTGCTACGGTTGTTTGCCCATGGCACCTGGGGTGACTACAAATGTTCGACTAGAACCTTGAATATTTCGATTCGTTTTACCTTATGAATCTGGTTCATACCCGCTTTCACATTTTCTTATATGAACGAAAACCTAGGCAATGCTAGCCGTATTCCTCAGTTGGCTCCTGAACAAATACTAAAGCTAAAGCAGCTCACTGTGCTTACCCTTGCGGAGTCAAACAAGGTCTTACTTTTTTTTCTTTTGTTGGTTGGCATGTAGCTTAATACTTTTTTTGTCCTAAATCAGCACTAAGTAATTAGGTTCATGATTGCCCCTAGCCTGCTCTGTTATGTACTCTGTTCCATTATCTATTCGATTATTGCGGGTCCCTTTTTTCAACTTTCTAAGACGCCCCTGTTTACTGTACCTTAGTTTGTTTCCCTATCTCTTGCACATGTATCTCACTCTTCTTGTTAATTACTTAACTTTCAAATAGATATTGCCCTATGGTACACTGATGGTCGAGTTAGATGTCACCAATGTCCGTGAACTCGAGGACTTTCTTATCAATGAATGCATGTACGCGGTGAGTACTCTAAGCAACTTTTCTTTCTGAGTAATCTCTATTTTTATTTACCACCAAGTTGCACAGGCAACTAAGTATGGTGCTGATTATTTTTAAACTGTCCAGGGTATAGTTAGAGGAAAACTGGATCAGCTGAAAAGATGTTTCGAGGTGTGTTTTGTGTCTCATCTCCTTATATAACCATTGTGATTTTTGTTTTAACTTATCACACCTCTTTGAGTGTCATATATCTTGGAATCATGCAGGTTCCATTTGCAGCTGGTAGGGATCTAAGGCCAGGACAACTTGGGAGTATGCTACACACAATGTCAAACTGGTAGTTTCTTTCATCTAGTTTTCTACTTCCTTTGGTTCCCAGGTTTTTTTTGTGCTCTTTATCGTTTTGATAGAATCCGTACATAGTGTTAGAAGATATGACAATAACGATTTTACCTCCGCGACCTGCTCTTGAATTCTATGTGAATTTTCCTTTTTTTTTTATGAAACAGTTTGTGCCTTGCTTGATTTATGAGACTGTTAATGTGCTGGCAATAATTGATGTGTAGGTTGAACACATCAGAAAATCTGCTTGTTTCAATTCAAGAGAAGATAAAATGGGCGGACAATATGAGTGAGATGGACAAAAAACATCGTAAAGAAGCCGAAGAAGTGGTGGAAGAAGTGAAGAAGTCTCTGTCCATGAAGGTCAGTGAACATGTGATGGGTTTAGAAGCCTATTCTCTACCAAGTATATAATGTAACTAGTTATGGTTTAGAATCATGGTTACTTTTACGTAACCATGAGTTAAGAGTCCAGTTAGCTTTTCTGTCGTATATCTTCAGAGGATTAGAGTTGGTTTATCATGAATTTAGTTCATTGCAAGAGGAAGGGAAGAGACTCCAATATGAAATCTCTCAAGGTCTTCCAGCTTTGTAATTTTATAGATTAAAAGATATGTTTCTAAATGTTGAACGAGTCAGTGAGTCGTGGCAGGTTTTTTTTTTTTAATGGTCAAGATTGCCATTCGTGGTGTGACATTTAAACTTACATGGTGGATATAAAATCCACCACAGACGCCTGCTGTGTTACATTTTAGTGGTAAAGTATCGACCAAAGATGAGAGGAAATGAAGTGTTTGGAATGCAGTACTTAGCATATGCACTTATACTTGATTTAGCTGTTACGTTTTAGAGGAATGAAACAAGGTTTTTGTGCGTTGATTTAAAACGAAATGTAGAAAGGAAACTGTAGACTTTTGTGAAATGACATTGGGATGGGTATTGGTCGATGTAGTCTTACTTACATTGTGGACAGGTGGATATTGACATCAGAGGGCATAAAGAGATGTTTGGGGAACCAAGTGGAGTGATGGACTACGAAAAAGATGGAATCCGACCAAAGAGGTAACATACCATTAAATATTTGATCTGATATATGATACAAGGCATGTGCAAGTATGAGATTATATAATGCAAACTAGAAAGGAGATGATAACACACACTCATCTTTGGAAACGCAGGAGGAGGCATCCGGTACCAAGGTAGGGATTTGTAATGTTGTTAATGGACAAACCATTTACGGAGAGTAGATTATGATGATGATGATTTTGGGGTGGGGTGGAGGGGGACTTATGTAATGTAAGCCCTCTTTTGCTTGCAAACATGAGGGTGACTCTTGAGATAATTATATATACATAGAGAGAGGAAGAGAGGCCCCTCCTCTGTTTTTCTATTATATTTGCACTTTCTTGAAAACGCTTTACTTAGGCCACGTTTTCCATTAACCTCTTCTCTATTTTATATATCCAAGCAAATGAAACTCGATAAGGAAATCTTGCTTTTGCTTCCACGGGTATATCATGATTATTTTTTTTATTTTTATTTTTGTGCCCTCGATGTAGGTAGCTTTTTTCTTTATTATTTATTTCTATTGAACAAGCTTATAATATGCAAAATTGCAAACACCCTCATAGGATAGCCTTCGCAAAGAGCCTGATCCTCTCTGCTTTTCACACTCGGGGTTGTTCACATTATTTTTAGTTTGTATGTTGCTAGCTTTGCTTGATCTATTTGGCCTCAATCAAAAACATAAGTAATTTTTTTAGGAATGAAAGAGAAAAAAAAAAGAGTTTTCAGACATCTGAACACAATTTCCCATTGTTGTAAATAAAAAAGATTTCAATGTTTTCTGTACAGAGGGATATTTGCCTCGAGATGACTTGCCAGAGTCTGAAACTTAACAGACCTTGATGTTGACACCAATACTCTGCAACTGATCAACAAGGACTGGTCTCCTTGGCTTGGCCCCTGAAGACTTGAGCCATAAGCAAGAGATCTTTGCAAATGCAGCTTGGCTTACAAACTGGACCTTGCAAGCCAGACTCTGCTCTGGCAACACATCCACGGACGCAGCATTACCACCTGTGTTTTTTATAGGCTCATCATACCCAGCCAAATCTGACTCTGTTACCACCACCACCGACCCATCATCAAAACCTGACAAAACCTGTTTCGGCCCTGCACTTGCTAAACGTGTTCGCTTTACAATTTCGTTTGCCTTCCTTGCCATATTGTAACTGTAGAATTGCTTCACAGCCTGCCCATTCAAAATCTATACCACCTTAGCAAAAAAGCGCGGCACCAGTTTGTCAAATATGAATATATAGAAAGCGCACCTTCCACTGAGCCGAAGCAAGCATGACCCGCGGCCTTATGGACCTAATGTACTCAAACGCACACTCGGGTGTCATTTCCCTGTATTTCACCTAACGGGTAAATGGGTACGAGTGAGAAAATATATCCTCCTCTTGATAAAGGTAAGCTAAAAAAAAAAAAAAAAAAAATAGTCAAAGGATGGATGGCAAACCAGGTAACAGAGAACAATGGTTGTGCTGCGTCCCCGACCAGCCTTGCAGTGAACATAAGTAGTCTTGCCACTTGACGCATTCCCTTTTTTACCAAAGAAAGCAATGGGATGATGCCAGACAAGACAAGTAATGAGTTTTCAAGAAACAGAAAACCAGATGATATGGGAACTTACTGTGAATAAAATCAACAGCTTGGCAAATATCACTGATTGATGGAGCAAAGAGATAATCCCTTGTAGGAAGCTCTAGATGGTTAATACCATGAGCCTACAAGGTGCAGGGGATCAAAATTAGAGTATATCTATCTAGTCTAGTAGAAAGGTGAATGAAAAGAAAAAAAACTTACATGATAGAGAGATGTGGGAACCAAAGTCTCAAAAGGCTCGTTGAGGGTAACGACGCCATATACACCAAGTTCCTTGAGACGTGGAACATGAGTGGGGAAAGGCACAGCACCTAGCAAAACATGCTGATGACCCACAAAAGCTTTATATATCATGGGAAGAAACACATTATTGTAAATTATATCTATCATCATCCACGAAATAACCAGATTCTTTTTGCAAACTACATCTTATATCATCAATTCATCATCAACAAAAAAAAAAAAAGGTGAGAGGGTTTTTACCTCATCGACTAGATCCCACCATCGGAATTCTGACTGCATCATGTTCCTGAGAACGTTGTATAGCAATGTTGGGTAGAAAAGTGCGCGACCTCCAGCTCCAACAAGAATACGTTTCGCATTCCAAACACCTAAATCACTTGTACAAGCCACAATCGATTCATTTCCATCCGTTTGGCTCATCTCTTCTTCGCCTTCCTTTAACTCTTGGATGTACATTTTTTTTCTTTCTAGTCCTATAGTAGTTTTTATTTCTTGACGAATCTAAGTCGTCGTGGAGACAGATCAAAGAAACCCTAGAAATAGAAGAGCCTAGGAAAACAAAATCGATTTGGGACAAAGGACGATTATTATTGATCACGAATCGGGCGATAGATATGAGGCACACTTTTTATGATTAGGTTAGGGAGAAATGTTAAAAACATGGGAGGACAAGTCATCTGATCTTACTCAAAAAGGATAATCTCCAATCTTTCCTTTTCTCAACAAACCCAGAGGCTCACCAAATAAAATTCACTGCTCTCCAATTATTTCCATTTCCCTCTTTTCTTTTTTTCTTTTTTCGTTTACATTAAGACAAGTGTGGGAACAAAAAATATCCTCTCTTTTTGGGGATCTAGCAACAAATTGTAACAATTTCATTTTTCTAACTACTACTATATTACATAAATCTGTAAGCAATTTTTACATTTCAAATATTTTTCTGCGTATTTTAAGTATAATCCCTTAAGTTTAACAAATTTATGACTTTTACCAATATGTTAACAAATAAAATATATAATCTATATGTTCTTCATTATATTTTCAGAATAAACTATCATAGAAACACAAAAAAAAAAAAACGAAAATTAATCTTCTTATGTGGAATAAATCACCATTACCACCAAACTTTCTGATAAACTTATTTTCTTACGCTAGATAATATACAATTATTGAAATATGTATAGCTACACAAACAACATTGTTGGGTAGAAAAGTCATATTTGCATTTCAATCATAGAATGCAGGTCTGTTTTCTGAGGGGCAAATTTTGGGCTTGGGCTTTATAATAAGAGAGGCCTTTGTGTTGCAATGAAAACCCAATCTCAAATTACATAGAGAAGAAGAACAATGACAATGAGGAATAATTAACATCATCATTCTTATTTGTTCTGATTATTATCTATACTATAAAACTGGTTCAACTCTCTCCAGTTTTTTGACACGTTAGCATCTGTGAGAGTGACACGTGGCATTTAAAAAAAAAAAAATCTCATCTATTCATCTTCTCAAACGAGTCGTTCCTCTTTCTATTCATCTTTTTCCTCATTTTAAAGTTTCTAATATCCACTTCCTGAAGCGTTTAATCCTTCCAAATTCCAATTCATTCCACTGCCACATTTGTACTTTATTGTTCCTTTAAAATCCCAATTAAAAAAAAAAGTTTCTCAAAAATTGTTCAGAAAGATCCTGAGGATCAAATTAGGGCATAGAAGCCTCTCCAAACGACGGAACAAAAGCAGCCGACAAGTCACCTTCTCCAAACGATGCAACGGTCTCATGGAGAAAGCACGTTAGCTTTCTGTTCTCTGTGATGCCTCCGTCGCTCTTCTCGCTGTCCCCGCAAGCTCTACAGCTTCTCCTCTGGCAATAAGTACGACTTCTCCTCCTCTGGGTTTAGCTAACTTCTCCTCCGCCTACGACTTCTCCTTCTAGAAGGTATTCTGGGTATAGCTAACTTTATTAGCATTGTTCTCTGTAGTATGATTTTGAGAATGGGAGAGCTTATTGCCCAACTGTCATGCAGAATTGTTCTCTTCACTTACATATTTCTTTTCAAGTAATGGAAGTCAAATCTTAGATTACCAACTTGGTTTACAACGCTCCACTAAAAGAGGTTGAAGTGAATTTGTGAGAGACCCATTCAGCTGAATGAATGAATTCTTTTACCTGTCTGTGAAAACAAAAGGTGTTCATTTGTTGCTCCACTGGTATGCAGGCTCTTCTGGAACCTGGACGCATACTTTCAGCTTGTGGTGACTGAATCTGTCTGTTGTTTTCAAATATTTAGCTGATCTTTCTTTATCCATCATTATAACATCTGGGTAAGCAGCATCCTCTATCAAAGATTTAGCTGATCTTTCTTTATCCATCATTATAACATCTGGGTAAGCAGCATCCTCTATCTTATTCTTGCTTCTGCAAAGAATTATGTCATCTTTTTAACGTTAGATACACATTTTCATGTAAAAAAAAATCGAGTAATAACTGCTTGTTACCTCACTATGTAAGGTCGTTTTAGAAGGCACAACGTCATCAATGATCACTTATCATATTCATATTTGTTAGTTAAGCTTGACTACACATTTGGTTGCAGTCTTATTTGTATAGCAACATTATATCTGCACATATCATTCGACTCTTATCCTTCACCCATTGGCTGCTGATTTGCTAACTTTCCATTGTTTCTCTTTTTGTCATGATTCAACTGTAGTTATCTTGGTTATGAAATACAAGACTTTGTCACCGATGAATTCTTTCTCATCTGAACTTGGGATGCAATTTGGTACTTGTTTAGAGGCTCCACATGTGATTGATGTTAATCTGCAGGTTCTGAATAGAGCCCTCCACTTAGCAACAATTTCCAGAACTGAATGTATGATTTAACAGCCTCTTTGGTCCAGGTGTGGGCTGGTGCAATCTCCAATGGTCCTGGTAATTATCGTCTAAATGGAAGTTATAAAACAGCTGATGCATACTCATTCCAGGTACTAGGCATTATATCATTGGTTGAATCGTTTTTGTCTGTAATATGTTCTTCTACTGAGATGCATTGTTTTCGTGTATTGTAAAACACAATGCTCCACTTTGTTTTGAAGGACGCTCTAGGGAAATAGTTAGAAGAAATGTGCACTATTGTACCAGGTGGTTCGCTTGTATTTTTTCCAAGCTATAAATTGATGGAAAAACTTTGTACGCGTTGGCGTGAAATTGGGCAATGATCACGCCTCTGCCTTAAAAAGGATGTTTTTGTTGGTGAGTAACATCTAATCTTCTCCTGTAGAAGTTGTTGCATCAAATCATATAGTGATTCATTTTGTTTTCTTGTAAAAAACTGTATATGAATTCGATTCTGTTCTGAAGGGTTATTATTATTTTATACGCGGAAAGCACACATCGATTGGACGAAATAGACGAGCTAAGAAAGCAGGGTTTGTTAAAACTGAAAGTCAAGATGATCTCAAGAAAGGAGCTGCATTTTTGGCAGTATTTAGAGGAAAGGTCTATTGAGCATGATTTACAATTTAAGGGAGCTATCCAATCATTGAGCATGATATGGGTTACCTTTTACCATTCACAGAATATAACTTATTTGAAAACTTTGATGACTAGAGAGTTTAAAGCCTACATGTTTCTCACAGGTTTCAGAATGAATTGACTTTGCGGACGACAACGCCAGGGTAGTGGTATCCTTTTCATTATATTGGCTGGGAATACTGTTTCGTCAATTACTGCAGTCTTTTACTGCCATAGAAGCTGTAGGACAAATAGGATTTATACTGCACAATTTGGCTAATGAATGGGCTGCTGAACGTTGATGATTACACAGATAATTGTTGGCATTCCATTTCTAAACTTGTAAGAATTCTATTTCCATTTAATTTTTTTTCCAGCTTCGTTCAAAATCAATTTAGGGGGAACAGTTTTCTAACGAGTCACTTTATTACCAGGCATGATATTCACGTCGGACTAAAGAAAAAATATAATGATATGTAAAAATAACTAACTGTGTGTAAGCCAGTAATCAGTGAACAACAAGTGTTTGTGTAAAAAACCAGCATAATATCTTTACAAAAAAGAGTTAGAAACACTAACTAAATACCTTATTTCCTCAAAAATAGAAATATATATACATCGACCAAATAATAATCTTGTTAAAATTAATAATAATGTAAGAAAACAAAAAGCTGTAAATAGGCTTCAAACAACTAGAAATCAAAATGCAGGATTGTTAATTTATTTTCAATGAAATGAAATAGAATAAAAAAAAATTAAATATTTCAATAGAAAAAAACAATAAACTAATAAACAGAAAAACAGACATGATCATGTTAAAAAAAATAGAATAGATAAATTAAATTATAACACCAGAAATTTTAATATCATCATAACAAAATTTGTATCAAATCCTATATATTAAAAAATATGAAAACAATAAATATTAGTTAATTTCGTATGAAATACTAAATAATAATAATTATCCGCGCGGACTGTATATTAAAAGTTGGCTAAGGAATGTATAAATTAAGTAGTTGAAACGAGGTGGAAGTGGATTTGAATGGTGATTCTATCTCCCACGAGGTAACCTCTGGAATGGTCGTGGAGATCAACAAGAGACATGAATCGTTGGAATCCCAAAGAGGGTACCTCTCGAGAGTACCATTTGCCGACTGCGCACAAATTAAAGATTATATATAAAAATCAGAATCGATGAGAAGAAAGAGGAAGGGAGGAAGAAATGCTTACGTTGCCTCTGGATGTTGTTGGATGGGTTTGTGTTGAGGACTCGGATGCTGGCTTTGGCGTAGACCTTCTCATTCACGCGGAGGCTTTGGGTGGATAGCTCCAAATATATCGACAAGTAGTTGCGCCATCCATCCCCGTCTCCTCTCGGTGCCACTCTCACTTTCCTGCCAACATATTTAAGAGATTATTTATTGTTATATATTGTTAGGATATGCTTTATTACTCTCTCACACATTCTCTCTATCATATCACCTTCAAACATCGATCTCTCTATTTGCTCACCAGTTACTTCCAGCGACGGCGAATTCATCGGAGTAGACGAACTTGTACTCCTCCAGCCGAGAGAAGTGCAACATCTTCCATGTGAAGTTGCCGTTTTCAGGCTTGTCTAAAAAGGAGAGTCGTTCCGAGTTGTGGTAGGGTTTCAGGACAATGACCTCAGCTCCAAACTGGCACTTGTCTCCCACAAGGTACCCATTCTTCTCGTTCAACAAGGTCGACAGCTGCATCAGTTTCCCTATTCCCCACTCTGTTTTCGCTGCGTCCAATCGCTGCACTTCCCTCTCTGCACCACCCACCATTCTTTCAAATTTCATCATATCCAAAATCCTAACGTAAAAGAAAAGAATAAAAGGAATCATTATTGTACTGTACCCTCCACCACCAAATACTTGTTCCGTGGCTTAATCTGCACAAAGAAGCTGATCTTGGTGTGAACCTCCCAGCCTTGTGGCAAGGAACTTGGCTTGTCTAGTCTCAAATAGAGAGATATATGATCTGCACCATTGTCTCTAGTGTTACCACTCGGATACAGTGTCAGTGTCCTGTTCCCACACTCAACCATGTCAATTCATTTTACAGATAAAAAACAAAAAATGAATTGTTGAGGATGATACTTTTACTTACCAATTGTAACAACCACCGGACTGAAACACATCTGATTCGTAGGTCTCAGTGCCAGTGCTGACCAATTTGGAATATGAGCCGAGGTTTAGAGCGTATGTGGAAGGAGGAGCATCTCTGAAACCCCTGGAGATGGAATTGCTGCCGCCATTGAGTAAGGGCATGACCTCAACCAAGACAAGACATGACAAGAGGCAGAGCAACAGAGTTGCTGTGTACTTGTTCTTCTTCTTTTTCTTCTCATCTTCTTCTAACAACATCATCCTCATCTTCTTCTTTTATCCACACACCTTGTTTACTAGACCCGGATGCACCCCTCTTGCAAATACTGCGTATAATATTCAAGGGAAATTTTATAAAAGAGGAAAGAAAAAAAAAATTAGTTAGTTACAAAGAGGCGGTTTCTTTTGTTTCCCATATTGAACACGTGTCTTCTCCAAGTTTTGAATAGGCGACAATCAACCAAAAAAATACATATGTCTAACTCACTCCGTCTCTACTGGGCCATTAACGGCCCTTTAATGAGTCGAAAATAGACAATGTTGCCCTAATTGTGTTATTCTATTGTTTACTTAACATTTTAGTTTGTTTTAAACCACGCTTCAAACAAAATTTTATTAAAACCTGGGCCTATAGGCACGGCCCTATACAAAGCAAATATTACGAACAAAGTTCAAGACGTGAACTGAGAACACTTGTAAACGACTCTTCTAAAAACACTTTTTTTTTTCCCTAGATAATGGCATGATGACTTAAGGTTGGAAGCCAAGGCTGGGGATATGACTAGGCAATCAAGTTGAGCAGCATCCATTCTTCTGGGCAACAGGCTGTCCTCTGATCTGCACCGTCGGAGGTCTTGCATTGTTCCCTGCTGGTTGGCTTGCCATTCTGCATCCACACCACATATCAATTTCTTTTCATTGTGTCACAACCACTCACTCATTCACTCTGTAAATTGGTTGGAGACAGACAAAACTACATGAAAACTCAGAGCAATAAGATGATTTTTCAATTTTGAACACGGCAGTGTCAACATCAGCCTGCTCTAAAAGTTACATTTATTCCCTTTTCTAAATCTCTTTAGATACATAGTTACTTACTACTCTAAAAGCACGCAGTGATCACTTGCTGGAGTTCAAAGTTCCACAGAGAATTTCATTTTATTTATTTTTAAATCCAGAAATGAGCTGATTGATGGCTTCGCAAAATTTCCATCAGGTCTGAAGGATCTTTAAAGGTTGTAAAAAAATGATGTATAATTAACTACCTCTCTTTGATGGATGCCGACATCGCCATGAAAGCCTGTTCCACGTTTGTAGCATCTTTTGCGCTAGTCTCCATGAAAGGAACTCCAATTTCATCGGAAAATGCCTTAAAAAAATTTCGAAACTCATCAGGAATGCAATTATAACCTTAAGAAAGCATAAGATTTAAGTGCATGATATACCTTTGCTGTTTCATATGGAACGGCTCTGTTTTCAGCAAGATCACACTTGTTCCCAACCAGTAGTTTGTTCACATTGTCACTAGCATAACGATCAATTTCACTCAACCATTGCTTCACATTATTGAAGCTTTCTTGATCTGTGACGTCGTAGACAATCTACCAGGGGGAAGGCCACCAGGGGGTAAGTTAGAACATAAGAAACCAACAGAGGGAAGTAAAAGACTTACAATGATTCCATGTGCCCCACGGTAGTAACTGCTAGTAATTGTCCTGAACCGCTCTTGACCAGCAGTATCCCACTGAAAAGTATATGGTTAACATTGAGACTAGTTAATGAGAAGCAAGAAAAGTTAGGGAGCTATAAAAAAACAGCAACCTTGTTTGAGAAAACCTAACTGTTCGCTAAGATATGAAACAAAGACGGTAAGACATGAGGAAATATGGGCATCATATGGTAGAGTTATGAGCTTAAACTTGTCTTGTTCATATTGCTAAAGGATAAAGTACACTATAGAAAGAGGAACGTACAATTTGGAGCTTAATCGTCTTCCCATCTTGCTCCACAGTCCGAATTTTCTGAAGAAAACAAATACAAGTTCAGATAAACGCCTCGGCATCAATTAAAACAACAAATAAATAACGGAAACAACTTACAAAATCGACTCCAATAGTGCTTATGTAACTTTCTACATACGAATCATCCTGCAAACACGAGGTAAAAGAGGGTCGCCAATCAGATATCTGACCCAGAAGTATGCAAATGGAAGAAGCAGTGAGTAAGGCCATAATCACACTCAAAATGCAATAGCCAACAAGTCCTGATAAGAAGCCAGATGAGCAAACGTAGAGTACAACAACAACAACAAAAAAAAAAAAATCATGAAAGCTACAACGTTTGATTAGATACTGCTCTCTCCACCCCCACACACAGAAAGTACTCGAGATTGATGATCTCAAAACTTACAGCGAATCTCAAAAGTAGACAAGACTTCCCCACGCCAGAATCCCCGATGAGCAAGAGCTTGAAAAGATAGTCGCTGCCAAATCCGAAAACAGAATAAATAAAACTTGAAAATTCAACCCAAAAAAAAAAGTTAAGTGAAAACTACGATTTTAAGCACAGGAGAGACTGTTCAAGTAATCTAGATCAGATACTGGAAACAAAGAAAAATTCAACCAGACCAAACAAAAAGACGGAGCAATTAGTGCAAGTGGGATCAAATAGAATGATGTCGAAGCCCTAGAGTTTCTAGATGTAGCAAACCACCGTAATCGTGGAATCTATGTCAACTTTAACCGAAGAAATTGTCGATGGAGAGAAAAGAACTTACTACTCGGGATTCATAGTGGTTTCGATGGTGTCAACAACTGTCAAAGGGAGGACGACAACCTGTGGGAGGAGAATGAATGCAACGGCGATACAAAGCCGAGAGATATCTTGCAAAAGGAGATTCAGAAAAAGCCAACAATTGGGCCTTGAAAGAAAAGCCTTTTATTCATTAAATAATAACGAATGGAATAGAGGCCCAATAAGACCTATTGGTGGAGGGCCTACAGAAGAAGGTCCTAGGGTTGCAAAAGTTCATAGATACACACTTCTCTTAGCCTCCTCTTCTTCATCCTTAGACAAACGAAGCGTCGAAAATGGAGCAAACTTTCATCATGATCAAGCCCGACGGTGTCCAGAGGGGACTCGTACGTTTCTTTTTCTTCCCTCTTTATTCTTGTTGCCATTTTCAGTTTGATGCAACGATAAATTCGGTTGCTCTGTGAATTTGGCTTTATGCTTAAAAAGTAGCTAGATGCTTGGCTTGACAATGATTCATTCCACTATGTTGGTGGTTTCAGATCGGTGAAATCATCTGCAGGTTTGAGAAGAAGGGTTTCACTTTGAAGGGTAATGATTCCGGACTTGCTTAGTAGATTCATTATAAAATCTTGACTTTGATGGATTTCATTCATCAACTAAGTGGATGGGATATACACTGTACAGGTCTGAAGCTGATCAGTGTTGAGCGGGCTTTTGCTGAGAAGCACTACGAGGACCTGTCTGCCAAGTCCTTCTTCAGTGGTCTGGTTGATTACATTGTGTCCGGGCCTGTTGTTGCAATGATCTGGGAGGGGAAGAATGTTGTGTTGACAGGGAGAAAGATCATTGGAGCCACAAACCCAGCAGCCTCTGAGCCTGGAACCATTCGTGGGGACTTTGCAATTGACATTGGTAGGAACGTGATCCATGGGAGTGACTCAGTGCAGAGTGCTAACAAAGAGATTGCACTGTGGTTCCCTGATGGACCTGTCAACTGGCAGAGCAGCCTCAACCCTTGGATCTATGAGTAGTAGTCTTCTCTTCTTGACTCTCCCCCTTTCTTATCATTAATGTGTTTTCTTCTGACATTTGTTTCTTTCATCATCTATATTTAAACTTGAAACCGAAATCAAAAGGGAGGATTTTCTTTTACAAGTCCAAACCAAAAAGTCAAATCTTTTCTTCGTTTAATTTCAAGTATGCAAATTAGCTAGTGAGGACCACACAAAGTAAAACATTATACTCTAACTCTACTCTCTTCACACGCATCCCAGTCAGTCCCCACCGAATCCAAACATTAATTATATCATAACCGTCTAAATGTTGACTATTCCAGCAAAATTTATGCTTTATACCTTAGAGAAATGATATTCATTGGTAAAAATGGCTTGCAATAAGTAAAAATAGATGGATCAGGGTTGAGAGAGTGAATCATGTGTTAAGAAAACAGCAAGTAAATTGTTTGACTTAGGTTGGTTCACACACAAAAAAAGGTAAAAAAGATAGCTTCACATGGATGTTGACACAAAGTGAAGGTAGAACATCATGCATACCCACTATCACCCAAATTCAATCAAAATGGACCACACAAGCTGATCGATCCCATATGCCTCATTGCCTCGATTACTAGCTTTCTTGCTTCCTTTTGGCGCCTTCTTCCAAACCAATCATTCAACAAAAACTTACCCCTCCTTTCATCACTTCCACCCGTAATTTCTGCTTTTCGGCCTCCAAATCACATCTCTTCTCTTGTTGAACCCTTTCTTCCAGTTTCTTCACTCCTCAATCCTTCCCACTACTTTACCAGCTTAACTTTCACGGTTGTAGAAGGTACCAAACCATCCAATATCAATCCACGTAACAGACAAATAAGTTACAATATCCAGAAATCTACGAGAAACCCACTCTGGCAATTTTTTTAAGAAAATGCTAGTCTTTTTTAAAGTCATATAAATTATACAATATGAACAGTCATTCATTAAAAGGAGGAATCCCCTCAAATCAATTACGGAATGCAAAAGTATAATGCAAGTGTTATTGGACTCAACGGACCAGGTTGGGCCAGTCTATAGCTAGCTGAAAGATTAGCGAGAGCATCTGATTACGTCGACCCGACAAAACATCTAATTTCGATTCGTTACTATCGAAAATAACAGCACCTGGCCAAAGACCACTGCTTAGAAAAGCCAAACCATCGTCAATTCCAATACCAACGCTCATATAAGATTCAATGCAAAAACAGCATACGAATGGAACTCGAGGTTCTCAGATTAACAACACAAGAAACTAGCATGAGTCAATAATGAGCGAGAGACATAAAAAAAAAAAGAAGAAAACAACAAACAAACTTCAGCCACATGTTCCCAGCAAATCCAATGATTTCTTCTCTAAATAGGCTTGATCTTGAAGTGCAGCGAGATGAGCGAAAAAACAAGACATTTCAAGTCCTGCAACCATGAATGTTATTAAAAAAAAAGTGTTAGAGAAAAAATATTACAGAAACATGCTCAACAAAAATAGAATAACTAGATAACACAATTATCAGCTGGTAGCTAGAATAGCATCAGAATAGGCCTCCACTACAAACGACTCCCAAACCAGGTTACAGTTTTGGAGTTACCAGCCGCACTACATATTTTTTAAGTTCGACATAGTCCACCTAAATAGAGAACCTTCCTAAAGTGATGGTAAGAGCAGGGGAATCCTAAAGCATGATTGGCTACACTGTGGAGAAATGAGACCTTGATAAATCCATGGTTAAGGCAAGAAAAGGAGAGGTGACCTGAACAAGATAGTAGAAGATGCGAAGTCCTTCAGGATCCTCACTGCTCTGGACATCAAGAAGAGATCCAACCTTAGATGTAGCGAAGGAGATATGCTCATTTCCCATCACGATCTCAAGCTCTTGCCTTCCAACACGGTCAGGTTCCGGCCACTTTTCATCATCTTCTTTCATTATCTACCCAGACAAATATCACGTGTCAGGTCACACAATAAACTGCAAGTGCGCAGAGCTCAAATGCCACACACTTGTAGTATACATCATTCATAGAAAGTAATTGTAAAAATCATCCATTATGTAGAAGTTAACTAGAAATCGGAGTGATAATAGCATTAACAAAACCCAATTTGTAGGAGAGGGTTCTAAATCTACACCCGTAGGTTGATCAGGAACATTTTTCCTACTGCACGTACGTCAATCAAACTCCAAGGAAAGACGCGCTCAAAAGAAACCCTAAAAAGAAAAGAAAAAAACCAAAATCACAAAACCCTAGACGAGTTCCGACCTAGCCTACAGCGGTAATAGAAAAACTAGAGCCAAAACAGAGGAATCGGTCCATGGAAGAGAAAGAAAGAAAAAAGACCTCGCTCTCGGAGACGATTCGCTTGCATTCCTTGAGAACGGCGGGGGTGAGAAACACCTCCTTCCGGATGATAGTATCGTTCTTGTAGTTAGAGTTGTTGGCGTAACGGAGCTTACCGTCTGGTCTAAACACGAACTCAAGGAACTCGTGTCCGAATTTCCCTTTGTGCCCGACATAGTACCTCAGGTAGAACTCGTTCTCTTCTTCCGCGGCCATGGCTTCGTCGATCTCTCTCTCTCTCTCTCCATTCCCCTTTCTTTTGCCCTTTAAAACCAGTTTAACAAACAAACACTATTATGGGCTTAATTATCAGCCCAAATAAATATTCAGGCCCACTTTAAGTTTTCCTATTTACATCGAAATCGTCTTTTAGTCGGCTCCCTGATATCGATCGATTTTTTTTTGGGAAAGAAGTTCCACAGACGATGCCGACGGATTCGAAAATGGCAAAGTTTCTTCAATCCTATGGTAATTATCATAGGCCACGTGATCCCTTTCTTCTTCTTCTTTTTTTTTTTTTTTTTTTCCTGTGAGAGACTTTTGAATTTTTGAATTTTTTTTGTTTTTCCTGTTGTCATTGTGGGAGCAGGATATGATTTGATTCTGGGATCTATAGCTGCAATTTATGTGGTCATGGCACCATACACTAAGGTGGAAGAGAGCTTCAACGTACAGGTAATCCTTTTCAGTTCAAAAAAGACTCCCGTTTTTTCTCCCCGTTTACTGACTTGTTTCGTCGATTCTCTCGCCTGGATTTGCATGTGACCAGTCAATGCACGACATTCTTTACCATCGTCTTAATTTCAACTCTGTGAGTGGCCTCTTTCTCACTTACTCTGAAGCTTACTGCAGTTTTGGATTGTTTTTTTTTTTTTTTTACTTACATTCTTCTGTTTCAGTATGATCATTTGGAGTTCCCTGGTGTTGTCCCTCGAACTTTTATTGGTAAGGATGTTGAATTTCGCTCGGAGCCGCTCCTCATTCTAGTTCGTGGAGTACTTAGTGATTCAAATATATATATATATATATCGTCTCTAATGTGTTCTTGCAGGAGCATTCATAGTCTCTTTTATCGCATCACCCGTCGTATCAGTTATCAGCTGGCTTGGCTTCCCCAAGATTTATAATCTTGTTGCAGGTTTTTCTTCTGTTTCTCCTTTGATTTCCCTATAATGTCGTCTTGAATTCTAAACACGGACAAGGCCTATTCAAATCATAGTTTCTTCATTCACTTATAGCTCGTTTGGTGTTGGGCTGCATCATATTATCCACACTAAGATTTTTCCGGATTCAGGTATGAGGTTTATTTGCTAGTAAGTTTCTCTAGTGCTTCTATCCATGCAAAACAATTCTCTATCGCATTCTATGTCCCGTCCCTTGTCATTGGAATTGGGATATCTCACATGCATCTTCTTGACGGCTGTTTTTCCCCTACACACTCAGCCAACGCTACCTCTTTGACAGATAAGAAAAAATTTCGGACATCAAGTGGAATCTTTCTTTGTACTTCTCACCAGTCTTCAGTTTCATCTGCTTTTCTACTGCACTCGTCCTCTACCTAATATTCTAGCTTTTGGATTAGGTGATTGCTTCTATACACCTGACTCCACTAGTTATGCTCCTATCAGATGTCCTAGCAATTTTGCCCATGGCTCATTTAGCATAGATTTTTGCTGCTAATGTTGTGAAATCTGGACTTTGCAGTTAATCTCGCATATGGTAATTGGTTAAAGGGAAACTTTTATTCTGCTTTGAGCTTCCTGGTATGTGTGATTTTCGTGGTAACATATTTCCCGATTATAATATCGGTCATGGTACCCAGAATTATGGATTTGCTGACATGTCATTCATCTGATAATCAGATTTTTGCCACTGTAATCTTCAGATGCGATGTGATGTTACTTCTTGGGCCTATCGGTCTTCAATTTTTAATGGTGAGCTGATAAATATATAATTGGGTTTCTGAACATCTGTATTCGTGTAATTGGCTGTTGTACTTTGTTGTTTTCTTCTGATGCGGGTACCTTACGTTTATCAATGGCAGACCAAATCGATCTCCTTCTGGAAAGCACTTAAATATTGTGTTGGAACCGCTGTGGTGGCTGTAGGTTGGTTGAAATTCCTCTTCATTCTGTGATTTATTTGCTTTTTCCCTTCACACACTAGTTCCCGAGTCAGGCTTTTTGTGGTCATGGAATATTTCTTTGCACAGGTCTTACCATTTCCGTTGACTCTATTATGTGGAAGAAGTTTGTCTGGCCAGAATTTGAAGTTTTCTGGTTTAACTCCATTCTGAACCGGAGTTCTGACTGGGGTGTATCCTTCAAAATATGTTTTCTCAATTTATTCAACTGGTTTCCTCGATTTATTTTGAATGATGATAACCTTTTAATATTGTTCCACTGCCTGATTAGAGGACTGCCTTCTTTACACTGATAACCTTTTTTGCCTTCTTTACACTGATAACCTTTTAGATCCATACATTAGTATAATTGCAAATGCAAATTTTATTTTGCTAATACTGTGGCGCTTGCATTTTTATGAAGTCCTATGTTGTTCCTTGAAAATTACTTGCTAAACCAGACACATTCCATTCATTGGTACTTCACCTCAGCACTCCCACGGTCTTTACTTGTAGCTTATCCTCTTTCCCTGGTAAATACCAGACTTCTTAATATCTGTCATATTGTCTTATTCCCTTCGAACTAGGATATCTGATTGAATCGCTATAGTATTTCTCATTTGATTCTTTTTGGATTGTGCAGCTTGGTACCTTACTTGACAGGAGGGTTCCATTCCTTATTCTTCCAGTTTTATCCTTTGTTATACTCTACTCTAAACTTCCACACAAGGTATTCAGATTGATTACATATCTCAGTAGCCATTAAAGTTTCGTAATCATTTCTGACATAGGCTTACCTAGCTTTGTTGATATATGCAGGAACTACGCTTTATTATTAGTTCAGTGCCAATGCTCAACTTATCTGCTGCAGTTGCTGCCAGTAGAATGTACGAGTTCTATCAGATGTTTGCTAACTAAGCTTTTAATCATAGCTAGAACGTTCTTTGATTCATTCTCTCGAGAGCTCTTTTGATATACTTCATTTTTGAATGCCATTTAAAATTACTACCAACGAGGCCCTAGCTCGTAATGTAATCCGAAATTCCTTTTCCAGCTACAATAACAAGAAGAAAGCTATTTGGAAACTCGTGAACATGGTTATGCTAGCATTATTTGCAATCAGGTAGGAATTGTAGGCAATTATCTTTGCTGTCTAAGAGAAGGAAAGGGATTGACTAGTCTACTTATCCCTGGCCTATAGTGCAGGGTGCACGGTTGTAACATTCATGGCATCTTACAACAACTATCCAAGCGGCTATGCTCTTAAGCGTTTGCATCAGATAAGTGAGTGACGTATTCGTTTCGAGGTTTGTTATTATTGCAGCATCGTTGACTTGAGTACCAAACAAGATAAATATCTAGTCAGTCTTTGTTCGTCACGCATGCCATTTATTATACTTAATCTTCTTTGTTTTGTGGTGTATCTCTACCTCGGTTGATAATTTGCCTTGAGTATGAATAATTTTACCTGGCGCCTTCCATGTTTCTCAGGCCCAAATGTAGCGGGAGAAGAGTGGGTTCACATAGACACTTTTAGTGCGATGAATGGAATATCCCGCTTTTGTGAAGATGGTTTTCCGTGGAGGTGAGGTTGATTCTTCTTTCTATGTTCACAACTAACTGGGAAAAGAATCATATGGTGCTCCACGGCCTTGAAATATCTAGAAGAATGTATCTGTTTGGCTATTTTAGGAGGAGATAAATTTTCTTGTGCAAAGCAGATACTCAAAAGAAGAAGAGATAGTGGTGGAGGAGTTGCGAAACCGAAATTTCACTTACCTTGTGAAGTGAGTATTTTCATCATATATTGTAGAAAGCAAATTCTTAGTGAATGAAGATAGCATTGGTGGTCAACATCTAATACTGTTGTCATGCTTTGAGCAGCGAGCACCCATATGTGGATGGATACAAGTGCTTATTTTCTGAAGAAGGATTTGAAAGAGTTGAACTACGGCGAGGTTTCCCTCCCATTGTTCTGGTAAATTGGTTGGCTTGGGGGAGTATTTCATCAAAATAGGTGTGCGTGGAATGTCATGCTGAGTTGAAAATGTTGAATGGCAGGTAAAAAGAGCGAAAGTATACGTGCACCGGGATATGAAGAAGGAAGATCATTTGCATAAGATATGGCCAGGATGTTAGAGACATTGTTTATGTGGTACAGACAGCTTTGTTATCCTTAAGAGAGGAAATGATGTAAAACTAGAGCTATTTCACATACGAGATTGAAACCCTCTGTTTCCTGCAGTAGCATCCGACTCTGGGTTCTCTTTTGGGCCTCAATGTAATTTACGAATCGACCCCTCTTTCTTTCGCTATTTTCCATTTAGGAAAAGGCCATTCGTCGACTTATCCTCAGACTGCAACTGAAACCTAACGAGAGAGAGAGAGAGAGAGAGAGAGAGAGAGAGAGAGAGAGAGAGAGAGAGAGAGAGAGAGAGAGAGATGGTGCTTCAGGCGGTGCAGAATCGCAATGTTCCACTGGCTTCCTCCGCCTCCTACTCCCTTGTCCCTCGCTCGAGATCTCCCGTCGTCTCCGTAGCTCTATCGAAGAAGAAGACGGCGATCGTGTGCTCCATCTCCCAGGTGTATGGCTACGGCACGGTGGACTACGAGAGAAGGCCGATTATCCAGTGGAATGCAATATACAAGAAGATTTCTCTGATGGAGAAGCCGGAGCTCGGCGCTGCCTCCGTCCTGAATCAGTGGGAGAAAGGCGGCCGTAAGCTTACCAAGTGGGAGCTCTGTCGGGTCGTCAAGGAGCTTCGCAAGTATAAGCGCCCCAACCAAGCTCTCGAGGTATCCCTCTCTCTCTCTCTCTCTCTAAGTATAAGCGCCCCAACCATTCTCCTTTGTATCATCCTAACCTGCTTGATCATTGTTCCCTAGGTGTACGACTGGATGAACAACAGAGGCGAAAGGTTTCGATTGTCTGCAAGCGATGCTGCAATCCAGCTCGACTTAATCGGCAAAGTGCGTGGGATTTCAGACGCTGAAGAGTTCTTCCTGAGCCTCCCTGAGAATTTTAAGGACCGGAGAGTCTATGGCTCCCTCCTCAATGCATATGTGAGGGCCAAGTCGAGAGAAAAAGCCGAAGCCTTGATCGACAAGATGAGGGAGAAAGGATACGCCCTGCACCCGCTTCCCTTCAACGTCATGATGACTCTCTACATGAACCTAAGGGAGTACGACAAAGTCGACGCCATGGTCTACGAGATGAAGCAGAAAGATATACGTCTCGACATTTACTCCTACAACATCTGGCTCTCCTCCTGCGGCTCCCATGGATCCGTTGAGAAAATGGAGCAAGTGTACCAGCAGATGAAGTCAGATGTTTCCATCAATCCCAACTGGACCACTTTTAGCACAATGGCCACCATGTACATTAAGATGGGCGAAAACGAGAAAGCTGAAGATGCACTGAGGAAGGTTGAGGCGAGGATCACTGGTCGTAATCGGATTCCATATCACTACCTCTTGAGCTTGTACGGCAGCGTTGGTAACAAGAAGGAGCTGTACCGGGTGTGGAACGTCTACAAATCTGTTGTCCCGAGCATTCCTAATTTGGGATACCATGCTTTGGTCTCGTCCTTGGTGAGGATGGGAGATATCCAAGGCGCCGAGAAGGTTTATGAGGAATGGCTTCCAGTCAAGTCTTCTTATGACCCCAGGATACCAAATCTTCTCATGAATGTGTACGTTAAAAACGACCAACTAGACAAGGCTGAAGGGTTGTTCGACCACATGATCGAAATGGGAGGAAAGCCAAGCTCAAGTACGTGGGAGATTCTAGCCCATGGTCATACCAGGAAGAGGAATATCACAGAGGCTTTGACCTGTCTGAAAGAAGCTTTTTCTGCCGAGGGGTCCAGCAATTGGAGGCCCAAGGTCTTCATGCTGTCTGGCTTCTTCAAGCTCTGTGAAGAGGAGTCGGATGTTGCCAGTAAAGAGGCGGTTTTGGAATTGTTGAGGCAATCGGGGCACCTTCAAGACAAATCTTACCAAGCTCTTATTGATGATGCGCAGGAGAGTGAGAGTGAGAGTGAGGGGACCGATGTTCTTCTTACGCAACTGCAAGATGATCTGTAATAAAATAGTCCTAGACGTGGCTTTTAAAAAAGAGGAATTTTGTCTTGTAACCGGACTCAACTGCCTAGATTACAGTTAGTGAAACATATAAATGTGAGTCCAAGTCGGAAGGAGGAGCTGTCCCCTATACTATACCTTCCCTTGTGACGATATTTTTTGTTGTTGGAAGAAAGAATCTTTAAATGTTGCTTGCTGTGCCGCCTTCCCCTTTGAAGTATTTATTTATCGATGCATTTCTTCTTCTTCTTTTTGCTTCCTTGTTTGCCTTACAGACGAAGTTTTCAAATTTAGTGGTGGAGGTAGGCCGTGCTCTTTTCTTCTGGGCCGTAGTTTAAAGGCCCTCCGCAATTGCAAAAGTTTTCAAATTTATAGGCCTGAGTGACTCAAAGGCCCATTTTTGAATGAGAATGAGAGATCTCTTCACGTGAAGGAACTCGGTGAGAGAGAAAGACGGTGATCGGGAGATGGCGACCAAGGGCACGGCAGCGGCGGCATACCCTAGCGCGGCTAGGATATCTGATTCTCCATGTTATCTTCAGTACTCTGCTTCCCTCAAATGTAAGTCACGCTCTCAATCTTTCCCTTCCCATTAATTTCTGATTGTTCCCAGGATTTCCAGTTTCTCTTGTTCTCTTTAGTTTTGCTCCTTCCCATTAATTTCTGATTGTTTCGAGGATTTCCATTTTCTCTTTAGTTTTGCTGTATTGCATCGTTTTTCGATTTGTAAACCCTTTTGCTCCTAACTCAGGCACCATTTTATTCATACATACAGCTGTTTTTTACTGATCTGGTAGCTTCTGTCAAGTTTCATGAAATTCCATAAACCCTCACCCTTGATTAGGTCTCCTCTATTTCAATATGACCCCTCAAGCTCAAGGTGATAATCCTTTTGACTATCCCATTTATTAGAGTTTAGAGTTCATCTTCTTATAACGTGTCACTTTTCTGCCTTTTCCCTTTTTATGATCTGTTAAATCTTTGATTAGATTCCCATCTAAATAGCTGACCAATTTCATGATCAAACCCACAGGTCTTGAAGAATTTGGATCCGACAAGAGTAAATGCCAGGATCATTTTGATGTGTACAAGGAATGCAAGAAGAAAGAGGTCTCTTGTGAATTTCACATTTTGGTCGCTCGTGTTTCCACCTTCTCTGCTTACATATGTATATATATTTTCTGATTGAATGTTTTGTCTCTCAGAGGGAAGCTCGACTGGAACGCAACAAGACACGGTCGTTGTTCTCGTGAATGCAGAATATGGATCCTGAAATGCTAATGATATATTCAAACATTGCCTAGTATCCTCTCGTTTCATTTTTACGCCTCTGAGAAGTGGTGTTTTGTGTTTCGTATACTGTTTGTGCTGTATAAATAATCAGTCATGAAATTTCTTTTTTATTAATAATAGTAGTCAATCTGAAGTGGATAGTGTTTGTTAACGATGTTTGACTCTCCTACATGTTATACTTAGTAGAGACTAGGAGCCATTAATGATTGGTTTATATTACAATATGTTGAATTTTGAGAGCAAGTCTGATTATCAAGTTGTTAGAAGAAGAGAGGGAGGACTCCAACTGCTTTGACCAATCATATCTCATCCCCTTACTTAAACCCTCATTATTGGCTTTACAAACAACAAACCAAATGGGTTTGCCTTTCAGAATCAACACTGAAGGCACCCACAATGTCTAAACACACAAAAGGAAGACAAGAGAATGCCCAGAAAGCTGTTGAGAAAGCGCATACAAATCACTGGAGCATTGCTGCAAGGGAAAGCACTTCCGCTGTAGCAGCCTTTTCTTTGTTTAATGCCCCGGCCGTTATCTTCCAGAGCAAAGGACGAGTTTGTCCCACCATCACTAAAGAGAAGGCACCAAAAGAATGTACCTTTATGCAACCTAGCCATTCCCACCCCAACCTCAGTATGCGACCTGTTTCTGAGCACAAGCAACGCTTGGTTATCTCTGAAGAGAATGTCTGAGAAGGCGACTTCTGGCGTCACATACTTAGTGCTGCAGCCGATGACATGGCCTGTTATGGTCCCAAAAGAGGGAAGTTCTACACCACAGTTGGGGGCAAAAACCTGAGTGAAGTCGTCTTCAGGGGGTTCACAGGTCAGAGTGTCGTTGACATTGCAATTTCCCTTGCAGTGCTCAACATACTGGAGGGCCATGCAGCCAAGACCAGGACTCTCATTTAATTTGCTGAGTTTCCGAGCTGTTCTGTTCTGGTTCAAGATGCTCACCATCTCACTAGCCGGGTTTCCTGCAACAATTCTAGTCCGCCTTAGAGTTGTGTGTTCTTTAAGGGTTTACTTTAGGGTACAGAATCAACATACACAATAATAAACTATCATACAATCTGATTCTGAAAAAAAAAATGGGAACCTCAGATGGAATGGATATTCCTATAAAGACAGGCCAAATGGTTCAGGAGAAATCCAAGTATAGGAATCGCATATGTTATGAGGAGATAAGGGAGAGTGAGGATCTACCGTCAAGTTTGGAGGTAGCTAGCACCCAGAGTGAGACCAACAATAAAATCGACATCGGAAAGCTACTTCCCTTCTTCATCTCAGGAAAAACTCTTTGTTATTTTTTTTTTGCTATCCTCTGAATTCCCTATGTGAATGCTGAAGCCGTCGACGGATTACCGGGGGAGAAAATAAAATTATTTTCTTCTTTCAAAAAAAAAAAATTTATCGATGATGGTAGTCCCTACTTTATGCAAGGTAAATAATGTTACTTTTTTTTATCTCTGTTTTAAAAGTAAAAGAAAGAAACCAAGAGGATGAAATTTTGAATATTGGGCTTTGATATTGGGCTCATATATTGAATTGAATGAAGAAAGAAGGAAAGTAGAAAGATTTCATTTACTTCATTAAATGGACGGCGTTGGGGGCTGGTGGAGGTGGGCCAATCACATTGATGAATAAAGCCGAATTTTGGCAGGGCATCACATTCAATGCCCATTGGCTCTTCTCCTAACATATTTGAAGTTTGAGGTTTTTTTTATTTTTTTTTTTCTCGCTTAGATAAACTAAAATGTTGTACGTAGTAACAATTTATATTTTATACTTTTGTAGGGCGGACCCACCACCATGTGCTTCTTCTTCACAAGTGCATCAGTAGATTCAGTAGGCCACATGACATGGTGATGCTTCTATATATATATATATATATCATGTCACATATTCTACACACAAGTATCTCCAAAACGCACTATCCTTCAAACTTAATTCTTTCGGCGGTAGCTGAGCTCAAAGTGTACCTTTGGACGATGGCGTCGAGGCCCGGAGCTCTGACAGAGTGGCCATGGAGTTCCCTTGGTAGCTTCAAGTACCTCTTGGTAGCCCCGTTGGTGATGGCGAGCATGCATTCGTACGTGACGGCTGAGGATGAGGAGAAGGACCTCGGGAGACTGGCGATAGTGGCGCTGATGCTGTGGAGAATAGTTCACAGCCAGATATGGATCAGTGTGGCTCGTCAGAGGACGGCTATGGGGAGGAAGAAGATCGTGGACAAGCCCATCGAGTTCGAGCAAGTGGACCGAGAGCGCACCTGGGACGACCAAATCATCTTCAACACTCTCCTCATGTACCTCGCCAACTTCAAGCTCCCAGGCTCATGCCGCCTTCCCCTCTGGAGACTAGACGGAGCCATCCTCATGGCTCTGCTTCACGCTGGCCCTGTCGAGTTCCTCTACTATTGGTTCCACAGAGCTCTCCACCACCACTTCCTCTACTCTCGCTACCATTCTCACCACCACTCCTCCATCGTCACCGAGCCCATCACGTGTACGAGAGTACCTCTTCACCCATCATTTTAATTTAGTTCCTGCTATATATATATTCTAATTATTTTAACTTAATTGGCGGCAGCTGTGGTGCACCCCTTCGCCGAGCACATCGCCTACACACTACTCTTCTCCATACCCATGGTAACGGCGTCCCTGTGTGGGATCCTCTCCATTGTTCCTGTCATTGCCTACATGACTTACATTGACTTCATGAACAACTTGGGACATTGCAACTTTGAGCTTTTCCCTAAGCGTCTCTTCCACCTCTTCCCTCCACTCAAGTTCCTCTGCTACACCCCATCGTACGTCGTCAATTTTTTCAACTCTTCTATATAGACCTAACCTAGCTAGTATTAATTAATTTAATTTAATTTGTATTCCCTTGAATGTATGCATGCATTACATATATTTTGACTTTGTACATGAAGGTTCCACTCGCTCCATCACACACAGTTCAGGACCAACTACTCTCTGTTCATGCCAATCTACGACTATATCTACGGGACGACCGACAAGAGTAGCGAGTCGCTGTACGAGAGGTCGTTAGAGATAAAGGAGGAATCACCCGACGTCATGCACCTCACTCACCTCACCACACTCGACTCCATCTACCAAATGCGCCTTGGCTTCCCGTCCCTTTCTTCCCACCCCTTGTGGTCTCGATCCCCATGGTACCTCAGCTGCTTCATGTGGCCCTTCACTCTCCTATTATCCTTCGTCCTCACCTCCCCTTTCTCTTCCCGCACCTTTGTCTTTGAAAGAAACCGTATCCGTAACCTCACCATTCACTCTCACATCCTTCCCAAGTTTGCCTTCCACGTAAGCATTTAATTAACACACTCTCTCTCTCTCTCTCTCTCACTCACTCTTATGGCACCAGTTAATAATACTTTAGTAGGACTTCGTAAAACTATATATATTCCAAACTTTTACACACAAAATGCCTTTTCCGTTGTTAAACAGTATACACATTTTTCTCGTTGTTAGAAACGATTTACACATTTTTTTACTTGTAGTACGTATAGGAAGAAAATGGCCGAAATGAATAATTTAATTAACATTTAACCCAAAAAAGAAAAGAAAATAACCTTAATGAACAATAACTCGTTCGTGGATACACCTTTTGGAATTGGCATCCAAACATTCCTACTAATACTGCCACATAAACATGCGGTGGCAGTATAAATCTCAGTGCCACCATGAGAGCATCAACAATATCATAGAGGCAGCTATCCTTGAAGCAGATGAAAAGGGCGTGAGAGTAATGAGCCTTGGCCTGATGAACAATGTACATTTTCATCTACTTTAAAATCCTTTCTATCTATGTGTATATATATACACACATTAATATATTTACACATTAATACAATCACTAATTAACACGCGATTAATGAGAGGGAGGAGCTAAACGGCTGTGGAGAAATGTACGTGCAAAAGCATCCGAAGCTGAAGATAAAATTAGTGGACGGAAGCAGCATGGCAGCTGCGGTGGTGGTCAATAGCATTCCAAAGGGAACCTCGGAAGTTGTGTTTAGAGGCAATCCCACAAAAGTTGCTTCGGCCGTTGTCTTTGCTCTATGCCAAAGGGGCATCAAGGTATGTTTATGTATGAGAGAATGGAATCAACTCAGCTTCTCCAACCAAAAAAATAAATATTAATAGCATGAATGCTTGTATATATAGGTGGTGGTGTTACGCGCGGAGGAACACAGCAGACTCGTCAAATCTGGGGTTGTCAAGAAGAATCTGGTACAGTGCACGAGCAATTATTACTCCCCAGTGGTGTGGTTGGTGGGGGATGAAATAGGGAAAGAAGAGCAAATGAAGGCAAAAGAAGGAACGCTCTTTATTCCCTTCTCTCACTTTCCGCCCGACAAACTCCGCAAGGATTGTTTCTACCACTCTACCCCTGCTATGCTTGTTCCCAAGTCTGCCCAAAACATCGACTCTTGTGAGGTACAATACAACTTAGAGTATGTACATTGATTTGCGTTGCTTTAATTACTAATATAAGCTGAGCTGATAGACATATATGTGATGTGCATATATATATATATATATAATCAATGAATGGAGATATAATTGTTTTCATATATATATATATATATAGAACTGGCTGGGGAGGAGGGTGATGAGTGCGTGGAAAGTAGGGGGCATAGTACATGCGCTTGAGGGTTTGGAGGAGCATGACTGCGGCAACACTCGCAACTTCTTCCGTCTCCACGCCATCTGGGAAGCTGCTCTTCGCCATGATTTCACACCTCTCCCTTCTCCCACCATCTCATCTCTGATCTAATTTCATCATCTTCATATTTTGTATATCGATCTATCTCTCCTCTATTGGTTTTATGCTTCCCTTCTAGCTTTGTTGCATGTCATGTTATTCAATAGACTATATGAGTATTATTGACTACACCTTGTTACGCTTGCTGCCACGTGCGTCTTCTAGAAATGACAAACGATTAATTACGTCCATTAAGTTACGATCAGAATTAGCTAGGAAATTAGTGAATGAAAACGCCGATTCTTTTTTACTAATACGTCTCTTAAGAAAAAAATATCTGGGTGCATTATCAACAGTTTCAACCACTCTACGAGGTTTTACTTAACCGACATCCTTACACATGCATGCATGGTCCACTCGCTACCTAATCAAGTAGTCGGTAGAGTATACGTAGCATATATACATTTGTGGTGGTGAGAGAGAGAGAGAGAGAGAGATGGAATGACGAAAAATGAAACGTACGAGTATTCAATGCTTGCATAAGAAGGCGTGCCCTGTTTTAAGTTTTCCTTCATTTAATGTTGGAGCAACAGACAGTAGCTGGCGCTTCAACGTGCATGATCTTGATTGGCTAGTAGTTGCCAAGCATCATCACCTAACATTGCCCAACTTGGTTAATCAGTTACTTCATGGAAAACTAACAGTCTTTCAATATACAAAACCGGATACAGAACTTACCTATATATGCATTTGCTTACGTAGGTGTTGATCAATAAAGATTAGCTGAGTGACATAAATGAGGATCCATGTGGAAAGCATCCAATGGGAGGAGTACATGTTTGGATCTAGGCTGGGCCTACCACAGGGAAGTGGGCTGGTGGGAAGATAGGGGTTGGCTTCGATAGTCGTCATTCTATATATATCTACCAATGAGTTTGGTACCTTTCTATATAATATACTCATCCGGCGTGACGAGGAATCGGAGAGACACACATTACATTCGACGGTATAATGGCCACAAAACCAGGGATCCTCACTGATTGGCCGTGGACACCCCTCGGGAGTTTCAAGGTGCACTCTTGATTTCTTGTCTATTATAATTAATTTTTTTTTACGACTCACACTATAATAACTCGTGCTTTTGATTGAATCCCGTTGCTGGTATATGATTTGGGACGTGGAAAAAATACAATAGTACGTAGTAATAGCACCATGGGCGGTCCATAGCACATACAAGTTTGTGACAGATGATCCCGAGAAGAAGGATCTCGGGTACTTCCTCGTATTCCCTTTCTTGCTCCTCAGAATTCTGCACAACCAGGTTTGGATTTCACTCTCCCGTTACTGTACTGCCAAGGGAAAGAGGCGCATCCTCGACAAAGGTATCGACTTCAATCAGGTCGACAGGGAGACCAACTGGTGCGTTTTTTAATTTATATGTATATAGTTTTAAATCTACCTGCCTAGCTAGTGCCTTAAGTGAGCTACATGCATAAGGATGTATTCTTGATATTTACATGCGCAGGGATGACCAAATACTGTTCAACGGACTTTGGTTCTATATAGGGATGCGGCTGTTGCCGCAGGGCAAGCAACTTCCCTTGTGGAGGACAGACGGAGTGTTGATGGCGGCTGTGCTTCACGCCGGTCCGGTGGAGTTCCTCTATTACTGGCTCCACAAAGCTCTTCACCACCACTTTCTTTATTCCCGCTACCATTCCCACCACCACTCTTCTATCGTCACTGAGCCCATCACTTGTATTTCTTATCCTTTTCTATGCACTAGATTTTTTTTTTTTATATATATATATATATATTTAACATACGCAAAACTACACTTTCAAACGTCCTGATTAGTAGATATTTCTAATGTTAAATTTATTCCACAAAAAAAAAACGTTTTTACATCTGCCATGCGATCTTAGTTTCAAAAGAAAAACTTTTTACATTAGTAGTAGCTATATTAATATACATATATATATATATATATTGTTAAAGTTTAATATTATATATTATCATCTTTATTTGCAGCTGTGATACATCCATTTGCGGAGCACATAGCCTACTTCGTGCTCTTTTCGATACCATTGCTTACGACGTTGATAACGGAAACGGCATCTATAGCGTCATTCGCCGGATATGTAATGTACATAGACTTCATGAACAACATGGGACACTGCAACTTCGAGATCGTCCCTAAGCGCCTTTTCCACCTCTTTCCTCCCCTCAAGTTCCTCTGTTACACTCCCTCGTAAGTCCTTTACACACTTTCTTATGTTTCATATACATAATACATACTATATACAGGGCATTCTCAAATCGTGACGTGGTGTTGTTGTACCTTTTATTTGGTCGTCAACAACCGAATCGATGGACCACAAAAAAAAAAAAAATTTTAATCTATCATCTCTAAACGTATCGGCACATACTCACCCCTCCCACAACTTTACGCAGTTAGAACTTGTATAACCGAGCAGTCTGTGAAAACTAGGTATATATCAAAATTCATTAGGGTATATCAATAGTGAATGGTCCCCCCAAAGTCTAAAGTTATTAACACTAGAGCTTAATACATATATCATTTCAAGTATTTACGCTTTTAGTTTTTAAGTATATTGAGCGCAATGTTACTATAAAGTATAAAATTAAACCTGAAAATACACTCTTATTGTTATGATATCTTTCTTTTGGATAATAATTTGATAATGAGAGTTGCAGATTCCACTCGCTGCACCACACGCAGTTCCGAACGAACTACTCCCTCTTCATGCCCTTGTATGACTACATCTACGGCACAATGGATGAAACCTCGGATACGTTGTATGAGAAGACTCTAGAAAGAGGAGAAGATAGAGTGGACGTGGTGCACTTAACACACCTGACGACGCCCGAGTCCATATACCATTTGCGCATTGGCTTGGCTTCATTTGCCTCCTACCCCTTCTCTTATACATGGTTCATGCGCCTTTTGTGGCCTTTTACATCTCTCTCCATGCTTTTCACTCTCTTCTACGCCCGCCTTTTTTGTTGCCGAGAGAAATTCCTTCAAGAAGCTCAACTTGCAGTCTTGGATAATACCCAGATATAATCTACAGGTCCTCATCATCACCAATTTCAATTTTATTTGATCCTTTTGTGAGCTCATAAGTTATATATATATATAAAAAAATATATACATATATATTTTGGTTTGCTGATGCATTGGGATCGTTGATGCATGTAGTACTTGTTAAAATGGAGGAAAGATGCCATCAACAACATGATTGAGAAAGCGGTACTGGAGGCGGATAAAAAAGGAGTGAAAGTGCTTAGTCTAGGTCTTATGAACCAAGTAAAGAAACAAATTCTTACTCTTTTGGTTTTACATTGGTTAGATGCCATATACAGCAATAAAAATGTGGTGGGTTGAAACAGGGGGAGGAGCTGAACAGATATGGAGAGGTGTATATCCACAAGCATCCAGACGTGAAAGTAAGAGTGGTGGACGGCAGTAGATTAACAGCAGCCGTTGTGATCAATAGTGTTCCCAAATCAACTACAAGCGTCGTGATGACAGGCAATCTCACAAAGGTAGCCTACACCATCGCCTCTGCTCTCTGCCAGAGAGGTGTTCAGGTTGTGTTTTTCTCCTCTGTTTTCTTTTAGCTTGTCATTCTTTTTTAAAATAAAATAAAATAAACTAAAGTTCATAAAGCACATTCACCTGGCCAAGCTTTATATCATTGTAATATAAATGCTTACTCATTCTTATTATTTTTTTTCTGTGAATATCATCTGCAGGTTTCGACTCTGTTCCCGGACGAATATGAGAAACTAAGATCATCCGTTCCACGAGAATGTAGAGGCCATTTGGTTCATTTAACCTCTGAAGCATTTTCATCAAGCAAGGTAAGTAAGTTTAAACAATAAAAGAAGTAGCATAGTCGTTGAGCATATTAAACTATTGAATTTTTGTGAAGGTATGGCTGGTGGGAGAAGGAACAACGAGAGAGGACCAGGAAAAAGCCACAAACGGAACATTGTTTATACCATTCTCTCAGTTCCCTCTCAAGCAGTTACGTAAAGATTGTATCTATCATACCACACCGGCACTGATAGTTCCAAAATCTCTGGTGAATATCCACTCCTGCGAGGTATATATAGACAACGATCTAATACACTTAAGTTATTGTAGACCTAAGAGGTCCTAACCAATTAAATAAACACAAATGCAGAACTGGTTACCGAGAAAAGCGATGAGTGCAACCAGAGTAGCCGGCATATTACATGCTGTAGAAGGATGGGAAATGCATGAATGCGGCGCCTCGGTTCTTCTCTCAGATTTGGACCAAGTATGGGAAGCTTGTCTCAGCCACGGCTTCCAGCCTCTCCTGCTTCCAGATCATTAAAACTGCAACTAGAACAATGGATGATTCAAACAAAATGATACCCTACACGTTGTGTAATTGTATTTCGCTATAGCATCATTATTCCACACATGAACTATATGAAACATTATTTTAAGCGTAGACTTTTGTGAGTGATTATTGTATTAATAAAAGTAACATTTCTATTTTTTTTTTTTTTTTTTTCGTGTGAGTGTCACAAGAGTACTATTTTCTACT